GCAAAATATTTGCACTTGTACGACGGTCAAAATAGAACCCAAGCCCTGGAAGACGACTAGGGGTAGGCATCAATGAAGGCGAATTGATGAAATTAGCCAATCCAAACAGTAATTATCAGTTTAGTTTGGCTTTGATCAAGAAAAAGTCAAATGGTTTAAAAATCAAACTGTACCGTATATGTTTTGATTTGGTTTGGTTTTGAGTTTTTATAAACCGATTTAAACCAAACCGGACCATTTGTGTGTATATTTATTTATATTATATTTGATAGTACTCTAATTAGGTGATGACTTTATATTGATATTTGAATTGAATTATATTAGTTATTGAAATTTGAAGTTTTATGCTATGTTGAGCTTTAAGATGGTTTCATACTCTATAAAATGATTTAAGTATGAAGAAAGTTGTGAATTTGTTAGTTGTAATTGGGCTAACAATGTTGAAAAAAATACGAAAGGAAAGAGAATCAAGCTTAGGCCTAAACTGGCCGAACCAAACCGTCTTAAATTGGTTTGGTTTGGTTTAGTTTCCTTCATCACTTTTGTAAAAAATCAATAACAAAATCATATAATGGGTCCTATTATTATGAAACACAACTACCCATTATCCTTTTTAACTTTAAATTAAGAAAAAGAAAAAGAAAAAGAAAACCAATTAGCACACGTGAGTGAGCGTATAATCCTCTCGTCACCTCCTGACAAATAGCAGATAATAATAGGCTGTGTGCCATGTTTTTAAGTAATACTTTGGCTAAATGCACATGCTCCACAGTAATTATTCTTAATTACCAAAGAAAGAAAGACTGATTTTTTTATTATATATTTTTGCTAGCTGAAAATAAACGGTAATGACTTGGAATTAGGATCAGTACTATAATGAGATACCTTGGGATCTTAGTTCCGTAGATATTAAAGTAAAACCTAATAACTACATCCATAGGAAAATTACTATTTTATTTATTTATTTATTTTAAAAAAATTTGTTCCAATGCACACTACAATAAAATAATAGTATTAGTTGCTGATATCGGTGGCACAAATGAGATGGCTAAAAACACTATTACTGCTTTGTTTTTTTAAAAGATATATATATAGTGTCAACTTGATAGCCTTTAGATGATTATTTTAATGACATGGCAAGCTTCGGATAAAAGTCAAGTATATCCAAGCATGGAATCCAAATCCGATAAAAAATACGTAAAATACTTAAGAAATACTCATTGGTCCTAACAATTGACAAAATTTGGAGGTGAACGAAAATTTAGTGGATCAGTCACTTGTGAAAAGTTGAATCGTTCAAAATGTTGGGTTAAAACAAATTTCAATCATTATTATCTTTTATACAATGACTAATGACCAATCAATTGATTTGCACAAACAAAATAGAATATATTTTAGTTTTCAAACAAAATGTAATTGTGAACACTGTAAATTAGAAAAAAAAATTATTTAGAATAATTAAGTAGAGAAATGGAACTTTATTTTTGGTTAAGAACTTAAGAGGGAGCCAACCAAACCAAGGCCCGAACACCAATACACAAGGAAACTCACAAAATCTTGAATAGGAACTGAGAAGCCTAAATCAAGAATAATCGTATCAATGTATGGCTGAAATATATTAGGTAACAAAGTATTAATGTATGGATAATGAGCGTCTACATTTACACGCAATGCATTTATTCATATTTCACAACATTTAGGCAATTTCAATAATCTAACGACACATTTCATTTTGAAAAGTATTTAGAGAAACAAAAAAAAACGTTAAAGTATATGAACTTTGGAGTCAAAATTCAAAGCACTAAATATCTCATGCAATGCAAGCGCGTAAAAGACAGTTAATTAACATTGATTGTTGAATTTGAGTCCACCAAGTCCATGTGATTGTTAATTAACATTGATTCTGACGCAATATATCAATGAAGGAGACGTAAAACTGAGTTCCATTTTAGGCAAACAGTCTTTTTTTTTCTTCTCTTTTCATAGCACTCATCCAACGGTCACATTTCATGAGAATGTATGTAATATGCTAGGTTTTTGAAATGGTTGGAGTGTTGAGTATTGGTAGTGGTCCGATGAAATGAAGGTGTGGGGCCCCTTAACTGAAGATAAATCATTATATACTCATTGCAATGTTGAAATTTTTTTCGGGGAGGGTGGGGACCAATCAACAACAATTTTTCAACCTTTGTTCTTTATCCAATTTGGTTGTTCTTGGGGTAAATAATTAACTAGGGTTACTTTGCTACCATACAAGATGCAATAATTCATTAATTCACTAAGGAAAAAGCCTCACACACACATAATTAAATTTTCATGAAATCTTTAGTAATTTGGTGCCCTAATTAACATAATCTACATATAATTAGTCTCATCAAAACCAGGCAATGCATATGTATTGATTTGCTTAATTTACCTCTCTTGTTTTTTTCCTCATCAAAATTTGGCTAGGCATATAATTGGTGGGTACAATACAAATAGTAGAAGTTGATGTAAATCAAAGTTTGTGAGTCACGTGGACGTACCCAAAAAAGTTGTGACTCAAAAGGGTCGTCAGTTATAGATTAATGGCACTTTAACTAATTAGCAGAAATTCCATTATCATGCTTAATGACTAAGCCATGTTTACATAGATGATTAAAGCTTAATAATACACTTATCTAAAGCCAACCCAAGTCTTCATACATATATACATCAACCCAAGTCTTCGATTTGTTTGACATTTTGCGAGTAGCTCAACTCTTTATAAAGCCTTGTTAGGTTTCTTAACTTTCTCAACTTTCTCTTGTTAGGTTACACCCCAAAACCAATTGGGAATGGAAAGTGATGCCCTTTTGGCTGTCATTCCAGATCCAGTGACATGTTTCTCCACAGCAAGGTACTCTCAGAAACAAGTCTTTAGGGTAGTCTCTAACTCAAGTTTGGTCATTGTTGATTGGATACCAGTGGGCGACATGTAAGTGGAAAAAAAATGGGATTTTGATCTTTGAGTGCCAACCACATATTTATAGAAGATGATGAGCCTTTGTTTCTTGACATGGTAATCATTTTCTTTTTATTTCATTTTGTATTTGTTGCAGTCTAAAGAGGCGAATGCTTAGTTCTTTGTGTTGGTACTTCTAACAATATGTATCTTCACCAGAGGGAATTTGGTAACTGCTTGACTATATTTTGGGTTGCTTATGTGTTTGAGGACAATAAGATTTAAAGAGGCCATCCCCTGTTCTGACCTCTAAGCACAATAATTGGAACCTAGTAAAACTTGAATCACCAGAACATACCCATTGACATAATATAACTCTCTCTCTCTCTCTCTCTCTCTCTCCATGTAGTATACATATATACATATATGTATGTATCTCCTGTTCCATTTTTATTAGAAACATACTTTGTTTTTATGCTTGCTCTAAAATTCTGTGAAATGGGCTTGCTATGGAAATCCTGTTATCTTCCCTTGCTCTTATACTCAGATGGTTCAGTGTTTCTACGACAGATGAGACGGAAGATCTAAAGGATTTTTATATCCAACTTCATTTCTTGAAACTGGGCATGATATTCTGTTCTTCTGGGTTGCTCGAATGTTAATGCTTGGATTGGAATGACATTGGGTGACAACGTACCTCTTACAAAGATGGACAGAAGTTTTTTTCAGTGTAGATGTCGAGCCATGTTATAAACAATTTTATACTTGTAATGCATATTGCTTAAGTTTTAACTTGCTAGTTGCTTGACTTTACAATGTTATAGCACATTCTACTTAAGGAGACAATGGTAAAGCTAACGGAAAAGAAGTCTTCTGGAAGCATACTACACTGTTGTGATGAGATTTACAGTAGATGTATGATATAAACCGCTTTATAGTACGTAAATTATTATTATTATTTTATATTATAGATGTAGAGCCAAGCCATAAAAAGCTTTATATTTGTGGTACATGTTGCCTAAGTTATAACTTGCTAGTTGCCAGACTTTAAAATGTTATAAAATATTCTACTTAAGAAGAAAATGTTTTTCTTACTTGGTAAAGCTTGAAGGAAAAGAAGTCTTGTGGAAACATAGTTTTCTGTTGTGCTGAGATTTACATGTCTATATATTTGTTAGCTTGTGAGCAAGTTCCATTTAGTGTTTTAGTTATGTATCATAAACTTTGAGGCATGTTCTTTGTTTGCCACTAGCTACAAACCACAAACCAGTCTTTTTCTTGTGTTTGATGCCCTTGTTTATTGGGGGAAGAGATTGTGCCCTTATTGGGCGAGTGTTGGTTGTGCCCTATTGCTTAATGACACCTTTCGAACATAAAAGTAGTTATTGTAGACATTCTTATTCTCCATGAAAGGAAAGAAGCCTACATCAATACTAACGAATGGGGAAGAGGCGATGCGCACAAAGCAATTGAGTATATGTTGTCCATGTGCAATCATAGGTTGTGCTCATGGCACATGGCAAGGAATGCATAGAATAACTTAAAGGATGAAGAATTGGTACTATCATTTCAAGCATATCTTTGGGAACCAATTACAGTCAATGAGTTTGAAAAGAAATGAGAGTTTTTGGATGACAGAGTTACTACACATAAACAAAAAGATGGCTGCAAAACGAGATGCATGGGCAAAATCACGCCTTAGACCCAAGTTTTTATGTGGTATGTGTACTACTCAATGCGTGGAGTGTATGAACAAGTTTGTGAAAGATTACTTGAGGAAAGGCATTAAGTTGTTTGAATGCATACCACCGAAAACAGTCAAAGAAAGTGCTTAGAACAACACTGAAAAGTCTTGAGCAACATGCTTCCTAATTTTACACACATATGTGCTTTTTATTGGTAATACATTGAACCGCAAAATAATTGGAGTTGTGTGTACCTTGGTGGGAAAGATGTTCGAATAAAGTGCAACTCTAAAAATATGAAAGTATTTTTGCAAATGACTGCACTGTTCGTTGGATGGCTTAGGTTCTACACAGATTTATTTTCGAATCATATGCCATTATTTCACAATTATTTAAATTGAAAACAAGTAATATCCAATGCTTCTGCCTTTGTAGGTTGAATGGCATAAAACGTGCTTCACAGAAGACCAAGGTTTAGCCAACTTAGGCACTTCGCCCTTCACCATTCTCAATAGACCATTGCTATGCTTCTTGTCCTCCTTTCCCATATAAGCCTTCATTTGATTGTAGTCTAATGCAACACAATTATGCATAGCGGCACACGAGTTATGCATCATAACGGATACAAAATTTACCAAATAAACATGCATAATTATGGAATAATACAGACCTGGAAAGTCATGTCTAGTATCGTCAACTCAGAACCCACCCACTTGCCACACCTATTGTGCCGCTCCTGTAGTAAATGCAACTCCATGTCAATGTTCTAACATAAAAGAGTTGTTTATATTATTAAATCAATAAATCATTACATAGCATGGATATTTTCGACAAAATTCCAAATCAATCAATGTTTATCAAGTCATCCAACCAACCATCCTTAGTCAAGAACTGAACAAAGAAGTCATGCAAAGCTTTCAAACCTTTTTCTCCACATAAATGCACATGTGAACTACATTTCTCAACCATTATTATTATTAAATCAGTTTCACTAATAACTTAATAAGTCATCATAATACAACCATTTACATTTCACTAAGGACAGACAAAGAGAACTTACTTTTCTTTTTGTCCCTATTCCCAGCAAAATTTCGACACCTCCAGAAAGGAATCACAAGGAACTAGCCTCAAGGGTCACCAATTGTGTCCTCCAAAATATTGGAATCTCCCAACCTTGCCATGGAGTTTTCTTTGCCATTGACCTTTGCCTCTTCGTCACAAGCCCAAGAGTTGCACTATTTCCCAGACCCCTTTTTTGCTGGATCCCAACTATAACATCATCACCACAATCATCCTCCGCAATGAAAATATCTATCTTTTGAGGAGGATGTGTAAGAAGTTTAACAAGGGTGACATACACCACAACTGGATCATCTCAATTTATATCCGGGAGGGTGATTATTGCACATTTTCTTTCTCATTTTGCGCAAACTCATGTCTCTTCTTGGTTACTTCACCACCCACAGTCTTATGAGTCTCCTCTCCAACATCCTCAGTCTTCTCAATCTCTTCTCCATCATCCTCAGTCTTCTTAACCTTCTCTTCATCATCCTCAACCTTCACATTGTCAACTCCTTTGTAACTCCTTTTTTTCCTCAACAAAACGTCAGCATGACTGGTAGACTTCTCCAAACTTAAAACTCTCTCCTCTTGTTGACCCTTCTCATAATGCAATGCTGCAACTTCATTCCTCAATTGTTACACAACAGAGTTTAACTCATCAAGGTCCTTACATACCCGCAGGCCTGCACTAGGTGCATCACATTCAAGAACATCTGATCTCTAACCCCAATACGGTTGGGTCATCTCTAATGCACTTGGTCATAAGTGGTGCAGTATAACACCCTATCAAAAATATAAAGTTAATATGTCACATACAATATAAAATAGCTTTACTCATGAAACCAACATACTATTCAAAGAAATTATTAAGTAAACGCTTGTTTCTTTATTACTTGTTGAAAATTCAACTGTATGCAGTATATTCCCCAACCCAAAAATACCCCTCTGTCTTTATTATTGCTTTACTTCTTGTTCCACACATGTGAACAAACTTTAAAAGTTACTCAAAATTACCGATATCCCCGGTTTCATAATTGATGCATGCACCCAACGTGCATGGATGTGGAAATTGGAATAGACCACTTTGACACAGTTGCAATGCAATTCCATGTTCTCTCTCTCTCTCTCTCTCTCCTCTCTCTCTCTCTCTCTCTCTCTCTCTCTCTCTCTCTCTCTATCTCTCTAGTTGCATTTTTAGGAAGCCAAAATAGCCCAATTACGCCTGCAAGCGGGGGCTGACATGTTGTTATTACTTGTTGCATACATATAGTACTTGCAAAATAAACTATCCAAACCCAAAATAGCCCTCTTAGGCTTGCTAGCGGGGGCTGACATGTTGTTATTACTTGTTGCATATATATAGTACTTGCAAAATCAACTCTTCAAACCCAAAATAACCCTCTTAGGGCTGCTAGTAGGGGCTGACATGTTGTTATTACTTGTTGCATATATATAGTACCTGCAAAATCAACTCTCCAAACCCAAAATAACCCTCTTAGGCCGGCTAGCGGGAGCTAACATGTTATTACTTGCTGCATATATATAGTACATGCAAAATAAACTCTACAAACCCAAAATAACCCTTTTAGGCATGCTAGCGGGGGCTGACATGTTGTTATTACTTGTTGCATATATATTAAGTGTAGTTCTCCTTTGAATTATTGAATAACCATTATGATTGTTTGGATCGATGATGTTCTTGAAATTCATACATTCCAGAGTGAATGCTAAACCAAATTCCAATACATAAATAAAACTTAGATATATAATTAACTAAAACCATTCAAAAGATAACTGAGTGATTTACTGGCTTATCAAACAAATAAGCTAGATACTCTAAAGTCAGACCCGAAAAAGAAGAAGCTAGATACTCCAAAACAACAACAGAAAAACCCAAACAACAAAAGTCGAAGCCACCATTCGTGATAGGAAGATGAGGACAAAAGCCTGAGAAGAACGCATCTCCTACATAAAAGTGGCACAAGCCGCCCAGCTAAGATCAATCGGAAGCAAATCACCTGAAAAATAGGAGGAAACATACCTTCAAGACCTGCAAAAAACGAAATACAATGATAGAATCATAAATACACACACACACATATATAAACCAAAAAAGATTAAGCAAATTATTCACCACTTCCTCCATTGTTGAACTCGCCACCACCATTGTCGTCGTCGTCTACGTTGTTGTCATTCTCATCGTTGTCTTCCTCATCGTGCTCCTTAGCATATTCTTCGTCACTGCTTTCTAGGCAGCTTCCAACTCCTTCAAGCTCATTTGCTCTAGCCATTTTTCGCAAGACACTTCGACGTGCCGGTCTTGTTTCCTCATAATCAATTCGAACATAAGGACGAGGATAGGGACCATTGTATTCAATGACTCGCTGTAGTTCTTCAATAGTGGAGACTTTCTTATAGCACACAAAGGGAACATCACTCGGTAACCGGTTGAAATCCCACCTCAATTCGGAGACAAGATTATAACGAACTTAAACAAACACGCGATCATGTATTCCTTCCTCCTCCATTATTCTATGATAAATTTTTACATATCTATTGATCCTAACTGAATCGAGTATGACAAAACTAATGTGCAGCTGCTCAGTTTCTTGTGCTTGAGCCAAAGCAGACTGCACACTAGTAATACTATACACTTGCACAGTTTGAGATCAGGGAGCGGGATTATGTGTCATCATTGCTTGTTGTATATTTCTCTTCGACAATGGACAATACTTGTTGGTTTCAACTTTTGGGATGCTCAAGTGTAGGAAATGACACAAGGGACTCTCTATATTTATATCAATTTAGCTTGGGAAATTGCCCAACAACTTTCCACTATATTACCAAAATGCCTCTCTAGCCTTTGATTTCAAATTAATATATTACACATACTCGATCTTAGTTCTCTACTAGGGTAACTTTTGAAATGCAACTAGAGAGAGAGAGAGAGAGAGCACATGGAATTTATGCAAAGCGTTGGTGTCTTATTTATTGCATGTTGCGACTGTTGACCACCCCTTCCCTTTTGTCTGCAACCTTATCCTTATGGATGATTTTGTCAAATATGAAAACTTTTTTAAGGCTATCAGTATGAGCAAACCATGTTGTGAGTATTAGCTAGCGTTAATCACCTATGTAAAAGTAAAAAGGAATTACATTATTAGCTAACATAATTTTCATCAATTCATATATAAATAATGGGTAATTAAAGCCGTTGTCACTTTTGATCACAAGTATGTGTAATTTCAACCATATATTATAAATAATGGCTTAGTGTGATTTTAGATCGAAATCAACATTAAATTTCTATAAGGGACAAATGCTTCTTTCTTTTTTTTTCTTTTTTTTTGTAAATACCACAAGGTGTCCCCATACCAGTAGGAAGGGATTAATCCTCGCTCGGAATTCGGCTTGCCCCTAGTTTGCTTCCAACAGGTTTCGAAGACAAAAACTTCTTTGATTTGGAACAAATTGCTAAAGTATGAATATGGTTTGAATACTTTAGGCTAATTTTTATTCTTCTCCATAAGGAGGTATATATAGGAGTTTACATGAGTGTTTTACAAGGAAATAGATATAGTGATCAATTATGATAGTATCTCTATAATTATACATGATTTGTCCAACTACTCAAATACAAAAACAAAAAAAAAAGTAAAAATTAATCAAAAAAATAAAACTCCTTGATTAATTAGGAGACTCCCGTCAACACTCTCCTTAAGTTGATGCATATATGTCACAAATGCCCAACTGGGTAAGTGAGTCATGAAATACTCTTCCACAAACAGGTTTTGTTAAGACATCAGCCAGTTGATCTTCTGATTTTACAAATGGTAGGCAAATGATCTTATTCTCAATTTTTTATTTGATGAAATGTTTATCCACCTCAACATGTTTGGTTTAATCATGTTGAACTGGATTATAGACAATATCGATAGCTGACTTGTTGTCACAATGCAACTCAATTGGATTTTCTAGCTTGAAGCCCAATTCTATTAAGAATCTTCTGATCCACAATAATTCACAAACTCCTTGAGCCATTCCTCGATACTCTGCTTCTGCACTAGACCGAGAAACCACATTTTGTTTTTTTACTCTGCCAAGTGACTAGGTTACCTCCCATGAATGTAAAGTAACCAAAAGTAGAGCGTCTATCTGTAGTGGAACCAGCCCAATCAACATATGTATATCGAACAACTTCAAGATCTTAATTTTTTGAGAACATTAATCATTTCCCAGGGGCTGACTTTAAGTATCTTAAGATCCGATCAACTGCATTCCCATGAGAAACACTGGGTGAATGCATAAATTGACTAACCACACTCACAACACATGCAATGTTTGATCTTGTGTGAGCCAGGTATATCAACCTTCCAACAAAGCATTGGTACTATTCCTTATTGGTTGGTTCTTGATCCATGTCTTCACACAACTTGTGATTCATCTCAATGTATGTGTCAGCGGGCTTACACCCAAGCATTTCTGTTTCAGTGAGTAGATCCATTACATACTTCCTTTGACACATAAATATACCAGTTTTTGACATTGCTACCTCAATTTTGAGAAAGTACTTCAAATCACCTAAATCCTTCATCTCAAATTCTTGAGACAAATACTTTGGCAGCTTCAGTTGCTCTTCAGTGTCATTTCCAGTTACGACTATATCATCTACATAAACAATCAATGCAGTAAGTATTCTTCCATCACTTTTCACGAATAGGGTGTGATCTGATTTACTCTGTGTATATCCAAAATTCTTCATAGATTTAGTAAATCTGCCAAACCATACTCTGGGAGATTGCTTTAATCCATATAATGACTTTCTAAGCTTGCAAACATGATTCTTCTTGTCACTAGCTAAATTACATCCTGGTGGTAGGTCCATATATATTTCTTCTTCCAAGTCTCCATGTAAGAATGCATTTTTTACATCAAACTGATGTAATGGCTAATTGAGATTTGCTACTAAACACAATAGGACTCTGATAGTGTTAATCTTGGCTACTGAGGCAAAGGTCTCCTAGTATTCTATCTCATATCTATGTGTGTACCCCTTCGCCACTAATATAATTTTATATCTTTCAATGGATCCATCTGCTTTGAGTTTCACAATATAAATCCACATGCATATTAGTGTCTTTTTTTTCATGAGGTAAGGGCACGAGTTTCCATGGGACATTCTTTTGGAGGGCTCGCATTTCTTCATTCATGGCTTCTTTCCATATTGAGTCTTCTAGTGCTTCAGTCACACTGTTAGGGGCAGATATGTCAGCCAACTGTTTCACAAAGTGCACACGTGCCTCTGATAATTTGCTGAGAGATATATAATTATTGATGATGTATTTCCCTCTGGCTTTAAGATTTGCTTCATATTATACTTGAGGTTTGCCACGGTTCTTCCTTTCTAGAAGCTAATATGTAGGCTCTATGCCTTCTGAAATCAAATTATCATGAGATATTTCATTAGTTTTCAATTTCAAGGAAAGATAGTACCTGATTGACTTCCTTAGTAGGTGATTGGTGTGGTACTAGAGCTGAAGAATTCTCTGAAGAAGGAAAAATATCATAAAATGGTTCAATTTCCTCCTTATGAGTTTGACAGCATGGAGACAATTGATCGTTTTTCTTTGGCGACCAGTCCCTGTCTTCTAGCAACGGATCGCTTTGAAGCAGGTTCTCCGTGTTCAAAGAACTGGGGGGGGGGGGGGGCGGGGGCTTTCCTCCTGACGACCGATAGTTTTGAAGCAGATTCTCCTTGCTCTAAGGGCTAAATGAGGATGGCCAGTCGCTTTCCACTGGCGACCGGTCGTTTTGAAGTAGAGTGACGTCATGGGGAAAAAATTGAGAATTTGAGGAGTGGTGGATTCTCGATTCTCCTCATGTACTGCTGAAAAGTATAAGTCGTGTTCTCAGAACACAACACCCATGGAGGTATACACCTTCTTACTAGGAAGATGATAACACCGGTATCATTTCTAATGAGGTGCATAGCCAATGAAAACACACTTTTCAGCTCGGGGATCCAATTTGATTCGTTGGTGATCATATAAATGGACAAATACAACATAGCTGAAATTCCAAGGTTCTTGGTTTGGGGTGGGAGGTATTTGGATATGGTGTTGAAGTGTTTAAAGTGGTGTTTGGAAATTTAGGATACTAGAAGGAATCTGATTGATGGGGCATGCTGCAAAGACGATAGCTTCTCCCCAAAAAGATCGAGGCATATTGGCATCAAAGAGAGAGGCATAAACTACTTTCAATAAATGTCTGTTCTTTCTTTCAGCCACTCCTTTCTATTAAGGAGTGTAAGGGCATGAGCGTTAATGTATGATGCCATGATCTTGTAAGAACTGGTTAAGATCATGGTTGAGAAATTCTCCGCCATTGTCAGAATGAAGAACCTAAATTCTAGCATGAAACTGAGTCTCCACCATTTAATGGAACTGTTGAAACCTGAAACTGACTTCCCATTTAGTTTTGAGAAAGGAAACCCAAGTCATATGTATGCAATCATTTATAAACATGACAAACCATCGAGCTCATGTTGGAGTAGCAATTTTAGCAGTTTCCCAAACATCAGAATGAACGAGAGAAAAAGTAACCAAACTCTTATTTGAACTTAATGGGAACATGACACGATGGCTCTTAGCTAATTCACACGTACCACACTAGAAGCTAGAAACATCAAGATTGGAAAATAATGAAGGAAAACTTCTTTAGATAACTGAATGAGGCATGCCCAAGACGTTTATGCAATAACCAAACTTTATCTCTCTCCCCCTCATAAAGAGTTCCACTGGTTGTGAAAGCTTGATCAATCTTGGTCTCACTATCTGGTGTCCAGTCCAAGTAGTAGAGTTTGCCCCGCCGAGTACCACAACCAATCGTCTTTCTAGTGAAGATGTCATGAAAAACATAATGATTCGGCCAAAATGTTACAATACACTCCATAATAGTAGTAAGTTGTGCAACAGACAACAAGTTATGGTCCAAGGATGGAACAAGCAATACAGAATCCAGATGTAGGGAAGTAGAGAGAGATAGAGAGCCCTCCCCAACCACAGGGGAGAGGCACTATTAGCATTAGACACCATCGACATAGTGGATGATTTGCGACTAATAAGTTGGCCAGGATCAAATGTCATGTGATTCGTAGCTCCCGAGTCAATAATCCATGCTGATTTTTAAGAGGACGTATAAAAAGAAGAACCTTTGGTGGTGGCGATAGAAGCACGAGTCCGGAAAGCCGGGTCAACAAGATTGACCGTATGCTTCTATGAGAAAATCGTAAGGGGTCCTGACATCACAGTGGAAGTAAGATGTGATATGAGAATGTGAGGAATTTGATTGGAGGAATGTGATTTGAGGAATATTATGTATGAATTTGATGTAGGAATTTGATTTGAGAGGTATGTATATAAGATTTGAGAGTATGTGTTTAGGGGTTTTGATAAGAGGATTTGAGGACTTTAGAGTTGAGGGATTTGGTTTTGAGGAATTTAAATATGAGGAATTTGATTTAGGGTTTTGGATTTGAATATGAGGCATTTGATATGAAAATTTAGAGACAATCGAGGATCGATTGCTTTGATACAATGCTAAAATATGAATATGGTTTGAATACTTTAGGTTAAGTTTTATTCTTCTCCAAAAGGAGGTATATATATAATTTATATGAGTGTTTTACAAGGAAATAGATACAATAATCAATTATGATAAGAAAGTAAATCCCTTATAATATAGAATGTATATATATTGATTGGAGTAGTACTGGTGGTGGTCCGATGAAGTGAAGGTGAGTAGTACTGGTGGTGGCCTCATAACTGATCTCATGCACATAAAATATCAGAAAATAAATCATTATATTCTCATTGCAGTATTGAAAAATTTCGGGGGAGTGTGGGGAGGGGATCAATCCACAAAATTTAATTATCAACCCTTGTTCTTTTTCCAATTTGGCTGTCCTTGGAGTAAATAATTGACTAGGGTTAATTTGCCACCACAAGATGCAATAATTCATTATTTCAACCACACACACACACATACAATTAACATTATATATTTTTTTTATAAGGTATCAATCAAAGTTGAAACACTAAACCAGTTTATCTCAATCCGTGACCATACATTGATGTCACAGTATTAATGATGGATAATGTATGGTCCTGAGGCTTAAAAAAAAAGAAAAAAAAAGCTTTTGTTCATGTGGACTTTGATATTAATTACTCTCACACGCCAGAGTACAAACCAAAGTTGTTAGCTTCATGATCAAGACACACAAGACAAGAACACAAGTTTTCTATAATTAAAAAAAAAGAAAAAAAGAAAAAAGAAAAAAAGAAAAAAAAAGACGAGAACAAAAGTTAAATATATACGTGGTTTAAATTAAACTAGCTTTTTTGTTTTTAAATTAGAAATCAATTCCAACATTGATTATCAACCCTTGTTCTTTTTCCAATTTGGTTGTTATTGGAAATGCAATAATTCATCACATTACACTGCCACCATGATGAATTTTGAATATGCATTGAATTCCCTCCTATGTTTCACCTATATATTTTGCAATATTCCTTTTTCTTGCTTTGCAATCAATAGAAAGTATTGATAGTAAATTCTGAGACATAACATTAACAGCCCAATAAAAGTAACCACAACGTGACTCTCTCTCTCTCTCTCTCTCTCTCTACATTTTAATAAGTTTTAAAAGTTACTCTAATACAGGAAAAACTAGGTGTAATCGAGTACCTCTCGACCTGCTACGATCCTTAGAAAAACAAAAATCCTTGTATATGAATATTATTGTCATTACCCTAGCATTTTGACCCAAAATTAAAAGTAAAAATAAAATTAGAGATATTTAGTCATATATCAATTCTTAACACTAATAATATAGATAAACCCTACACCGTTTAATTTCTATAAACAAATCAAGAAAAAAAACCCAAAAAATGACAGCTAGCCCTTTTGAATTTAATTTTGATCATTAAATTACATTGATGCCTTATTGAGTGTTTTGAGCTTTTTTATTTATTTATGAGATTTTGGGTTGGGTTTGTTTTAAGAAATCAATGGCAGTTTTATAATTTAAAAAAAGTTAAAAGCCTTTTTGTTAAGTTGTAAATGGGTTTTGGGTGTGTTTCTAAAGTCCATTTCATATAGGTTTTTTTTTAATAATTTGGACTCCTATATTGGGTATAATAATAAATCTCCCTAAAAATTACCTTATTAACTAATATAATTTTCATACATATATAAATCATGGTAATTAAAGAGATTGTATATAGGGCACTTTTGATCAACACACTGTATAATTACATTCATATATATATATATATATAATTGGTAATTGCCATCCATGCAGAGAGATGGTGGTGGTGAATCCAAAGGGTCCAGGAGTCTAAAAATCGAATGGCATTGACATAGAAATTTATTTTAAAATAATAATAATCTCCATTAGTTAATTAAATATTTTAATTTACTAACTACAGTAGGGTTAATTTGTTGCCATGCCATATGTCATAAAAAGTAAAAATAAAAGCTACCTTATTAGCATATATAAATAATGGATAATTAAAGAGATTGTCACTTTTGATCAGAAGTATGTGTAATTTCAACCATATATTATAAATAATGGCTTGATGTGCCTTGAGATTGGAATCAACATTAAATTTCTGTAAGGGACAAAGGCTTCTTTGATTTGGAACAAATACCATAATATAATGGACCAAATTCTTATTGATCTAATTATTCTACTCTATGGTTTTAAGGCTGGAGGCAAAGTAGTCCATGACACTATTATAATATAGAATGTATGTATATTGGTTGGAGTAGTATTGGTGGTGGTCCGATGAAATGAAGGCCAGAAATAACCACAAAACTCCTCATACATAACTTTTTCATCATCGAAAGAAAGTCTTTTGAGACTTCATACGCTTAGTAAATTAACAAGAATATGTTGTTATGGTATGCATCCATGTCCTGAGTAAATTTATGCCAACTTTTCAAACGAATTAAAAATATACAAGCCAAAATAGGAGCTGAAACACCCAAAATACGGAGAGGAATACGGAGAGGTGGTGGTCACTTTGGGTCCGATCCCGTGGCCTGTAGTAGCGGCGGTGGCTCTTGGAAGCCACCGACTGAACTGAAAATAAATGGGGGAGGGGGGTTCTGTCGCACCAAGGAGAGAGAGAGAAACAAATTCTAAAAACCAACTTCGCAAAAATTATGGTTATGCCACTGAACTTCATTTGATCGTATCTTTTTTGTTACAACTCCGATTCAAGCACACTACGTGTCTACAGACTTACCTCGGTACGATCTAAGTAAAAATACCACTCAATACCCCAAATTCTTCCGGATAAAAAAATGACCAATTTACCCCTAACCTGAGGGTAAAATTGTAAATTCATAAATAAATTAGGATTGGGTTGTTACACCGTTATACACAGTTGTGGTGCTCTTCTATCTCATATTGTTAGAGATAGGTTTGATACGGGCGATGGTTGATCAAGCATCCCCATGGAAGAACCCAATGATGAAGGGTCTTGAAGCCTTCAAACGCAAGCATGGCCTCCTTGTGGTGGGGCGGGCGGCGGCACTGCTCATGTTTTGGCAATCGATTATAATACTATACAAGGCTGCAAAGCATGGATTGTACGACTACCAATTCTACCACACCGCCACTATATCAGTTCTCATAGGTAATTCTCTCTTTTATTCTGTTGATTAAAGATAATATATATTATTAGAAGATATCACTCCCCATGGGTAAGAAAAACATCAATAAGCAAATTATTTAGGGACCTCAAAATTCTTCCACACACTTTGATATTGTTACATATATTTTACGCCGCGTACTTTAAATAGCATGATGAAAAGTTCAACATTAGTAGATTAGTATGGTATGGTACGAAATGGTTTTCTTGTATGATCGATCATGTCAAATCTCTGTTATCACGTAATTACGTATATAATTTTCTCATTTTTCTCAATGTACGTATAAACTCCAATACGTAGTTTACCTTTTTACCCTTTTACCTTGAGTTTCTAGCTAACATATATGTGTGGGTGCAGCGGTTTTTTTCTACCTTTTCTTGCTGATGGCCGATGTACACAAAACTTTAAACAGAATCAAAGCCTCAGAAGAAGAAGATAATAATGCTACCTTGAAGGCAATACTCAAAGAAGTATAATTGTAGCAAGAAAGAAAACAGTTTGAGTCGTTTACTTAGAATTTCATGTGGGTCCAGTTGACAGAATTTTATTTCTCAAGACCACATATTTGAATAAAACTTGGATGTAAGTTGTAATGGTGGATGGTAATGTATAACTAATATATTCGATCTTTTCATAAATATTATTACATGTTGTCACAGGTGGAAACCAGAAATAAATTTTTTAACGTGGTTCTGGTCTATTTGTTTCAAATAGCAGTTGGTAAAAGTATACCGTCACCGGCATCCCGGTCAAGTTAAGCTAAGTCCGGATATTGTGCAGTGGAGGGAACATTATTCCCTATAATAAAATCAAATTTATATTCTGTAAAACCTTTCAGTAATGAAAGATATAGAATTACAGAGGCAAGACAGGATGCTCAAGGCATGAAATTACAGTTTGCTAAAATTGCAGAAACATATGAATCTGAGTTGTGAAAGCCTTCCTAGTTAAAGTTGAACGTTTGTTTGTTTGTTTGTTTTTTTCTCTCTCTCTTTCATTTTTCTCAGTGACCAAACAGACTTTCAAAAACTTGGTGATTCAGAAATTGTTATCTGTTCATCACTATCTTCAAGCTCGGAAAATAAAGTAGAAAATTCATATCAAGCTTAAACATGTAAAATACGTTGACAATTGACTTGAAGGTGGCTCGTTTGTAAAGGAAATGTTAATTGGAAATGTTCAAAACGAATTCCTGAAATGATTAGCTGCCATTGGGTTTAGTGCACGCGTTTTTTGTTTTAGATGTAGGTCCTTTGACTTTTATTACTGTTTTTATTGTGTCGATTTTACCCTTTGAGGTACATAAGGAAAACATTGAAAATCTAAATTTAATGAATTATTTGCTTGTAATTAAATTTCAGAATTTAAATTTGGAATTCTTTCATTGATAATATTTACCTAATATATGGGTAAAATACAAATGAATCAATTGAAGTAAAGGCCCACATATTATACTAAGCAATTAGGCAAGCACCCACATTAAATTATGTACCTAACATACAGGTAAATAGTGTTCTTATTAGCAACGAAAAAAACTTAGTGATAAATCGTGTTACCTATAAGTCATGAGCATAAATTAGAATACTACCTATAAGTTAGGAACATAAATTAGAAGACTACCTATAAGTTAGATACAAAAATAGACAAACAAAATTGTATGTTACCTATAAAAAATGTACATAAAATACTATTATTCATTGTCTAAAATATGAAAAAACAAATATATACCTATGCAATAGGCGAACAAAAATAAAAATAATGGCATATAAATTCTCATCTTACTCATTTTAGACAATAGGGATATAATAGGAACAAAAAAATTTAAATACAAATCAGTTAAATACAAAAGTTTGAATCAACATGTCAAAGATGAAATGTAATCTACGTGGCAAACTAGTCAAGACACTTGTATCAATAAACAATAATTTGAGGACTATACCCAATTATTGGTTGGATTTTTGGACTTCTATCAACTTTTCTAAATTAATAATTAAAACTCATCGGAAAATTTCTAGTTCTTTAATCGGGTTATGCTTGTTGGCCTAATGAAGGATGGGAAGAGATTTTTTTAATTAATAGATTGCAGTTGTTGATTGCTGCTGGCATTCTTGATTGATGTAGTCAATGGTGGCCATGGAGGAAGAGGGATAGAAGTAGAGCCAACGGTGGGCACGGAGAAGAGATGTAGAGAGAGAATCATGAGAACTGTGCAATTCATAATTAGTCTATTAAAATAATAGTAATTTTAGCCAAAAAGTATTATTAAAAAGATTACTATAAATAGTAGTGAGATTTAATCTCAGCCATTTATAATGTGTTAAATCTAATCAAAACCATTTGTCAAAAATATGGTGCTATATATCTGTCTCTTTAGTACCCTCTCATTGCCACAGGCCCACAGCTGCTTATCTAGAACAAATATGTTTTTGGAAAGCTTATTGACCATTGATTCAATGTGTAAACTATTGCTACTAGTGTGTGGATGAGGGTGACGGTAAGGGTGAGCTAGCCATTAGAAGGGAATATGCATGGTTTGGTTTCCCAAGTCTTCTCAATAAGTTATACAACGCCAAACTCAAACTGCATATATATATGGTTTGGGTTGGGACCGCCAAGGAAACAGAAATAATTATCTGAGCCTCTAAATAGCTTTCAAAGCAAATGGAAGTCTTTACCACAGTCCACAATATCACATAGAGATTCAAAATAGTCTTTAAAGTCGAAATAGCCATCTCGGACTACACATAATAGATATCGCACAATGGTAAAAAATGACAAAAAACACATGCTCTCTAAAGAATCTGAAAATTCTAGACCGGTTTCCCCTATCACTAACTGGCTAAGTGCATATGATTGAAGTGATTGTAATTGGATACCTTATAACACGTGCACATTGCAGTGGCATTTTAGGAGATCCTTCCTCACGCAATTTGGAACTTCATGAATCTTTGCCCCAAATTTGAAGCATGTGCGTTCATTTGTTGAAAATGCTTTAAAAGAATGACCGACTTCAAGTTCATTGAGATCCCTTTTGACTGTAACTGGCATGCTCGGCCTATCTCCCGAGTTACGCTGCACACATAAAGGGCATGTTTACGTATCAGTAATGGGAATGAGAGGAAAGGGAATGATTTCCATTCCTGACTTCTCCTGCGTTTACTTGCAATCAGGAATGAAAAAATAAGTGGGCCCCACCTCAAAATCCGTAATCACATTCCCTCAAAACTAGGAATCAGATCAACTAGGGGAGAGTAGTCGATACGATTCCCATTCCTGTTTTCTCTTAATAACTTCCAAAAATACCCTTATCACTTTACCATAATTCTAAAATTAATTTGGATTCTGATTCATGCAAATTAGTAAACAATAACAATGGGAATCAATCCCATTCCATTGCTAATTCCAGATGTTTAGTAAACAGCTTAATGGGAATGATTCTTCCTATACCGATTCAGTAGTTCTCCGATTCCTAACTGATTCCTTAGTTTCTCCATTATTGATACGTAAACATGCCCAAAAGACCTACATGCATGAAATAATCTCACAACTTCATGTGGATCACCTGTGTACAGCATCCATGCCTAAAAGAATTTATCAAAAGTTCAAAATCATTGTGCTTACTTAAAAGAAGAAACCAATAAAATAAATAAACAGCAATGAGTGAATCCTATGTTTCTCTTCCCACTCACTATCTCTAGCATCAACCCACCAAAACTATAGACATCAGATTTTAGCGAGTAGAACCCATCAATTTCGTATTCTGAGGACATGTAACCACTACAAACCAATCAATCAAGAACTAAGTTCATAAGCAAATCAAGTATACTATATGTATGTATTGGTTCTTTTGTGATATATGTTGGAACCACCTTCTTGGTTTTTAAGAGCACAAAATAATTCATAAAAATTAATTACTATTTGATAAGTAATTTATGAAACAAATAATAACTAAAAGCTAATTAGTAATTATATTAATTAAATAAGACTAAGATATTATTCAATTAAAAATATAAATTAATTAGCTATTCCAAAATAATAATAAAATTTCTCCCTATGAAAATTAAAGTCTGCAAAATATTACAACGTAATAATTAATATTTATTAAGTAATATAATTTATGAATTTAATTAACATATTTAATACTAATTGTTCACCGGAGAAAATAATAATTAAAACATAATTACTAATCAAAGTAATTAAAATAAAGCAAAGATATTGTTTAATTACAAAAAATAAAATAAAATAATGTAAAGAAACTAATTTGATATTGCACACAGCCGCCCAGGCCGCCTAGCCCGATTTTTTGAAAATTTCATTGTGATTCTTTGTGTTATCGGCTTGATCTTTCCTCTTCTGTTGCCTACGTCAGTCCTGGTCAAGCATGCAATTGAAAATTATCGTTGATGTTGTCTGCTAAAAAACAAATAGCATGCGAAGATCACCTGTTAGACCCTTTTGTTGAGAATTTCGTACTGGAAATCAAAGTCCTCTTTGGGTAAGTCCTCAAAATCCTCAAAATAATCTTGTTCTGGTATATTTCTTTGTTGTTTTGACAAGGAAAACTGTATCTTATTCAAAACAGAGAAAGAAAACCTACAAGAAACATGGGCTAGAAAGAAAATAGAGAAAGGAAAACTATTTCTTTGTTCTTTTCGTCTTCAAATTTATCTTGTAGAAAACCATCAAAACTAGACCAACAATCATGACATGACATATGAAATCAGATTACATTTAGCCCAAAACTCTGTCCAATCAACATGAGTTACACTAAAGTAGTCTTTCAAATGCTTTAACAAACATGCCCCAAGAGAAGCTATTATAATATTTCTGTTAGTTTTGATACGTTAATATAATAATCCTGTCATATTGTGTTGTAACTCGCAAGTTTGTGGGAGTCTTTTTTGTTGTGTGTGTGTGTGTGTGTGTGTGTGTGTGTGTGTGCAGGGGGCGGGGAGATGGAGGGGAATGAAATGGAAGAAGGCCAATGCATTATGCATCCAAGGGAGAATTATGCCCCAATCCCGAAAATGGATTTCTCCAACCCTTAAATTAGATCTGCAAACGAATTTTGCACTCAATGTATTTCATATTTTTGTCATTTTGGGATTTGACATGCTTTTCTTCACATGTTGATGGTTTCGCGTTCCTCTGTTTTATTTTATTATATGGTAGCATGCAGGATATTGAACTTAGGCACATGTGGTATGCTCTAGATTTAGCTGTTCTTGCGGTTGGAGTGATGGAAAGGACTATGACTGGTGAAAGAAAAAGTTTTCATCAAGTTGCATTTGATCATTTGAAAGATCTACAGAACCATTTGGGGGCTGTCAATGACATCCCTCGCAAGGTAGTCTATTCTGAATATGGTTTTCTTTTAGCCTAACATTTTCAATCTTACCTCCTTTTTGTGGTTGTTAAAACTGTTATTTTCTCATGTTTATGCAAGATAAGTTCAACTTGCAATTACATGTCTAACATGTTTCCTCGGGCAAATCTGTTGCTTGTTGTCTTTGAAAGTTGTTTTGTGTAAAATATAGTCACCAAAAAGTGCATGCAAAACAAACTATTTATCATTCATGTTCTGATGCTAGAGAATTAGCAATTGCTAAATGGATTGCTTTTTGGTATTTTGTTCAATTTTACTTTGAAGTTTCATGTTTTCCTTTGAAATCTAAATGCTCTCAATTTGTTTGTGATGTCATCAGTTTTATTAGTTTGCTGCATCTTTTTTCCTGTTCTTCATTGTAATTATTTTATAATGCTTCTGTAATGATGCAGATCATGATGGCGAATGTCATAAGTTCGCTTTTACATATGGATGATCTTTCTCTCAATTTGGCTCGTTGTGCCTCACCATGGAGCTATTCTGAATCACATTACACATGTGCTTCAGAGCAAACTGATCTAACACGTGAAGAGGGAAACAAATTAGTTGTATCTTTCACGGGGAAACTACTAGATATATTACATCACTATCTTCCTTCAACTATAAGTTTATAACTGAACTAGATCATGCTCTAAGTGATGGCGTAAGTAAGGGTGGAAGACCAAGCATTGGAGTGGAGAGCGTCAAGTGCTAAACATTTGAAGAGTGGGAATGGCTGTTGTCAATTTCGCAGCATCTTCTTTCGTTATCTGAACGCTAGTGGCAGTGGAAAGAGGCATTAACTGTATTACGTCCCGCACCATCTAAGCTACTTAACCTGTGAGTCGCAAGCCTTTTCTCCTTTGGGAATTTATAGGATGATCAATTGGTACTTGTGCATGAATTGCTTTTGGATATTTGTTATAGATCACTGGTTTGCAAATGGTAGTTTATCCTACAATAAAATGGTAGTTTATGACGATTATAAACTATAATGATCATCCAGGCCAAACAAAAAATTTAACATTTTCCCGTTTAATATTCGTATTATACACATACTTATGTATTTTTCAATAATACTTCCCTTTTTCGCGCACGTCTTAGCAAGAATTCACAGATTCGTTCACTTACTAGCACTAGTTCGTACGTTACCTTAGAAAGCAAGCAGCCGCGACCTCCGCACGGAGTATAACCGTGCTGCGGCTATGGCGGCTAAAAAATAAATTAAAATAATTGGCCGTCTAGGTGCTATTAGGCGAGTCCTTTTTTTATTTCATTTAATTTAATAAATAGTACAGCCGCATGGCTATACTGTGGTTTTTTTAATTTTTTAAAATAAATAGTATGGCCGTGCGGCTAGACGGTTAAATGTTATATATTTAAAGAGTATAGCCGATCGGCTATATTGGGGGTCCTTTTTTTATTATTATTTTTTCCATATTTTCCTTTAGAGCATTATCCATTACTATTAGGCCATTACCCGAGTCTCTATAGTCCCCTTTTGATTTTTCACATTTCCAGAGTTACTACGCTTATAAAGAATTTAGCAATTTCCCGTTTAATACTTGTATTATACATACGTGTTTTTCAATAATACTTCCGTTTTCCGTACACATCTTAAAGACTCGGTAAAATAGACATGTAGCACTCGAGAGAGCGACTCCAAGGTAGACGTTCGCACGGAAAAAAAGAAAAAAAAAGAAGAAGAAATAATTGGACTCTCATATTGATTTACTATGAAATTTCCATTTTTCCAATATCTGCTTTGGATATGTTGAAACTAACAAATTAATAACTATAAAGTATAAACTAATGGAAGTAGGCCACATAATTTCAAAATTTCTAGGGCATCCTTCTTTGCAAACTCAACAACTAGAAAGCTTATGTTTTGCTTCCAGCGTAACCTCTCTTTGTTAACTGTCTTTCCCGAGCAGAAGGGTACTTGCAATACACTTATAGTGGGAATTCAAATCATGTTATTCTCTTATGAGAAATTCATCCTATTTATCTGTCCTTGAAAGTTTAGTAATTTGCTAATTGTCTTCCCAGCTACTCAACTTAAACTAAATACTGTAGGGTTTCTACTTTCTAATCAAGTTTCCAATGCTGCTAATTGTAAGATTTTTTAAGGTGACAGACAGTTACAGAAAACTTTATCAAATTAATATAATTATCTTCTAATTAGAGTCAAACTCTCCATATATAGTGCAGACTAAAAGAAACACACCCCTCACTGGTTCATCAGGTGTACTCAAGGTGAGCAGCCCTAGAGTTCTTGTCCTTGTTGACTATAAGAACACTATCAATCTATTGGTAGTCTTTAATAAAAATGTCTTGTCCCTGTTAGTTGGAAAGAGTCAATTTCCCCTCTCATTCTCTCTGAGTTTCTAATGTTTTTTTGTTTGCCTTGGTTCCTGGCATTACATGGTAGTCTTTAACCCACCAATGAATTCCCCAGGTGTGGCTGCATCAAGGATGAAGCCTCCCCTAAAGAAAGAAACATCAATGAAGCTTTTGAGACTTAATTAACTTGATATATGTAAATATGTAAAACAGCAGCCATGACAAAACAGTGCATTCAGAACATCAACATAGGATGCAAAGGCGATCCCCACACATATTCTCAAGCAACATTTTTCTGATCAACTTCTAATACCAAACAGTATATTAACTCTAATTCAAATCACAACATGAATTGTTGAAATCATGATAGAATACACATATGTAACATCTTAAAAGGAGAAGTTACCCACTTCCAAGGAGCATCTCGAGCAGGAAGATTCGAAGGCTTCAGACTGAGACTAGCAAAAATATTCACGAGATCTCTTTCTTCACTATCTGCAAGATTATGTTCAACAGCACAAGTGTTACCACATAAAGGAAGGAAGGTAGGTTCAATAAATGACAAGGCAACAAAATTACCAACCACAGTCACAACTGTGCTACAATTTCAATGTTGCGAAGATATATACTCTTAACTTGTTAGGAAAGAATCGGACACCCAAAAATAACAACTAAATATATTACCAATTTTATAAAACTTAAAAGAAGACTTAAAATATAACCAATTCTGCAGTTCCAAAATAAATAAAATAATAATTTGTAAGTCATAACCTTTCCTGGACTGGAAATAGGTGATGGGTGCCTCATTGTTGAACTCTGCGTGGCTCCTTTACTATTTTGGACTCCATCTTCTTATAAGAAGACATCCGTTAATCGCTTCTACCCAATATGCTCATTTCCAGAAGCTACGGAAGTCTTTGTTTCTCCTATAACTGAGATAAGAAATCATAAGCATTGCACATATAGCATCCATTTACCATAGGAATAAAATGCTATCTTCACACTTTTAATAACACATCCAAAATATTTTGATAAAAAAAAGCTGAGTAGATACAAGTAGTCTGTCTCAACACTTTTACTAACCCAATTCTATTGCATGAACTCTATAATAAGAGCACTTTATAATTTTTCTTTTTATAAGAAACACAAATTTAAGTTACAAACTTCCATTAAAATAAAACAAAGAAAGAGGATCGTGATGCAGAAGACACTGTTGATGATAATAGTGAAGATTATTTGTACCATTCCTTATACTCAGTTCTGATGATTTGACTTCAGTAGCAGGCAAAGTTGCATCTTCTAGATGGTCACTGGACTAGAACCATATTCCTTTGAATTCTGCTAACCACGAGGAGCCTTTGGTTCTGACGAAGACATAAGAGCAACCAATTGCACCACTAAGAGTATATCAAAAAGCAAAAACTTTCACTATCTAGCATGTACACAATCATCCATATATACAAGGGGAGAATGGAGATGATGTGGCTTATAGAATCAAAGCATGATAGGTAAAATGGAGGGTTTTGTTAAGCATATATATAGTGTCATCATCCTATTTTGCTAGAATTGAAAGCTAAGTTTATAGAACAGCTGTTAGACCAGCCATGCTATATGGGACTGAATGCTGGACAGTTAGAAAACAGACATATTCATAGTTCCTGTAGGTACATATTAGCCAAATGTTACAACCAGCACAGTGATATGCACACCTCTATCTCTGTTTCTCTAACGGCATATTAGCCATTATTTAGACACAAATTGTTAAGAGATCAGATTAAAATATTTGTCATATTTTGAATCCTTCAAAATTGGAAATGTTTGCTGAATAATCTTTACTATGCTTCAAAATTGAAGGGTCATTGCCTCAACCTTAAAAGCCTGGTTTTTATAGTGAAAGGGATGTCAATGAACTCGATGTTAAATAACCCGCCTTCTAGATCTTGTTCTTTGATGTAACCAACGGCAATAGACTAAACTAGCAAATATTAAAACACTTAGAAACACACAAGAATTATACTGGTTCGGCAGAACTTTTGCCTACGTCCAGTTGTGATTTCTCTAGGTAGAGAAATCACCGCTCCTTTGATTAATAATAGAGATTACAGAACTTTTGCAACCCTAGAACTAATCTCAAAACTCTTGGCTGTCTCTGGCTGTTTTTCCTCTCTTTAAAATAAGCCTTGCCACACCCTATTTATAGATATAGAGTTGGCTTACATGTCCCAAGGCTGATTGGATTCCTATTTCTAAGTGGATTAGGAAATTACACTTATCCAAATCCTAATAGACTTCTAGAAATCCAAACCTGAATTGAATAAGGAAAACTGAAATTCTTTCCTAATCCCTCTAGGACAAGAATTGGTATACCTCTAATTTTCCTAAAACAATCCTAAACCAACTAGGACATATTTGACGAGCCAAAATCCTAACAATCTCCACCTTGGTGAGTCAAACCAAGTCTTGATCGTTGCACCCCAGAGTATCTTTGAACCTCTTTGAAGCAGCTCTGGAAATCTTCAAGAGTCTTCACCTTGGCAATCTTCTTCTTGCCTCCTTGCACCTCAAGTGAGGAGGTGCTCCACTTTAATCAATCAACGAGATTGATCAAGTTCAAGCAATGCTTGAACTTCTTGGCCGGCACTATCTTTGTAAGGAAATCTGCAGCATTGTCATCTGTATGAATCTTTTCAATCCAAATCTCCTTAGACTCCACCCAATTTCTGATTCTGTGATATCTTGCTTCAATGTGCTTTGATCTTCCAGAAAAAACTTGATTCTTTGCCAAGTGAATGGCACTTTGACTATCACACTTCAGCTTCACACAATCTTGGGTGATTCCCATTTGACTTACCAAGCCATTAAGCCAAATTGCTTCCTTTCCAGCTTCGGCCAATGCAATATACTCTGCCTCTTTGGTCGACAAAGCTGTAATTGGTTGCAGTAGTGCTCTCCAACTGATCGGTCCTCCTGCGCATGAAAACACATAACCAGAAGTTGACCTTCTCTTGTCCAAGTCCCCTGCATAATCAGCATCCACATATCCCAACACCCTTGCATTTTCTTTTTGCTTCTCAAACATAATCCTTTGTCGCCAAGAACCCTTCAAATAACGCAAAATCCACTTGACTGCATCCCAATGTTGCTTTCCTGGATTTCCCATGTATCTGGAAACAACACTGATTGCTTGAGCTATGTCTGGACGTGTGCATACCATTGCATACATAAGGCAGCCCACGGCATTAGCATAAGGAACCTTCTCCATTACTTGCTGCTCTTCCTCGGACTTAGGACACTGTTGCCCACTTAACTTGAAGTGAGCTGCCAAAGGAGTCGAAACTACCTTTGCTTCTTGCATGTTGAACTTCTCAAGAACCTTCTGAATATACTTGGCTTGTGATATCCAAATCCTTCCAGCGGTCCTATCTCTCTGAATTTCCATGCCAAGGATCTTCTGTGCTGCACCTAGATCCTTCATGTCAAACTCCTTGCTCAACATCTTCTTCAAGTCTTGAATTCTAGACTTGTCTTGACAAGCGATTAGCATGTCATCCACATATAGCAATAGCAATATGATCATCCCATCTTGGAACACATGATAGTACACACAACAGTCATATAAACATCTTCTAAAATTGATTTTCAGCATGAAGTAATCGAACCTCTTGTACCACTGTCTTGGAGACTGTTTCAGGCCATACAGGGACTTCTTTAGTTGACATACTAGGTTTTCCTTCCCATATTCAACAAACCCTTCTGGTTGAGCCATGAAAATTGTCTCCTCTAGATCCCCATGAAGAAACGCTGTCTTCACATCCATCTGCTCAATCTCCATGTCATGCTGAGTTGCCATTGCTAAAAGCAATCTGATAGAAGTATGCTTAACTACGGGTGAAAAATCTCATCATAATCCACCCCTTCCTTTTGTGAGTACCCTTTAGCCACGAGCCTTGCTTTGAATCTCACGGCATCTTGTTCATGTAGTCCTTCCTTTTTCCTAAATACCCACTTGCATCCAACTAGCTTTCTGTCTTTGGGCTTAGGAACCAACTCCCAAACAGAGTTCTTGTAAAGAGACTCCATTTCTTCTGTCATAGCACTTATCCAACTATCTCGCTCATCACTTGCTATAGCTTCTCGATAAGTAGTTGGATCTCCTTGACTAATGTTGAGAGCATAATTAACTTCGTCTTGGTCAAACCCAAACCTGTCAGGTTTCTTCTTGTTCCGATTAGGTTTGTCCAGTGCTATGCATCTCTGGAATGCAGGTGGATTGTTGGTTGGAGTTCTAACCCTTTGGGATGTCTGGCGGATTAGAGTGCCTTCAATCTGCCCTATTTCTTGCTCCACTTGATTCCTAACTGGTGAACAATGCTGATGCTCATCTTCTTCCTCAAAACCATCAGATTCGGCATCTTGCTCAAATTGCTCCACCTGAGCTTCTTCGTCTGAACTGATTAGCGGAATCTTTGTTGCTTCAATTTCAGCATCGTCTTTCTTCTCCCTACTGCTCTCGACTTTATTCAGAGGCATGGTTGTCTCATCAAAGACAACATCTCGGCTGACAACCTTTTTCCTGTTGTTGATATCCCAAAGCTTGAAACCCTTCACTCCTTTCTCAAAACCTAAGAATATGGAATGTGTAGACTTTGGTTTGAGCTTGGACCTTTCATCGCTTGGAATATGTGCATAAGCACTACAGCCGAATACCTTGAGCTTGGAATAGTCCACCGGCTTCTCAGACCATACCTCTTCTGCACTCTTAAAACCGAGAACTGTAGATGGTGATCTGTTAATCAAATAACTTGCATGATTAACAGCTTCTGCCCAAAAACTATCAGGCAATCCTGCATGAAATCGCATGCTCCTTTCTCTCTCCATGAGAGTTCGGTTCATTCTCTCAGCAGCTCCATTTTGTTGGGGATTCTTCTTTACTGTGAAGTGCCTTGTGATGCCTTCTTGCTTGCAGTAATCAGTAAACTCATTACTTGTATATTCACCTCCATTGTCACTTCTCAGGTACTTGATCTTTCTTCCAGTTTGATTCTCGGTTTCTGTTTTCCATTCCTTGAACTTTGCAAAAACCTCGGATTTCTGCTTCATGAAATAAACCCAAACCTTCCTAGAAAAATCATCCATGAAAGTAACAAAATACCTGGCTCCACCATTTGATTTGGTTGGTGCAGGGCCCCAAACATCTGAGTGAATATAGCTGAGTTGCTCCTTGCTTCGGTTATCTGCACTGCTACTCGTGAATGATACCTTCCTTTGCTTTCCAAGAACACAATATTCACAAAAGTCCAGTTTGCAAGATGACACGCCTTCCAACATGCCTTGTTTGTGTAATTCTTGCAACCCTTTCTGGCTTATGTGCCCGAGCCTATGATGCCAGAGTTCAGTCTTGTCTTCTATACCTTGATTTACAGAAACAGCTGCTCCCCCAACTATAGTGGTCCCAATTAACTTATACAGCTATTGGGTTGTAGGTCACCCGCATTACCACCAGTGATCCTTTGGCTACCCTGAGTCTTCCCTTTTTAGACTCGTACCCATAGCCGGCCTCATCTAAAGTACCCAAGGAAATCAAATTCTTTCTTAGTCTAGGAACATATCTAACGTTCCCCAAAACTCGTATCATCCCATCAAACATTCTGATTTGAACAGTGCCGATTCCTTTTACAGGACATGAAGAATCGTCCCCCATTAAAACTTCCCCGCTGCTGACTTCTTTGTAAGTATCGAACCATTCTCTTACTGCACACATATGAAAAGTGCATCCGGTATCCAAAATCCAATTTGTGAAAGCCTTGGAGCCTGATGTTACTGAAAGAAGCTCCCCGTCACTCTCATGCTCGGTGACTGCACTAGCTGAACCTGAGCTTCCTTCCCTCTTGGCTTTCTTCTCTTTCCAAATCTTGCAGTTCCTCTTCCAATGATCGGCTGAACCACATTCGAAGCAACCTTCCTTCTTTTCCTTTTTCTTCTTGGATTTTGACCTACCTCTGTTGCCTGTTTTGTCTTCCTTCGTCTTTTCCCGCCCCCTCTCCTTGCCTTTGGCATAAAGGCCTTGAGAGCTTTCAGTTATATCATCTAGTTTAGCATATGACTGAAGAGCTTGAATCACGTCTTCAAGCTTCAGGGACTCTTTTCCAAACATTAGAGTTGTTCGAAAGTGCTTGAAAGACGAAGGTAGAGACCTCAGCAAGATGATAGCCATATCATCATCTTTGTAAGTTTCTTCGACCTTCTGAAGATTAGTTATGCAATTTTGAAACCTGCATACGTGATCTTCAATATCACCTCCTTCTTCCAGTCGAAGTCCGAATAGTTCATCCTTTAGAAAAAGTTTATTGGACACGGTTTTGCCCATATAAACATTCTCCAACTTTTCCCATGCTTCTTGGGCAGTCATCTTTTCGGTGATGTGTGACCGAACTGATCTTGTGAGATGGATCTCGATGGAACTCTTGGCCTTCTTGAGAACCTTGGTCCATGTTGCGTCTGTCATGCCTGTCGGCTTCTCACCGCTGAGTGCATCATCCAAATCTTGCTGTATCAGTACGTTCTTCATCATCCTTTGCCAATCCGTGAAGTCATCCTTGCCGTCAAAGGGCTTTAACGCAGGTCCTAGATCCGCATTCATCTTCCCTTTAGACATCGTAGAACCCCTTAACCTAGGCTCCTGATACCACTTGTTAAATAACCCGCCTTCTAGATCTTGTTCTTTGATGTAACCAACGGCAATAGACTAAACTAGCAAATATTAAAACACTTAGAAACACACAAGAATTATACTGGTTCGGCAGAACTTTTGCCTACGTCCAGTTGTGATTTCTCTAGGTAGAGAAATCACCGCTCCTTTGATTAATAATAGAGATTACAGAACTTTTGCAACCCTAGAACTAATCTCAAAACTCTTGGCTGTCTCTGGCTGTTTTTCCTCTCTTTAAAATAAGCCTTGCCACACCCTATTTATAGATATAGAGTTGGCTTACATGTCCCAAGGCTGATTGGATTCCTATTTCTAAGTGGATTAGGAAATTACACTTATCCAAATCCTAATAGACTTCTAGAAATCCAAACCTGAATTGAATAAGGAAAACTGAAATTCTTTCCTAATCCCTCTAGGACAAGAATTGGTATACCTCTAATTTTCCTAAAACAATCCTAAACCAACTAGGACATATTTGACGAGCCAAAATCCTAACACTCGAGGTCTATCCTTCTTCTAAAGCATTTTCAGCTAATGAAGTCACAGTCCTTTTACACTAATGGAGACTCGATAAACGATATTTCATGTTGGTATGATAACCTGGTGCTTTTGAAGTCAGTTTGAAAATTGGTATGTTAATCTGGTGCTTTTGAAGTCAGTTTGAAAAGTTCAATATAATTAAGAGATTCCCAACCCATGCGTTAGCAAATGTACCCTCTAATATTTTTTATTTGTTTTCTTTGGAGTTGAGGTGGAATTCACATAACAGAAACACAGATGTTGATACAAGAACAAATATAAAAGCTTAAATGAATTAGATTTTCACTGGAGGTGGTGTAATATTCAATTTTTTTTTCTGTTCTTTGGTGGGTTGGTTTGGGTTCCTATGCAACAGGAGGAGGAGACAAATCTTTCTTCTTCTTTTTTCTCTCAGCAAACAAGAGGGCATGATCAAATGTCAAAATCTATAACAGAAATGCAAATATCCAAAGAATGAAAAGCGGTCCAACCAAGAAGAAACTAGCAAATATTAGTGAATCAGCAAAACTTATGAATTTAGCAAATAGAGAACCTGAAGCCAGTTTCAAGCAGAAAAAACTTACTTGTGTAATATGAAGAGCCTGCTCAAGCCACTGAATTTGAATCCATTGTTCTGTAACAATGTCAGCCATCTGAAAGCAAAGAGAAAGAAGCCAATGGCAAAATGAACACCACACTAACAACATCACACATTCATAGCCATAGACCAAAGATGGATTGAGTACATCAGTGAATGACCTTGTGAGCCTGAGAGGCAACCATTTCGAGTCTATCCTCGACATCTTGTGCTTTAGACTCTAAAAAATCGGCCTAGGCGGGCGCTAGGGTGCTAGGCGGGCGCTAGGCGGCTAGGCGGGCGCTAGGCGGCTGGGCGGGCCTCCTAGGCGGGTTGGGTCTTTTTTCGGTGCCGAACCCGAAGGAAGAAGCAGCCGAAACCGAAGAAAGCAAATCAAAGCTTGAGTTGATAGAGAAGCGAAACTTCGACTGCAACCACCGTCCTTTGCGAGTGCAAGCTTCGTGTTCGTTTTGTATATATTTAAACAGTATAGCCGAACGGCTATAACCTTAAAATATTCAAATATATTAACATTTCAAGCGTATAGCCGAATGGCTATACTTTTAAAATATTCTAATATATTTGGCGAGTATAGCCTTTCGGCTTTACTCTTTAAATATACAATTTTGTAATATCATTTTAAGGTTTGGGGCTGAAATACCCCTTCAGTCCATTGGACTAGAGCTATTTCTTCAAAAAAAAAATTTGTGAAGAAACGAGGCTAACGCCCACAGAAGAAATTAAACAATGGCTCGATGCCTACAGACTCCAAGTAAATCTTCACTAAGAAATGACCTAATACTGTCAGGAGGGTCATGGAAGGTTGAGAAGCCCAACTCAAGACATGAACCCAATTCAACTAGTTTATCTGCTACCAAGTTGAACCCCCGATACACATGATGAATAGAACAAGCCCAGTTTTTGTTTATATAGTATTGGCATCCCCACAACATAGCAGCAAGAGGATGAAGGTCTTCCACATTTTAGTTAAGCAGGTGTATCGCGGTCGCTGAGTCAGACTCAAGCACAAGTGCACTCCAATGAATTCTCCAGGTGTGGCTGCATCAAGGATGAAGCCTCCCCTAAAGAAAGAAACATCAATGAAGCTTTTGAGAGCACTTAATTAACTTGATATATGTAAATATGTAAAACAGCAGCCATGACAAAACAGTGCATTCAGAACATCAACAAAGGATGCAAAGGCGATCCCCACACATATTCTCAAGCAACATTTTTCTGATCAACTTCTAATACAAACAATTTGATAATAATGGTGAAGATTATTTGTACCATTCCTTATACTCAGTTCTGATGATTTGACTTCAGTAGCAGGCAAAGTTGCATCTTCTAGATGGTCACTGGACTAGAACCATATTCCTTTGAATTCTGCTAACCAGGAGGAGCCTTTGGTTCTGACGAAGACATAAGAGCAACCAATTGCACCACTAAAGAGTATATCAAAAAGCAAAAACTTTCACTATCTAGCATGTACACAATCATCCATATATACAAGGGGAGAATGGAGATGATGTGGCTTATAGAATCAAAGCATGATAGGTAAAATGGAGGGTTTTGTTAAGCATATATATAGTGTGATCATCCTATTTTGCTAGAATTGAAAGCTAAGTTTATAGAACAGCTGTTAGACCAGCCATGCTATATGGGACTGAATGCTGGACAGTTAGAAAACAGACATATTCATAGTTCCTGTAGGTACATATTAGCCAAATGTTACAACCAGCACAGTGATATGCACACCTCTATCTCTGTTTCTCTAACGGGATATTGGACATTATTTGACACAAATTGTTAAGAGATCAGATTAAAATATTTGTCATCTTTTGAATCCTTCAAAATTGAAAATGTTTGCTGAATAATCTTTCCTATGCTTCAAAATTGAAGGGTCATTGCCTCAACCTTAAAAGCCAGGTTTTTATAGTGAAAGGGATGTGAATGAACTCGAGGTCTATCCTTCTTCTAAAGCATTTTCAGCTAATGAAGTCACAGTCCTTTTACACTAATGGAGGCTCAATAAACAATATTTCATGTTGGTATGTTAATCTTGTGCTTTTGAAGTCCAATTGAAAAGTTCAATATAATTAAGAGATTCCCAACCCATGCGTTAGCAAATGCACCCTCTAATTTCTTTTATTTTTTTTTCTTTGGAGTTGGGTGCAGGTCACACAACAGAAACACAGATGCTGATACAAGAACAGATATAAAATCTTAAATGAATTAGATTTTTCACTTGAGCTGGTGTAATATTTCTTCTTTTTTTTCTGTTCTTTGGTGGGTTGGTTTTGGGTTCCTATGCAACAGGAGGAGGAGACAAATCTTTCTTCTTCTTTTTTTTCTCTCAGCAAACAAGAGGGCATGATCAATTGTCAAAATCTATAACAGAAATGCAATATCCAAAGAATGAAAAGCAGTCCAACCAAGAAGAAACTAGCAAATATTAGTGAATCAGCAAAACTTATGAATTTAGCAAATAAAGAACCTGAAGCCAGTTTCAAGCAGAAAAAACATACTTGTGTAATATGAAGAGCCTGCTCAAGCCGCTGAATTTGAATCCATTGTTCTGTAACCGTGTCAGCCATCTGAAAGCAAAGAGAAAGAAGCCAATGGCAAAATGAACACCACACTAAGATCACACACTCATAGCCATAGACCAAAGATGGATTGAGTACATCAGTGCATGACCTTTTGAGCCTGAGAGGCAACCATTTCGAGTCTATCCTTGGCATCTTGGGCTTTAGACTCTAAAACATGAAGATCGAAGTTGTACTTTCTTGATGCAGCCCACAGAAGCCGTACCTAAAAAGCATTGCAAAGCCCATTTCTCAAATCCAACAAACCCTTTCTGCTACTTTTTCATTGAATTGAAAATTGCAAAAATTAAATTGAAAAAGATGTGACCCTCTTCTTCTAGAGCATGAAGCCTCTCATCAGTAGCCAATGAGTCTCTCTGTGACATACAAATGCAACCAAATATTTTATATTTGCTTTCAATTTAGCATATACTTGAAAGCTGAAGATTTTAAGCTGAAACCGGAAACAAACCTTAAGAGTGAACAAAACATACTGCAAATGATGTATCTGGGTTTAATAGAAGTACGGAACTTACTCAAGGAATGTGAGATGTTGTGCATGAAGAACTGCTCCTGCACGGCTTTTGCAAACTTGGATACCGGGGATGGAGGAAGTGGGTGCCTGCTGTGGCTTAGTGAGCTGATTGAGTACATCAGTGCATGACCTTTTGAGCCTGAGAGGCAACCGTTTCGAGTCTATCCTTGGCATCTTGTGCTTTAGACTCTAAAAAATCGGCCTAGGCGGGGCGGCTGGGCGGCTAGGCGGGCGCTAGGCGGCTAGGCGGCTGGGGGGGCCTCCTAGGCGGGTTGGGTCTTTTTTCGGTGCTGAACCCGGAGGACGAAGCAGCCGAAACCAAAGAAAACAAATCGAAGCTTGAGTTGATAGAGAGGCGAAACTTCGACTGCAACCTCCGTCCTCTGCGGCTAGGCGGGCGCTAGGCGGCTAGGCGGCTGGGGGGGCCTCCTAGGCGGGTTGGGTCTTTTTTCGGTGCTGAACCCGGAGGACGAAGCAACCGAAACCGAAGAAAACAAATCGAAGCTTGAGTTGATAGAGAAGCAAAACTTCGACTGCAACCTCCGTCCTCTGCGAGTTCAAGCTTCGTGTTCGTTTGGAATATATGTAAATAGTATAGCCGCGCGGCTATACTTTTAAAATATTCGAATGTGTTTAGAAAGTATAGCCGACCGGCTATACGTTTAAAATATTCTAATATACGTTTCCTAATCATAAATCACAGGTCTTAATCTACATATTTTAAAAATATTGAGTAGTTGTATTGTCGAATACTAGCCCATTATAGACTCCCAATCTGTCCCTGAATAGAGTCTAATAAAACATCTGATCTTGACCCAGTCCACTTCATAAAGCTGTTATAAAATAACTAAATGTCCCATGACCAGGAGATTTTATCAGGTCATAATAGCCTTAACTTTTCACCTCATATCAAAATTTGACCAAATTCATAACTGGGAGACTGAAATCAACGTCACATGACCAAATTTGAAAAATCCCCGTAAATTGTATACTAGTCCAAATTCGAAGATATTTATATTCACGGAAAGCTGGGGATGTCTAGTTTCTCAATATCAAAATTTCAGAAGGAGAAGCTATTGTTACCTTCTCGAACCCTCCTCTCTAAACTCCAGCCATTAGTGTGCCTCCAGAAAACCCTTTTTCCCTTCTCTCTCTCTCTCTCTCTCTCTCTCTCTCTCTCTCTCTCTCTCTCTCTCTCTCCTTTTTGGGCTTTTTTTCTCTGTAACCAACTGAGCTAAACCCTAAAGTTCATATCGCTAAAACCCTAGCTGGCCTCATAAAACATATCGGAGAGTCGGCCTGCTCACACACCTACTTACACTTTCGTAAATTAAAGTATCTTGGACCTAAAAGTTTATAATAAGCTTAAGTAAACTATTACACTCAGCCTTATTCACAGATATATCATAGTATAACATAAAGATCAGGAGAAAATTGACGTAAACAAGTCGGGCCTTACACTCATATTCCAGCAATACCAATGAAAGATTATGGATTTTCTTCCTTGACTGGTTCGATATGATCAAATTTAACTTAAAAATTGAATAGGTGAGCAGCCCTGGAATTCTTGTCCTTGTTGACCATAAGAACACTATCAATCTATTTGGTAGTCTTTAATGAAAATGTCTTGTTCCGGTTAGTTGGAAAGAGTCAATTTCCCCTCTCATTCTCTCTGAGTTTCTAATTTTTTTTGTTTGGCTTGGTTCCTGGCATTACATGGTAGTCTTTAACCCACCAATGAATTCTCCAGGTGTGGCTGCATCAAGGATGAAGCCTCCCCTAAAGAAAGAAACATCAATGAAGCTTTTGAGAGCACCTAATTAACTTGATATATGTAAATATGTAAAACAGCAGCCATGACAAAACAGTGCATTCAGAACATCAACATAGGATGCAAAAGCGATCCCACAAGTTGAAAAAAAAAAACAAAAACACATATTCTCAAGCAACATTTTTCTGATCAACTTCTAATACCAAACAATATATTAACTCTAATTCAAATCACAAAATGAGTTGTTGAAATCATGATAGAATACACATCTTAAAAGGAGAAGTTACCCACTTCCAAGGAGCATCTCGAGCAGGAAGATTCGAAGGCTTCAGACTGAGACTAGCAAAAATATTCACGAGATCTCTTTCTTCACTATCTGCAAGATTATGTTCAACAGCACAAGTGTTACCGCACAAAGGAAGGAAGGTAGGTTCAATAAATGACAAGGCAACAAAATTACCAACCACAGTCACAACTGTGCTACAATTTCAATGTTGCGAAGATGTATACTCTTAACTTGTTAGGAAAGAATTGGACACCCAAAAATAACACCTAAATATATTACCAATTTTATTAAACTTAAAAGAAGACTTAAAGTATAACCAATTCTGCAGTTCCAAAATAAATAAAATAATAATTTGTAAGTCATATCCCTTGCCTGGACTGGAAATAGGTGATGGGTGCCTCATTGTTGAACTCTGCGTGGCTCCTTTACAACTAAGACATCCGTTAATTGCTTCTCCCCAATATGCTCATTTCCAGAAGCTACGGAAGTCTTTGTTTCTCCAACAACTGAGATAAGAAATCATAAGCATTGCACATATAGCATCCATTTACCATAGGAATAAAATGCTATCTTCACACTTTTAATAACACATCCAAAATATTCTGAACAAAAAAAAAAAAGCTGGGTAGATACAACAAGTCTGTCTCAACACTTTCACTAGGGGCCTTTGGTTCTGACGAAGACATAAGAGCAACCAATTGCACCACTAAGAGTATATCAAAAAGCAAAAACTTTCACTATCTAGCATGTACTCAATCATCCATATATACAAGGGGAGAATGGAGATTATGTGGCTCATAGAATCAAAGCACGATAGGTAAAATGGAGGGTTTTGTTAAGCATATATATAGTGTGATCATCATATTTTGCTAGAATTGAAAGCTAAGTTTATAGAACATCTGTTAGACCAGCCATGCTATATGGGACTGAATGCTGGACAGTGAGAAAACAGACATATTCATAGTTCCTGTAGGTACATATTAGCCAAATGTTACAACCAGCACAGTGATTTGCACACCTCTATCCCTGTTTCTCTAACGGCATATTAGCCATTATTAGACACAAATTTTTTTTTTTCTGTCCTTTGGTGCGTTGGGTTTGGGTTCCTATGCAACAGGAGGAGGAGCCAAATCTTTCTTCTTTTTTCTTTTTTCTCTCAGAAAACAAGAGGGCATGATCAAATGTCAAAATCTATAACAGAAATGCAATATCCAAAGAATGAAAAGCAGTCCAACCAAGAAGAAACTAGCAAATATTAGTGAATCAGCAAAACTTATGAATTTAGCAAATAAAGAACCTGAAGCCAGTTTCAAGCAGAAAAAACTTACTTGTGTAATATGAAGAGCCTGCTCAAGCCGCTGAATTTGAATCCATTGTTCTGTAACAATGTCAGCCATCTGAAAGCAAAGAGAAAGAAGCCAATGGCAAAATGAACACCACACTAACAACATCACACACTCATAGCCATAGACCAAAGATGGATTGAGTACATCAGTGCATGACCTTTTGAGCCGGAGAGGCAACCGTTTCGAGTCTATCCCCGGCATCTTGTGCTTTAGACTCTAAAAAAATGGGCCTAGGAGGGCGGCTAGGCGGCTAGGAGGGCGGCGAGACGGCTTGGCAGGCGGCGAGACGGCTGGGCGGGCCTCCTAGGCGGGTTGGGTCTTTTTTTGTTGCCGAACCCGGAGGACGAAGCAGCCGAAACCGAAGAAAACAAATCGAAGCTTGAGTTGATAGAGAAGCGAAACTTCAACTGCAACCTCCGTCTAGGCGGGCGCTAGGCGGCTAGGCGGCTAGGCGGCTGGGCGGGCCTCCTAGGCAGGTTGGGTCTTTTTTCGTTGCCGAACCCGGAGGACGAAGCAGCCGAAACCGAAGAAAACAAATCGAAGCTTGAGTTGATAGAGAAGCGAAACTTCGACTGCAACCTCCGTCCTCTGCGAGTGCAAGCTCCGTGTTCGTTTTGGAATATATTAAAAGAGTATAGCCGGTCGGCTATACTCTTAAAATATTCGATTATATTAACATTTATACTTTTAAAATATTTGAATGTATTTAGAACGTATACATATAAAATTTTCTAATATATATGGCGAGTATAGCCGCCCGGCTATACACTTGAAATATACAATTTTGTAATATCATTTTAATGTTTGGAGCTGAAATACCACTTTAGTCCATTGGACTAGAGCTATTTCTTCAATTATTTTATTTGTATAAGCGATATTGGGGAATGAGAATTTAAATTCTTTCTAGTACCTCCCATTCTAATGATTTCCTTATGGGAGATTTTGGGTGCAATCCACGTAGAAATTGTTGTTGATCCAAGTCCTTTGACTTTTCTGTCACATAAGATTGCATGCCTTTTTTATTTATCTTTGTTTATATTTTATTTATCTATTGGTAAATTTTTTAGAATTAGGATGATTTTATCCAAGTCGGGAGGTCATACCAATTTTTGATATATAACTAGAGTGCATTTCATGGGTCGTGATATAAAATTAATGAATGAATTAAGAGCACAAAAAAAATGAAAACGAAAACTAAAAACAAGTGTTGTTTCAAAAAATAAGGGTGATTTTGAAAACTAGATTTCACTATTTTGAAAACTGAAAATGAAATTTGTTACAAAACATGTTTTCAGTTTTCAGTTATAAAAAAAGTGAAAATGAAAACTGAAAATTGAAAATGAAATGGTTATTAAACATCCCATTAGTTTCCCAGAAACCTTTATGAACAAAGCTTTTTGACAATTTGTTATGTGTAGTTGACTTCAAGGTGATGGGCTTATTGGGCTTGGCTATAAACTTAGCTTTGGATTTGGGCATAATAAATTTAGAGTCCTTCTATGGTGAGAGTTCCATATATGGACTATAGATGTAGACCTTAATATTAGCCCCATGATTCATCTAAATAGCAACTTCACTTAAGTAATGAAATGATCATGCGACTAATATAAATGTCCACATGAGGGGTTCATATATGGCACTATCGTTATAGAATTTCTCAATAAATTTAATTATTATTATAGAAGACATGGGCCTTGGACTCTAGGGAAAGGTAGCACGTTTTCTAGCCTTTAGATAATCGTCCAAAGCCACTCCAGCTTAGGAGTGGGGTGCTCACAAATGAGTTTTGGAATTTGAAGATATATGAAAGGGTTGCTAGGGGTGGGGAGGGGGGACTCAACCATTTTTGGCATATCAATGAATAAGCCATTTGTTAATGAGGTGTCATGCTCATAATAAAAGTCAAGTAGAGCAGAGAAAAATCAAGTAGAGGATCCGCATCGGAATTGAATCTGAATGTGATGAAAAAGGATCCACATTTGGTCTTTCTCTGCTTGGATCTACTTGACTTTTCTCTGCTTTATTTTTTTTTAAAGATATAAGATATATATATATATATATACAGTCTCTTTCTATTGAGGGATCTCTCAAATAATTTTATTTGAGGGACGCCCTTTAGGGTACCCTACAATTTTTTTTCCAATGATCTAAACCATCTATTTTTTAGGTCTTCATTCATAGATCATCTTACAAAAAATTAGACAAATCAGAAACCATTTTGACATCCAATTGTGTCCTACAAAATCAATGAACACGGCGCTTCAAGAAAGTACTAAAATTTCAATAACTCAATTGAATGGTCAAATGATATCGGATTCAATTGATTTTTTTTGTAGATATGATCTTTGAATGAGTATCTACAAAATAGACGGTTTGGATTGGTGAAATACAATCCGGAGTGGGCCCTACAAGGGGTGTTCCTCAAATAAGCTTATTTGAGGGATCCCTCAATGGAAGCGCTCTGTATATATACAGTCCCCTTCTATTGAGGGACGCCCTTTAGGGTACCCTACAATTTTTTTTTCAATTATCCAAACCATCTATTTTTTAGGTCTTCATTCATAGATCATCCGTACAAAAAATTAGACAATTTTTTTTCCAACTTGATAGCCTTTAGATGATTATTTGAATGACAAGACAAGCTTCGGATAAAAATCAAGTATGTCCAAGCATGGAATCTGAATCCGATGAAAAATAGGTAAAATACAGAAGAAATACTCATTGGTCCCTAACAACTGACAAAATTTCGACAGGTGAATGAAAATTGAGTGGATCAGTCACTTGTGAAAAGTTGAATCGTTCAAAATGTTGGGTTAAAACAAATTTCAATCATTATTATCTTGAATACAATGACTAATGACCACCAAAAATTTAATATATCAGTTTTCAAAAAAAATGTAATTGTGAACAGTGTAAATTAGAAAAAATGTATTTAGAATAATTAAGTAGAGAAATGGAACTTTCTTTTTGTTTGAAAACTTAAGAGGGAGCCAACCAAACCAAGGCCCGAACACCAATGCACAAGGAAACTCACAAAATCCTGAATAGGAACTAAGAAGCCTAAATCAAGAATAATCGTATCAATGTATGGCTGAAATATATTAGGTAACAAAGTATTAATGTACGGATAATGAGCGTCTACATTTACATGCGATGCATTTATTCATATTTCAACAATATTTAGGCAATTTTAATAATCTAACGACTCATTTCATTTTGAAAAGTATTCAGAGAAACAAAAACAAAAACAAAACGTTAAAGTATATGAACTTTTTGAGTCAAAATTCAAAGCACTATCTCATGCATTGCAAGCGCGTAAAAGACAGTTAATTAACATTGATTGTTGAATTTGAGCCCACCAAGTCCATGTGATTCTGTGTAAGACTGAAGCAATATATCAATGAAGGAGACGTAAAACTGAGTTCCATTTTAGGCAAACAATCATTTTTATTTCTTCTCTATTTATACCACTCATCCAACGGTCACATTTTGAGCCTCCATGACAATGCATGTAATATGCTAGGGTTTTGAAATGGTTGGAGTGTTGAGTATTGGTAGTAGTCCGATGAAATGAAGGTGTGGGGCCCCATAACTGAAGATAAATCATTATATTCTCATTGCAGTGTTGAAATTTTTTTTGGGGAGGGTGGGGACCAATCAACAACAATTTTTCAACCTTTGTTCTTTATCCAATTTGGTTGTTCTTGGGGTAAATAATTTACTAGGGTTAATTTGCTACCATACAAGATGCAATAATTCAGTAATTCACTTAGAGAAAAAGCCTCACACAATTAAAATTTATGAGTCACTTGGACGTGCCCAAAAAGGTTGTGACTCATAAAGGTCGTCAGTTGCAGATTAGTGACACTTAAACTAATTAGCAGAAATTCCATGATCATGCTTAATGACTAAGCCATGTTTACATAGATTATTAACGCTTAATAATACACTTATCTAACGCCAACCCATAAGCCAACCCAAGTCGTCATGCATATACACATCAACCCAAGTCTTCCATTTGTTTGACATTTTGGGAAAGCCTAGTTGGCTCACAGCCTTAAAAAGTGTCTATAAATGGCAAAATCCATAAGGCTGGGTTTGCAGACGAAAGGGCAAAAGGGCAGGGGTGGTTAACAGTCGCTGCATGCAATAAGACACCAAAGCTTTGTAGTTCTCGACTGAAATTACCTATATACCCCATGTGTCTGTAGCATGCATGAATGTGATCTTCTTCTGCGCACTAATTAGGGCATTGAGATTATTGACCATGGATGGACCACTTTGATACAACTGCAATTCCATGTGCTTCTTCTAGCTGCATTTTTAATTTACCATAATACAGAACTAGATGCAATCAAGTACTTCTACACCTGCTAGGATCCTCACAAAAAATATGCATATGAATTTCACCATTATTAATTATTTTTCTCGGAAAAAAAAACATGTTAACATGTATTAACGATATAAAAGATGAAAATTTATAATTAGTGCATAATTAACTTTAGCTCAATTATATATTTTGTACATGGTGTGCCGAAGCTGTATTAGCACTGTCTCTCTCTTTTTCTCTTCACTCATTAATCTGAAATCAAATGGTAGAGAGGCATTTTGGTAAATAGTGGGAAAATGATGGGCAATTTGCCTACCTAAGTTTATCTAAATATAGAGAGTTGCTCAGTTCATTCAGCATTCCAAACTTGAAACCCAACAAGGCAAAGGGAGAAAGCAGAGGTAAAGCACCAATGCCTCTCTAAGTCTTTTGCTTCCAAACTCTTCCTTCTACCTCTCTCTCTCTCTCTCTCTCTCCCCCCCGCCCCCCATATTTTCACAGTATATACCAAAATGTTAACATATTTACATATGTCGTCATTAGGGTTTTTAGAAAACTAGGTTCCTACTTCTGATCACAGTTCTTTGTTTATTGTAGCATTCCTTCATTTAAGATTTTTATCGGGTATAAGTCTCTCATCATTTATTTTCATCCAACAAAAATAAGAACCCCTTTAGCACTCTTATAGCATAGTAACAATTAAGCTTCTTTTTTTTTCCATATATACAATCCATATATATATGCTCTTGTTGTTCAAAGTATATGTATTTTTGAACTTAGCTAATTGTTGGGTTTTGGGGTCTTGATCTAAATCAGGAATTTGAGCACTGGTAGAGTCAGAGTTCCATAATTTCTTCTCTAGCTTTTCCTACAAAGAAGAAATTGCATAAATATGGGAAGGGGGAAGATAACAATTTCGAGGATAGAAAACCGAACCACAAGGCAAGTCACTTTTGCAAAACGGCGGGCTGGCCTGATCAAGAAGACTCATGAGCTTTCTGTGCTGTGTGATGCTCAGATCGGTCTTGTCATCTTCTCAAGCACTGGGAAGATGTTTCAGTACTGCAGTGAGTCTTCAAGGTGATGAACTAGCACCTACTACTACTTTTGTGGATCTCATTTCTCTTTGCTTTGCTTTGATGGGTTCCCTTGTTTTATTTTTGTATATATTTTTGGTTTATTTTCTCTTTTTTCTTTTGTCAGAAGATCTTGTTTTGATTCATGGGTAGGGCTAATTTTTTTACCTTTTCCTTTCTGCAAACTTTCACGCTTTGATTAATTGTAATGGGTTTGATTTGTTTCAATTCTCAACTCCTCTCCTTCCTTGTGTTATGTTGTTATTTTTTGCCAGTTTTGGTTTTGTTTTCTGGAGTTCTTCTACTGATGATCTGGTCGTACTCTCTCTCTCCTCCTCCCTCCCAATATATTATTTTTTAATTTTCTTTTCTTTTTTCTGAGCACCGTCGCAGGTTGATTTTGACACAGTACTAAGGTTTGGTTTTGAGTTTTGGTCCTTTAGCCTCATCAGATTCAAATGAGATTTGACCAATTGAGTACATTTACTTGCCATCTGCGCAGATCTGCATACCTAGGGTTTTCCTATAGCATATTAATTTCTGACAGAGGCAACTTCATGATTACTATATATGTCAGATAAAAACAAAGAAAATAAAACAAATTCATGATGTATTATTACTTCTGCCTCAGCACAGCTACAATCTCAATCGTCTGATCATACTCTTTACTTTTTGTTTTTCTTTTGTTCTACTTGCTCTTCCTTGTCTGAGTCAGTATGTAAATTAATTTCATACCGTATTTTACCTTTATATGAGACATAATTACTTCCATTTTGAGCAAGTGCACCACTAAATAATATATTGAAATGATCAAATTGTAGCAAATAAATACATTAATTCCTTTTTATTTTGGATAAATTGTATCAAATTTATACATTAATTCAGTGGATTCAACGGCTATTAATGTCGGCTGCATTCATATTTTGTATGGTTTAGCATGGAGGAGCTGATTCAAAGGTACCAGGTTGCTAGAGGGACTAGAATATTTCAACACAACGACACGGTACGTATAAATTTGTAGCTCATTGATCATTGTGTACCGATTTTAATTCAAAATTAATTTGAACTTAATCAGGATTAAGAAATTGTAGCATTATTGAAATTTGTACGTGTAGGAATATATGAATGCTGAGCTGAGGAAAATGAGGAGAGAAACTCACAGTCTGGAACTGAGCTTGCAACGCTACACTGGTGAGGACCTGAGCTGTGTGCGCTTTGAGGATCTGGTGGAGCTTGAGCAACAGCTAGAGGAGTCTGTTAACAGGGTTCGAGCTCGCAAGGTATATTATTTAATCCATCATTTAAAATCTCTTTAGTTTATTTGGTGCTTATGTTTTTCTTTAATGTCTTGTTTTTATTTGTGTGTACAGTTTGAGGTCTTGCAACAGCAGATAGACAATCTTCGTGCAACGGTAATTAATTTGTTAAACACCCATTTCTCTCCAGTTAATTACCATATTAAAATTGTTAATTAATGATCTTGAACTTTGATCTGTCTATGTATATAATTATTTAATAATACTAGACCAAGAGGAGGGAGGAAGAAAATGAGCAACTATTCCATCTGGTGAGTCTCATCAGAAGTTGTACCATTAGAAGTTTCCTTAATTATTAGTTTAATTTTTAATTAACATGAAGTGTTTAAATTAATTGTTGAATTTAAATGCACGCAAGATTCAGATTAAGGCGCATCAAGACGCAGCATTTGGTCATGAGCAGGCTCATGAGGCAGAACAGGTGGAGAATGTGCAGATTCTACCAAAGTCTGAGGAACATCGACACGTACTGGATCAGTTCCCTTTTGGTGGTGAAGAACAACCAAGCAGTGTGCTTAAGCTTGCCATGCCTCAGACTCAGTTCAACCCCTACTCTCTCCAGCCTCCTCATCAGCCCAGCCTCCTCGATTTCAATCTCAGCGGCCGCTCTATATACGGTACGTACACATATATAGTAATTCGAGCCTTCTCGATTACAATCTCAGCCGCCTCCACCATTATCGCTTGTATACTAGTGTTTGATTATATGTAAACTACGTTGGTTATGTTCTTCTGCAGAGTGACCAGCTTATGAGAAGGGCTAGCTTCTGGCATGCAGCAAGAAAGAAGAAAAGGGGTGTCTGGATCCTCTCCATGCTGGAATTTATACAAGATATATATATCTGAATTATTTTCAGGGCTTTTGAACTAGTTATATATATATAAGACTTGTTTAGAATATTATTAGCTAATCAGCGTTTTATTTATGTTATTGACTTGGGGTTACAAATTTCTGGTTTTTACTTTTGTTTATAGCAAAAGTGGATGTTGGTTTCTGTTGATATATATATGAGATCTTTAAGAGTAGATTGATATATCTAACATTTGATTACTTAACCAAAAACTAACGCTACTAAAAGAAGTTCTCATAAGGTCAGGGCATTTATGTCCTAATCAAAGATATCACGGTTCATAATAAGGAGAAATTCTTGAGTCCGACTGTCATATTATTAGGTCATTACTACAAACACAAAATAGTGAAACCCTTGTATTTTGGGTCCCACCCATGTGAGTATGTTGCTGTATACGACATGCATACACAAGAAGTTCTAATCATCTCATAATTAATCACCTTATTAATTTATTACCATCCTAATTACCAACTTACCAATTTGACCTCTCAGCGTAGTGACCCAAAAAAAAATTGTTTATTTTATGGTGTGTGAATAAATGTGAGAGCAGGAGAGACAGAGATGGGGGGGGTACGTGTCCATGTTAGTTATTTTTAGGAGAATTTGACTGATCTACCCATACGTGGTTTTTTTTTTTTTTTATTCTCTTAATTAAAAAAAAAAAAAAAAAAAAAAAAAAAAAAGGTTAGGCACAACCAAATATGGGAATTAGGCAAGGCAAGGCCTACTTCCTTTGGGCTCAGTCGTAGTTTAGCAAGGTCTACCCAAACAGTAAAACTTTGGTTTTTTGGTAAATTAGGAGCAGTAAAATTGATGTGGGATAAGATCAGACACACTCTTACTAATTACTATACCAAAACAGTAAAAAGCTTTGCTTGTTTAAATTCTAGGAGAAACAATTTATTTTCTTTATTTTCTATTATTTATTATTTATTTTTCAGAAAAGGGACAAATTTGACTTTTTATGGTTCAAAAGGCACAAAATTTATTTTATTTTATTGAAGAGAAGTCAGAAAATTGAATATTGATGTGAAAATGAAAGCAAATAAATGTGTTAGTTAAAAATCCCTAGCAATATTAATAAAAACTCTGAAAGAAATGTGGTTCAGAATTTGAATTAGGTGACGACTCACAACGACATCATTTTCATTTCATAGATTCAAGAATGCAAAATTCCAAAAATTTGCTCAATCAGCCTTTTTACAACCAAGGTGTCTCCCACTACGCGCACAGCGTATGTTAGCGCTGTGCGCCGAACCCACCCCCAACCCAAAGCAATGCCTATGGGTTTGAGTGAGCTCCGATCCACCAAAACCAAGAAGACCACCAAACCCTCGTCACCTTCTTCAACCTCTCCCCATGCCCACCAAACCCTAACCCTCCCTCAATTCCTCTCCATGGCGCGAAAATCCTCGCTCCTCAAGCAGTCCCTAGCCACGATCGTCGTCGTCCTCCTCATCTACGCCTTCCTCAACACCTTCCTCACCCCCACCACCACTGCCAAGCTCGAGACCGCCCTCCCCTCCTTCTCTTCCGCTTCCTCGATCTCCTCCGACGTGTTTGCTTCCCGAGAAAATCAGCTTAATTTTCCCGGGAAGCCCGTGAAAGTCTACCTATACGACCTCCCCAAGCGGTTTACTTACGGAGTTATCGAGCATCACTCATTGGCCCGCGGCGCCCGACCCGACGAAGACGTTTCCAAGCTCAAGTACCCGGGTCACCAGCACATGGGCGAGTGGTACCTCTTCAAGGACCTGCTCAAACCCGAATCGGAACGGTTCGGGTCGCCCGTTCAGAAGGTCTTGGATCCGGAAGAGGCGGACTTCTTCTACGTCCCATTCTTCTCGTCATTGAGCCTGATCGTCAACCCGGCCCGACCGGCTTCCGGGTCAGATAAGCCGGTGTACAGTGACGAGGAGAACCAGGTGGCGTTGATTGAGTGGCTGGAGGAGCAGGTGTATTGGAAGAGGAATAATGGTCGAGACCACGTGATCATGGCCTCGGACCCCAATGCTCTGTACAAAGTGATCGACAAAGTCAAAAACAGTGTGTTGCTTGTTTGTGATTTCGGGCGGTTGAAGGAGGACCAAGGATCGCTTGTTAAGGACGTGATTGTGCCTTACTCTCACCGCATCAACACTTACAGCGGCGATATCAGTGTTGAGGACCGCAACACCTTGTTATTCTTCATGGGCAATCGGTTCCGCAAAGAGGTACATCTTCAATTGCTTACTAAATTCCTTATGCTCATCGTTATTGTTGCTTGTTGTAATAAATTATATTGTGGGTATGTTTGAAATGTTGCATTTTCATAGAGAATTCAATGATTGATTGTCATTTGAGTCCATGAATTAAGGATTTGAATGCGTATAAAGAAACTTTTTGGTGTACAAGTTTGATCTTAGTCTCAGTTATCTATCCGAGCTAATGTTTGGCTTTTGGGGGTCTATTTTTGTGTTTGTAGGGGGGAAAGATACGTGATTTGCTTTTCCAATTACTTGAAAATGAGGAGGATGTCATAATAAAACATGGAACACAATCCAGAGAGAGTCGACGGGCTGCTTCCCGTGGGATGCATACATCAAAGTTCTGTTTAAATCCTGCTGGTGATACTCCATCAGCCTGCAGACTTTTTGATTCGATAGTTAGCTTGTGTGTGCCTGTGATAGTCAGTGATAGCATTGAGCTTCCATTTGAAGATGTTATAGACTACAGAAAGATAGCAATATTTGTAGAATCCAATGCAGCTTTAAAGCCAGAATTCTTGGTCTCAATGCTGAGAGGAATCACAACTGAGAGAATTCTGGAATACCAGAAGGAGCTGAATGAGGTTAGTCCAATTGCTTTGTATTTGGGGTTTGATTTGCCTTTTCTTGCTGTTGTTTTTCAAGTTTCATTCCGCTTTAGTTCTTTCTCTTGTTTTTGAAATTCATGTCTGCTTTACTTCTTGCCATTGTTGCTTCTTTTACTCATTTCCTGTATGAAATGTTTAACATTTGATTTGGTTGAAGTCCAAGGGTGGAAAAACAAGTAATGGCGAAATGACGATTAAAAACAGGAAAAATTTTACAAATTTTACTTTTTGTTTGAGCATGGGGAAGGAAGTTAATGTATATGCACACACGAACACACATTGGTATTCTAATGTGAACCATGAGAGACTGAGATGTTAGCCCTCAACGTAGGTCCTCATTAGAGCACCTTTGTGTGTGTGCTAGCATGCCCTCTGCCTCTCTCTCTCTCTCTCTCTCTCTCTCTCTCTCTCTAGAATTTTGTATTAGATATGCCTTCTGCAAGATGGCAGATGTGGCCATAAGTGCAAGGGTATGCTGAATACAAACTGATATGCATCTCTAGAGAAGCCTGGGCTGGTATTTGTAAAGTTTCCAGGTGGATTGGAATAATGAGGCGGACTTTGTGGCAAACGTTGTTTAAGCACAAGAGTTCTACAATTGACGTTTTGTGCGTGCCAATTACTGCGGGTGCAATTTGTTATTCACATTTGTATGAAATGTTACAAAATAGTGATGCATCTATTAAGTAATTACAGTGCAAAGCTCAAGCCAGTTCCAAATGTTAATCTGTATTAATCTTAATTTCTTGATTCAGGTGAAGCGTTATTTCCAATATGGAGTACCGAACGGAACAGTGAATGAAATCTGGCGCCAGGTTGCACAGAAGCTCCCTTTTATTAAACTGTCGATCAACAGAGACAGACGACTTGTCAAGAGGGATTTGAATGTGCGAGACTGCTCTTGTCTCTGCTCAAATCAGACTGGAATTATAACCAGCCTATAATGCTACTTTCATCAATGAGACTGTTAATCAGAGAACTCTCTCTACTTTAAAGGAGGCTACTCCACCTCTGTCAATCATTCGGTGCTTCATATTTAGATCTCCGCGCCTTGGATCGACTATTGGCCGTGAAGGATTCTTTTCTGCATCTTGGAAGAGCGATGACTAGTTAGTGCTTTGTTATAAGCTGCTTATAACAAAGCTGAAAGATTCTTTGACAGATGGGGTTTTCACTGAGGGGTAATAGAATTTGCCATAGTAGTACAGGGCTTTATACATTTTACTGTAGATACTGTTGTTTTACTTGGTCATGAAAGCTTAGCAGCTGAAAAATTAAATTAAATTACATGTAACTTGTAATTCATTTGTACATTCGTAGAGAATAAAAATCAGATTTATTTGAGCTTTTGTTTGTTCTGTCTCCCAAACCAGCTTTTTTGGAGTTTGTCAATTGTTTTATCCGTTTTGGAACCCAAAACAGGATCAACTAAATCTCAAGATGGTTCTCATGTTCCTCCCCTAATAGAAGGATTATTGGTTTATGTACATGTATCTTATAGTGGGTTATAATCTCATAATAGAAGGATTTTTGGTTCACATTCTACTTTCTCACAATATTTCTTTCATTTGAATTATAGCGGGTTCTTGTACAAGTACACTTACGAAGCCCTTTTCCATCACTGTATTCCAAGGATAGTTTTTAGATTGGTAAATACCATAATGTCGAGAGTAGAAGTATGTAACCAATCCTTTACTTAAATATTGGAGAATCTCCCTATAATAGAGTGCTTTGATGAGGCAAAAAAAGAGAAAACAGAAGACTCATGATTAATGAAACCTGATCCACTCCTCATTCTACATCGTCTCATATGCAATACAAAAGTTTCCAAAAACAAACAAGGGTCTACGCAAACTTAATTATGCAAAAAAACTCCACTTATTCATCTCCCTCATATGAGATTTATGGTGTCCTCCAGCAGCTTCGGATCTTCAACCAGCTGGCCATTTCATCTGTCTTCCACCAAGGACATGCAAGTGGAGATGATAAACAGATTGACCTGGACGGAGCGAGACCATTGATTATTGAACAAGCAAAGCATCACACAACTATGAAAGGAAGGCGACGATAGAAACTATGCAGGGATACTTACATGCCTCTGGACCATTGTTGATAACCACACGAAACCCATCAAGAATGCCTTCTATCTCGGCAACTATTTTTGCAGCATGGAGAAGTTGACCCAGTATTTCAACATGCCTAAGTTCAGCCTGCAAAGACAGAATGCACAAATCAAAAGGGAGCGTTTTCTATTCTGCATCATGCTTAGAGAATTTCATTAAAAAATCTTAATTGGAAAAAGTACTTGGCATAGTAAAAATGAAGATTAATACCGGAAGAAAAACCATGTTCGATATTATAAGGGCCAGGAATTACCTTTCTCAGCTCAGTTAATCCATCCCTAAACTTTGGGATGACTAAAACGTGAACAGGAGCCTGAGGGTTGATATCCCGAAATGCCAGGACCTTATCATCCTCATATACAATGCTTGATGGGATTTCCTTTGCTATGATCTTGTCAAATCTAAAACAGGGGGAGAAGGAAGTCCTAAATTCATATGTAAATTTGGATAAAACATATTGTTTTAACGTGTACTAAATTTCCGTTTAGCTCTTACCCATTTCAATGAAATGTTAAAGCAATGATTGTGATAACTTTTATTTATTGAACATAAATAAAATATCAAATTGATCAAGATGAAGAAACAGATATTGCCACCTCCAGTGAAAATTTCCTCAGTAAGGCAGAACCCACACTGAGTTCCCCATATTTTGATGGGTCAAAACTTAAAAAGTTATATACAAAGTTCCAGACTAAAAAAGTATGCTATGAACTTGAATGTGAGATCAAACCAGTTTTACTATGTCAAGGATGATACATTGTTGGAGCTCCACCATTGGCATTAGCTGCAGCTACCTTGGCAGCAGCCTCCTCATCATTTGTAGCGCTAACACGGCACAGGGATCTAAAAAAATATGTAACTGATAATTATATGCAAGGCACCAAGGGACAACCATACCAGTAATTAAAGTGGTTGCAAATGACATATAACACACCTTAAAATAAACAACATGCTAAACTATAGTTACTTGATAACAAAATATTAGTATTCTTCAGCAACAGATCACCCAATTGGACCATTTGCAAATCATATTTCTACTATATCAGACTAGTGCGACAAACAATTTTTCATTTTTACAAACTTAATGTGACTTGGATCTTGAGCAGCCAACAAATAGATAAGCATATGCATTGATAATTTGATAGAGTTACCGCAGTATAACAAAGTTGTATCATGAACCACGATGTACTCCAATAAACTATCAATATCTTATTTGGAAATGCAAAGAACAGCAATGAAAATCAGCTTTGGGAGGGCAAAAGTATTTCATATTGGATAAAGTATTCAACCAACTAGATCCTCAATAAGGGTTTCCAACAAACATGCTACAGTGCTAAAATCTCAAAAGGCCACCGCATCCTGCCCCTATATTCAAGTCCCCTATTTGATAATTTAAAGTTGGAAAGATGATGGGTAAGGAGATTTTTGGCTCCCAGGTAATGAACACCACCTTTGTGTTTTTTTATGAAGTAACGAAGCTCAAAAGGCGTCGCAGATAATTAATCTGCAGAGCATGCAGTAGTATGCCAAAGCATTCGAGCTAGACCAAACATAAACCAGCCAGTAAACACCACATATAGGACATTTTGGTTTTGGTGTCTGCATCGTGAAATTTGGCAATAGATGTCAAATCGGCAATTTTCATAGAAAGAATGGTACATTTTCTACAACAAAACGGTCAAACAAACTCACCAAAAAGGGAAAACAGCGCAAACATCTTGAAATACCACGACTTTACCAAAGTCAAAGAACACTCCACTATCAAACTCTACAGAAAGTTCGTAGCCCTCCCAAAAAATAAAATTAAAATAAAATAAAATAAAATAATCCAAAAGGCCATCTTTCTCTCATCCTTAATTATTAAATATAAATTAACAGACACCCAGGTGAAGATTATGGTATAAGCTCAGAGCATCGCAAGGAGATTTGAGAACTTTCAATTTGGTGACAATTAGACGATCCTTTTTTCCTAGTGAAAAAACAGTTGAACAAAATATCAGAGAGAGAGAGAGAGAGAGAGAGAGAGAGAGAGAGTTTACCTGCGAGAGTGAAGAGGAAGAAGGAAGGTTGTGAAATTGGGGTTGGAGGCTTTCACTGTCACAAAAGCTCTCACAGTTGTTGCTGCACAGTTCCTGTTCCAAATTCCAAAACAAAACAAAACAAAACATTATAGACGAGACCAACAAAGTGAGTGAGAGTCAAAGAGAAAAACAGCGAGAGTACCTAAAGAGAGAAAAGGAGGTAACTGCAGCCATTGGGATTTGTTTGGAACCAAAGGAACTGTCTTTCAGGAACGAATGAATTGGAAAATAAAATAAATTGGAAAATGGGTTTGGCTAATGTGAAGTGGCAAAAGTCTCGGTGGTATCTGGACCGTCCAAATAAATGGGTCATACCAAAACTCTTCAAAAGAGTTTTGATTAAGCCGAAAATCCAGTACCATCCAATCAAAACGTAGTGTATATCGTGATCATAGATACAGGGAGAGAGAGGCTTACTAGCAAAACAGAGAACAAAAATGGCGAATTTTGTTCTGCAAGTGCCAAACAACTTGAGGAGCTTCACTGTTTCTGCTTCGGTTTCATCAAATGGTACAAAAATCTCTGGCTTATATAGATGTTTTTTCTTATAAAAATGAAATATTTTTTATAAGAACTACATTTCAGGGTCTCCTCCTTTGAGTTCTAGTGGTAGCAGTGGTGGGGTTGGTGGACCAGTGATTTTGGAGCTTCCTCTTGATAAGATAAGGAGGCCTTTGATGAGAACCAGAGCTAACGACCCAATCAAGGTTCAAGAACTCATGGACAGCATCAGTGAAATTGGCCTTCAGACACCTGTAAGCACTGCTAACAACCTCAAACTCGTAAATTTCTTTATTGAGTTTTGTATATTTTCTGTTTGGCTTCCAAGAAAATGAAAGACAAATTATCTAGGATTAGTTTCGAACTTTTGAGTACTCACATGGTCTTGGTGATTGTTGGATAATGGACGATTTACTTGGGGGGATATGGGAATTTGTTCACTCATTTCCTAACTTCCTCAATTTTAATATATAAATATCAGGCTGTAATTGGCTCTTGTTATGTAATGCTTGTTCTTAGAAAATGGACTTCTTTACATAATATCAGTAGTACTCAATTACTCCTCGTAATGAAATGCTGACGTATAGAAGTAGGATTTGTGATTATTTAAAGGGTAGACATAGTTCATACAGGAATTGCAAGAATCCCCCATTTTATAGTAAGTTACTGAGAAGTATGCAACAAAGGGATCATGAAGGCACCATAAGACATACAAATAGAACTATGATTTTACTCTCGAACTCGATCAAGTATAGATTTTAAAGTTTACAACCTTATCAAGACAGTGTATTTTCATGACCAAGTGGTCTTATTATCCACACTCTTAAGCTGGTGTTGGAACCCACCATACTAAAACAAAAGGATCATGAAGGTTGTTGTTAAAATATGGTATGCTATGAATTAGCAAAGGCTAGTAAGAAGTGGAATGCCTTTTATTATTTTTAGTTGAGCCTTCAAAACGTCAGTTGTTTCTTTTTCCTTTTTCCAGTTTCTCTTAGGAAATACACTGGTTTATGTTTCTTTTAGTAGCATAAAACCAATTAAACAGATAATCTGGACAGTTGCCATTATTGATTGTCCATTTTTCTGGTTAGACATTTACTAGGTTTTATCAAATAAATTTTCTATGGAACACAATATATAGGAACATGTAACGAAAAGAGAATTATATATTCATCTATGTAATAGGTAAAGCAGTAGGTAGCTTTTTGTATGTAGCTATTACTTCTTGATACATATTCCAGAATCAATTTTAGTCTGACTCGTCTTACTAATGCAGATTGATGTGCTTGAGGTTGAGGGAGTTTATTATGGTATGCTCTTATCATTATTCTCCACAAATAGTTATTATTCTTTATATTTCTTCCTTACAAATCATTGGAGAGTTCTAGTTGAAAGCAGTGAAAAAAAGAGAAGGCTAAAAAGCTTTGTATTATAGCCATGCATATGCTTTCAGGATTATAGCTAATGATTTTGTCATGGTCTGGTAGGCTTCTCCGGTTGTCATCGTTATGAAGCTCACCAGCGTCTTGGCCTTCCAACAATACGCTGCAAAATCCGGCGTGGAACAAAAGAAACTCTCCGGTATTTTTGCCTGGTCTTATTAGTGCTTATTTAGTTTTACCTGTTTTTTTTTTCAATTAAAGTATTTATAACTTTTCTTCTTCTTGCAGGCATCACCTCCGCTGACTTCTTATGGGTTATCTTTCAGAGTGAATTTGCAGTTTTTACCAAGTTATGCACCGTGGTAATTATATTGCAAGTAATTATTGGGCGTCTATTATCTTATGCCTCTACTTGTTTGTATAAAATCTTGTCAATGTCATAATGTTTAGAAGGTATATCTGTGTGGAATTCATAAAGAAAGTCTGAATAAAGTAGTGCAAATATTTGTTGCTTAGTTTGGTTTTCCTTTTTCACTAACAGGAATTGAAATCACAGTAAATAATTGATAAAGCGTGGTATAACTTATTTTAATGTGAGAAGGATTTCTTGGAAGTTAGATATAAAGAGAGACTACAAATAAATAGATCTAATGATATCTAATCTTTGTGCATATTTTATGAAGTTCGGTTTCTGTGGCAAGAATTGGGATGGAACTGGAAGGGTACTTCATCTCAAATTTCTTTTGATGTGCACATATAATTTTGTTAGCTTAAATAATTTTACTTCGACATTTCACATTTTACGTGTTCGGTTACGGGACAAAGTAAAAAAGCATTTACCCATTTCCAAGTTCATCATTTACCAAGGTCTTATTCTGATACGCGGATTAGCTCAAGAAGGTTCAAATATGGATTCATCTATATGGAAGCCATGTACTTTGTGATTGATGCATCATAAACTTCACAAAATATGGTAAATCAGGGAAATATCAACTTCTCCTCTCCGTTTTTTTGTTTTTTGTTTTTAAATTATTCACCATGTCTAGAAGGCTTATGTGCGGGAGCTGCGCACCTCGTTGGCTAGTTACTCATCGTTGTTGCTTTGTTTCTTCTTTTCTTTTCTTTTTCCCACTAAAAGAAATTGATTTCATGGTAAATAATTGATAAAGCATGGCAGATTTTGAAGTACATAGCTTAATAAACAGACTGGATGTACACAGAGTGACACCAATAGGACGAATTTACAAGATCAAGTCCACTTATAAGGACGAAACTTTGTTCGACAACCCTAGATATGCAATTTGTCAAAATTTGTATAAACTAGCTCATCTATCTAATATGTGGATGAAGGACAGAGCATTGACAAAATTACAGAGTAGATAAATTACCATCCCTTTATACCCCTTTTAACCCGTGCTTGGTTTTTTACTTGTATGATATTGGACCGGATCTTGAGACAGCAAACCTTGGCAGCGGACTGGGGCCTGTACTTCCTGAAGTTGAGCCTTCCACAAACTTAACTTTACTACGGCTTGAGCTGTAATCCAAAGGCCCTGAACGACGAACATTCCGTTGCCTGCTTTCACTGCTCCGTAAGCTTCCACTGTCAGTATCATAAAGGTGCTCCTGGCCATGGGATGATGATCCTTTGAAATAACCTGAATCATACTGGGGAGTGGGGTCGCCACGGGGCTGTCGTACTCCAGGAGATGAATGTGTGAGTGATGCAGCAGGTGAATGGCGAGGTGAACCACTTAGTAATGCGAGTGGTGTAGATGGAGAATTTTCATAATACTGGCTGTATATCGAACGGAGAATGGCATACGGAACATGGGGTTCGAGAGAGCTTCTTGGAAGATAAGGCGATATCTCACAAAGTTGGTCTAGGAAAATTAGCTGTGCTACAAGATGAGATCTGTGAAGAACAGTTGAAATCATTAGCAGCTTGCACATGATTAAGTAGGAGAATTGAATTGAGAATTTTGACAGTCAATGACTCAAATATATTGCATGACCATTTCTGTAAAGATAAATCAGTGTACCTGTTAGCTTCACTCCATGAATCCAATATAATGCCTGCAGAGAATTTGACGAAGAGCTGCATTGAGGATTTTATGCTTGCTTCAGCTGACAAACGACTTTGACTCTCAGGGTCCCCTGTATCAACAGCATGTCCATTTGAGAGAGATTGTCTTTGCTGATGCTCACGTTCCAGTCTAACAAACTCGCTTCCTGCAATTACAGCACTAATGCACCTGCGAACAAAATTTATTCGTGATAGGCATTAATACATTTCCCTAAAAGACCCATAAAAACATTATATTTCTCAAACAATGAACACGGAAGAATCAAGAAATTACATAAACAGATACATACCAATTGAACTAAGCACTACTGGGTAGGTATAGGTTTGGATCATTTTGCCTTTAGTAACTTTAAAAATATATATATATATATATATATATATTATATATATATTCCATCTTGTATTAAGAAGTATCTAGCATAAAATATAGTTCTACTTTATGGTAAAAGTAAATGCAAGCCCACCTTGCCAAGCAATGGATATTGTTATTGAAGCCCCCCGTGTCCACATTGAAGGCAGTGGTATTCCAAATATTAGACGTCATGAAGGTAGCAAATAAATAAGGCAAGAAGCTCCATGAACCATCATTTGCACCTCCAACCTCTTCTAAGATCAATCTCACCCACTGAGAATCATGATCGTAGACTACACCAAAATTGTTTGTCACACTTTTCAATCTCCTGATTTCTATCTTTTCAGGTATTTCTTCAGGTATATGCTTAGCTATCCCAGTCAATAATGAATGTATCAAGGGCGCACCTTCCAAGAGCACAGCTCCAGAAGCTTCAGCTAGAAGTCTATCAAAAGCCAAGGCCAGCCCAGCTTGAACGCAAAACCCAATCACGGTGTCTATATCGACTATCTGCTTTATTGATGCCTCTCTTTCTGTTCGGTCACCAGAATGCAGGCTGCCAGAAACTGCTTCTAGCACTTCACGGTTTGATCTCAATGATGTGTCAATACAATTTAAAAGTGCAGCAGTGTGTTCTTTCAGCATTCTGTCTAGCCTGTCAACTCCATAGCCACCAAAAATCCGAACAAAGGCCTTCAGTTCTTTAAGATCAGTGACAGAATCAGCAAAATATCCGCCAACAGGCCTTGTGCTCTTGAAGCATTTGTGAATTGGAGCAAAAAGGATTCCGGCACCAGATATATCCTTGATTATATTTTCAATGTACCAGTTGCAAACAGCCTCAGTGGCTGATCCAGTGTGTTGCTCTGCTGGCTTGTCAAACAAATGTAAAGAAGAAACTGGTCCTGAAAAGGCCTCTGAGAGCAGAACTTCTCGAATACCCTGAGTTAGGTCCATGCTAATGTGCTGCTCTGCCAGATGGATGATGCTTATATGTCTGCGAATAAGTGACTCCAGAACAGAAGGCCGTTGGAGATCATTATCAGTTTTCAGTGCTGAAAGCAATCTTCTCCTAAGGTTCCCAAGGATGCATTCTCTCATGTACTGTAAAAAATGATTGGTACACTTCAGAAAAACGCAAGAATCGCATCATCTTGTGGTTGAAGAAAAAAGAGAATGCCTTACCTCCCTTAAGACAAAAACATGGTTTAGAACACATATTGGCTCCATATCATTCAACACTGAGCATAGATTGGTCAGTCTCTGCACCGCAGCTTCTAACCTGCCATTACCAAGAAAAAACAAAGGCACTGTTAGCTGTGCCAATATTGGACTTTACAAGAGTGCAATGCAAAACATACTGCATGAAACTAAGATGACTAGTGACTTACATTTTAATAGAACTATTATTTTCAGGATGACTCTCCTGACCAGGAAAAGGGAAACCAGATGGTCCCTTTGGAGATTTAGCTGAAGGAATCGATACTCTTGATGCATAATTCATATAATAAGCTGCCTGCTCTGGAAGAAGCTGAATATTTTCACAAAATCAGTTTTGTAAACATAACTGATGGCAACTGTATCTTATTTCCTTGAGTTACAACATTAAATCAGATAAAAGTGATTACCTGGATCTCAAGGGCACCAAATCCTCCTTCAGAATCAAGGATGTTGATTAATCCCTCCAGTCCTCCCATTATTGATTCAATGAGAGATTCAACATAAAGGACTGCATCCCTGCCAATTTTAGTCACCTGCTTTCAAAAGGAGTTAAGCACGGTTCATTTCATTTCTGGTCTCATGCATCCATGTGCATGCTGAAGCATCATGAGGTTTCAGTAAAATGAACTCCCAATTGTCTTATCTAATCAATAACTTTGGGGTAAAATGTTATTTTCATCTTCCCAGTAAAAGATGATAAAAGCATCTTTATCAACCTGGAATCTTTAAGGAAAAAAAAAGGCTCAAAGAAAGGCTCATTATCACTTCTATAAGTAACTTAAGAAAAGAAAACAGTTATGCATGCAACTTTATTTAAAGAATAAATATAGCATGTTGTGACACGTAGATATGTCTAGAAAATTTTAAGGGCAGGTTGAGGAACTTGAGTTTATGGATCACCTCTTCTGGAACAATGGGAGAGGCACACTCTGGAAAACTACTTGCAACACCAAGCCATGCACAGCAATGCTGTGGACGCCCTTCTGGGCCAAACATAGTGTTCCTGAAGACCTATTTAAAGATAAAATAGAAAATCAATTTTAATTTGTCTCAAGTTTTTGGTTAACTAAAGAGGAGCTATCAAACCAATTACAGCTAATGAGATCCAGAGCTTACTGCTGTAAGGTGCTGATGGTAGAAATACAACTTCTTAAGGCTCGCATGCTTTGATAATTGAGATTCCAGTTCGTCAACACATCTGATTTGAAACAGATAGGTATGTACTGTTATTGCCACTATGACAAATTCAAATGCATATGCAGCCATGTTTTAATCTAATAATGAACGTTGGAGATGAAAGCATTTTATTTACTTCAGCAATTGCTTAACAGATATTTCAAGTATTAACTAAGAAACTATTATGATCATATTATGCTCAACACAATTGACCATAGTCAATTAGATCTTCATTTAACTTCTTGTGAGACTTTTCAGGTAAAACATTGTGCTATCCTGAATCCTATAGGTAACGTAATAAAAATGACAATTATCTTCTTGTTTTTCCTTTAAATATCCTAGAAGACTCAGACGTCCTAAGACTAACGGCACTCCAGAATCAAAGGAAATCACTTAGAAATGGCTTCTAGTACTCACCAATAAAAAATTTAATGAACAATTTTCCCAATTGTTACATACAGTTGTAACTCGTAAGAATATTTATCTTCATCACTGTAATTAACTAACTGCAATGATGACTACAAAATCCATCACAATGGTCAAAACTAAGTCAGAAAGAGCACCTTGACCAATTGTATGCAGCATTTCCTTCCGATAATAAGCCTTCTTTCCCTGTTGAAACTGTAGCTTTCTCCAAATGTCTTATGTTTATAGATGATCGGGAAGATGTGACTATCATCAATATTGATAACCAATCCTTTCGGAATTCCTGAGTAGAAATACAAAATTAACACTCCTATGTAAATTGAGAACTAGGATACTAGAGCGATGGGTACAATATTGAGAACAATTATTTATATAGAGCAATACAATGAGGGATGAGTTAGGCACTATGCTATGAAAAAAAACAACTAAAAGTAAATAGACTTGATTGCATAAAGTATATTTTAAAATTATTTAATTAAAAGAAAATCTGATGTAGCTTAAAACTCTGATAAGGTTTGTAGTAATTTGTTGGGCATGTGGGACTAACACTTCTGATTAATTAACATAATTGAAGCCCATTTAATTAATTAACTCCACTCCCCACCTCAAAAAGAAAAAAGGCTACATGTTTTACAATTCCAGCTATTCCCTAATCGAGTAGTTTATTTATAAAACAAAAACGTAGAATTAAAGAGTACATTACACATACACACAACATCTTCCTCTTGCCAACAAGAAAGACAGAGACAGTAAATGCTTCCAACCAATGCCTACTGATATATCCATGACTATCTCTAAAATAATTTCCTCTAAACACAATTTATAATCCTTAGACAGTTCATATCAGTCTAGTAATCTACAGCTATTTTAACACCTAGATGTAAATTAAAGTGATGAAATAAGAAATGAGAAACTCTATATGCAAGAGAGGTGCCAAATAAACACAGGCAAATATATATATCAGAATCTACAGGAAACATCTATTTGGCATCCAAAAACCTCGGGAGATTTATTCTAAAGAAAAAAGAGCATAGTATGCAGATTTCTTACAGATAGATCGCATGTAATGGCAGACACATTTTCACCCTGTGGTTTTGGTATGTTTTCAAGCTGCTGAACAATCTGCTGGAAAAGACCTTTCAAGCTTGAATCTAAGTCAAGAGCCACCATCCCAGGGGTATTCAACAAATACCGGATTCTACCAGCACAAGAAGAAAGGTATGATAGTGCATAACCTCGAATCGCTGCATATAAGTTCGCAAAGCATAAAAATAAAGTATACTTTATTTCTAGAAGAAATCTCTTACTGCAGTAATAAAACAATGTTGGACACATCTATTTGCAATTAAAATCACATACAAATTCCGAGTTTATATGCGTTGAATATTGGTCAAGTGTCAAAGAGCATATGTTGTTACATTTTTGGGTTCTGCTTTAGCTGAAGTAAGAATTTTAACATACATCAAGATTTCTATATATAAAAATTATCATATTTCCACTATTGAGAAAAATGGCATGGCATATATTAAGTTCAAACTAACCTGCAATGTATTTGCGTACTAAACAGCATAGATGGTCCATTCCATCTAATAAGAACCCGATAGTTGGATCACTCGGGTCCTGCAAACAAAAAAAACAAACACAATAGTTGAAATCAAGCACTTCATTATCAGGTTGAACATACCAGGATAAGAAATTTATCATGACGGATCTCGACAGGTATGGGCAAACATGGCTTACTATGTCAACTGGTACAATTCGAGTGGTTTTAGATTTTGATGACGCAATTCCAACATGTTGGAAATACCAGATGACCTCACATTGAGCAAAAGCCAAGGCAGAGAATACCATCTGTAGGATACATCAGATAATCATAATATTATAAATAAGCACTAGAGAGTATTATCGTGAAAAATTTGTGGACAAAACCCAGCAGTCATTGACAGATAGAGAAGAAAAACCAATGGAGAAAATTATCACCACAATTGATTGGTTGAAGAGTTTCTTCATATCACACTTTCAAGACTGACTCTCCAGTTTTAACTTATCCAATTGTGAATGTATTAACTGATTTCAAGCATTTTAGGATAAAAGGTTCCGTAGGTATCAGCAGTTAGCACTAACCAGAGTTCAGAAGAATAAGGGAGCACTGTGATTTATGACTCAAACACGACCTTTTCAAACAAGAAAAAATATGGGCTACAAGTTCTGAAATTGCTGCAAAAGTTTTCATCAGAACTACCTCAATTTACATAAGTATGTCACTACCCATCTCCCACGTCCTCAAGTGAGGAATCAAGATCAAGTTCGTTTTTAAGAAAAAAGTTATTTATTAAGATAAAGTTCAGTAAAAAGTTATAACTGATTGTCAACAGAGTAGGAGTAGGACATGAAAAAAGACGGGGCATTCAAAACCGTAATCATACACACAAAGCAGATCAGATATTTGAAGCAAGTAGAAACTGTTGATTTTCCTTTCCTTTTATTATTTCGTGTAAACTATTACGAAATTCACCCAGGAAAGGAACTTAAGTGAAATAAACCAAAAATTCACTAGCAAAAATAACTTAAATAACTACAAAAAAAATTCATCCTCGAAAGAAAGTCTTTTGAGACTTCATACGCTTAGTAAATTAACAAGAATCTGTTGTTATGGTAAACATCCATCTCCTGAGTAAATTTATGCTTACTTTTCATTTATAACTTGATGTGTTAATAGATTCTAAGGTTTTTCCAATGCCCGATAATGTTTCCTGAAAAATCCAATAATTTCCACCCCTTCCAGAATACACATTACAAGGAACACATGTAACCACTTCGTACAAAGAAACTGCAATGACAATGTACCTGTATGTTTGGAGCCAACAAACTAGGCTGATCAGTGAAGAAAAGCACCATTCTTCCAATCTCTTGCTTTAACAATATTCTCCTCTCACGATGAATGGCATCACACGAGAGTAAAGCTTGCTCATGCACTTCACTGCATCAAGTGACCATTTTATTATATTCAATGCACATGGTGCCACAAACATCGTCAAGCATAAAGAAATTCATTTGATGAGAACTAAGGGTTACAGATGGATATTTGAAACCTGGATACTGATATGCCCTCATGGGATACATGCAAATGAGAATTTCTATATCATTATTACACCAGGTATATTATGAAGTATTGAATGATATGGGACACCACATGGATACATTAACATGCTAAGTTTGAAACTACTAGTGTGTTATTTCTTGTGTTTGGCTTGATCTACATTGTTATGTCCATTATGCAAAACACTCCACCTTGAGACCACTTGCATAAGCAAAACAACATCAAGGATTCAAAGGTCATCTTGCAACAAATTTGGGCAGACTACTTAAGCTGACAACTAGATTTTTTTTTAAACTTTGTGCACGGAACTATTAAATGTGTTACTTTTCTCTCATTCTTATTTCTGGCAAGTTCCAAGTTCAGCTTTTCATATTTAGACTTTGATTTTTTGACCAAAAAAACAAAAAAAGACTTTGATTTATGTACGTACCTTATCATTTTCTCAACTTGCTTTGCTACACTATACTCCAGATCTGCTTCCTTTTGCTTCGTACGACCAGACTTTGCCATCTTCTTTGATTCTAAAATTCGTGGCAGGACATATAGTTGATAATCCTCATGCAAAAGTATATACTGCATGTTTAAGTTACAACAATAAGCTACTGAAAATGATGGAAGTAGCTGAACGACAGAAAACAGGCAGCAAAAATCACCTCATCCCTGAACAATGTAAGAACCAGATTTTCTTTCAATACGACCTGAAATCCACGACAGAGAAATAAAAATAAGGAAAAAGCCAAACACATTATGCATGATAAATATAACAAAAAGCACCTACATACAAAAAGAAAACTCCTAAGGCAAATGCCAAAATATGCATGTCTTCTATTCCATTTAAGATTGTTCAATTCAAATTCAATATAAAATTGGCAAGAATAATTAGAAATCATGTACAGTGTAAGGTTTACCAGAGCAATATCAATGCTAGTGACACGAAGAAGCTCATCAGGACAAACAAGATACCCAAATAATACCCATTCACGATAAGAGGTGACGTTTGCTAGATCCTGAGCTCTCTGCAAATGGAACATAACATTAACCATATAATGCAGTTTGCAAAAGCACCACTCTAACAAAACATTCAGATTAACAATATAAAAAGGAGAAACAACTTAGCAGATTTTGGCCAGTTTTAAAATTAATAATAGGAAGATGTCTACCAAGGGGTGGGCAGAATTTGTAAGTATGTCCGGATATCGAGGATGATATGGACTCAAAAAACCCTCATTTCTGAGCTTTCTTGTATCAGTTGACAGAAAAATAATAGGACCCACAGCCTCTAGCACCTGGAAAAGAAAAATGAAATTTAGTGGTAATAAATCTTCTCAATAAATATTATTAACATAATTTTCTAGATTAATGGTTGTTCAAACTTCAAATACGACTGATTAAATTTCAAAAGTCAAATAGGTGATATTTCATGCCACGTAGTTTCTCAACATGAATTCCTTGTATCAAATAGCAAATAAGATCTAACGATTCTAACCCCTCTGAAACCCACTAAAGGTTCCTTTGCATTTTTTATCCACTGTTCAGATATTGATAAAGGAATAGGGATGTGGAACAAACACCATCAGACAAGTAGTTTATTAAGATTGCCAATTTCCAATTTCATATAATGTATTTCTTTTCCATTTTGACAATTAAAACTTCTACTAAAATTGCCAAAAAACTAGTGTACCTAATCCACATGGATATTGATCTCAAGGTAACGACAAACTCCCAAATACTAAGTGAGATCCTTCTAAAAAGACTACTTAAGAGGCACAATTCATATGTTACAATGTCATCAATGAAAATCAAAACTATACTTTTTGTTATCAATTATGACACTCGAGGAGGGGATTTGACCTCGGGGCCTCCTCTTCGTGCCCCATCAACAAAAACATAATTATCAAAACAACATTGATAAATTAAAGCACAAACTAACCTCTCCAATACGTGGGCTCACAAAATTTAGGTCTTCTTTTAATCCTTTCAATGGTGGATCATAACTGTCTATAAACTGAACCAGCCTATTATCAACAGAAAGAAAAACATAAGGTCTGATGTTTTAAGCAGGAACAATAAGAATAGAGATTTCAACAAAAACCAAATCAATATATAAACATTTTCATGTACTTCTTTAGAGGTTAATGCTATTACAACAAAACCAAAGCAATACATAAATAAATTGAATGAATACAAGAATGACATGCAGCAAAAACAAGAAACTTATAACTAAAAATATATCCTACCGATGATAAAAATCACAATCTCGGTCGTTTCTGGACATGGAATGCAAAAGGTTATACATTTGTAGCATCATTTTCCTTGGCATCTGTTATAAGCAAAGTGTTAGCAGAACATCCAGTACAGGAATTAACTTATATGAATGCCCCGTTAAGACAAAGCAATTAAGTTCTCAAAAAAAGAGAGTGACAAAAAACAGATACTGAAAAAAAAATAATAATAAGAACAAGAACAAGAACAACAGAAATTAACTTACCTTCTCAGAAAAGAGGTTAACGCGGACAAAGGAGCAAAAGAGATCCATAAATGCATGCAGTATAAGCGAGTTCTGATGGGGCTGCAAAATACTGCGCCAAGTTATTGGAGATGCCATGTAGAAACCTTACTTTGTGTTTTAAACAACAAGGTCATCTAGAATATGCAAGGAAATAATGCAAACATTATTTTATTCTGTCAAAATTCCTTGTAAAATGTGACCTTAATTTACACATTCACTGCCTAATAAAGCAAAAGTATATATTGGGAAGCACTTTATCAATTCATCCCTGCTTCATGTCATCAAATCAGTTACATTGAAAACATTACGTTTGTTACTATCAGGAAAAAAAAGGTGCAAGATAGATATTGAGGCTCCTTTGGTATCTGAAAAATTGAATTAAAAATTTTTCATTTCAAACCTATATTTACATGATCATTTTCATGTACTTCTATCTTCATATGGCTGCTTCTAACAAGCACTATACATCTGATTTCCACAAGTATCGTGACACTTACTAATTAGACTAACCTGTTGTTAAAAATCCTATTCGTTTACATAACAGGAAACAATGTTTATTTAACTTTTTTGAACTACACGTTCACCATGTATCAGTGAGTGTATGAGGACAGAGATATCAGAAAACCATAACTTTATGACATCAATTATATGCTTCTGGATATCAATTTGTGTGGCATCATATATAGAGTTGAAATAGAGAAAAAAAGTGTCAATATCATTGTTCCACCCATAACCTATAATTTATAGAGGTAAAATAAGTGATCATGAGACTCACCAACAAGGTAATAACTGTACTGCTCAGATCCAATATAAGTCGTAGAGCTTGTTCTCGAAAAGCCATCAAGTCAAGAAGTAGCTGATTCATGCAAAAGAAAAGCTATTAATTGACTACATCTAAAATATGGTCATTTTAAAATCTATAAATCAGAAGCGAGCTAGTGATTTGCAGACCATCTCTCAAATCAAAACCACCACCACCACCCCAACAACAAGAATAAATGCTTATAATCATTCATGCATAGCTCCTGGACTGACCATTTATCAAATTGTTGTTGATAAACTTGCCACAAATTTAGACTTAGGTTTTAGCCTTCTATATATCAATAATAACTAATGAACTAATAGTTCATACCTAAACCTTTATAAAAGATAGATGAAACAAGTAAATGTAGACACTGACAAGAACTACCATGAGCTTAATTTAGCACCAAAAATCAGAGACCGGAAAAACTATAGTTCTATAGAAGCTTTATATAGAATATTCAGACAATGGAAGAATAAAGGTAAATGGAAATACTAACTCCGTACCTGGATCCATGGTTCCAAGCTTTGTAAATGAAGTTCCGCATTATCATGTAAGGCATCCCAAGCAACCTTATCAACCTGCATCAATATTATTCCATATAACACTATTCAGCTAGCTCAGTAACGCTGACTACCATAAGAATACCTAATATTTAAATGAAAACAAATCAATTCTACGCGGTCAAGCTGCAACTTGCTATAATGTTCAGGGAACTTCTTTGAGAGTAACAAGCAAATTCTTGGATGGTTAGGAAACACAACCGGCTTTCCAAAATGCTTCTGAAAATACATGGCCAACTGGATCCGGGTAATCCAAAATTTGGTTCAACCTATATATTTTAGCCATAAGACCTTCTGCCACTTCAGTTAGTTTGAACTACCCACTGCATGTTCAATCCTTTGTGGGACCCGCCTGAACTATGGACCTGTCCATCAGGACCCTGCATTCCTGGAGCTCCTCAAATCATTGGAGAAGTTGTTTCTGGACCCAAGTACTCAGTCCATCTTGATGGACCCTCCCATGCTCGTGATCTCACTGATGTCGGTGACAGTGATGAATCTTGGCTAGAGAAATGTTGTCTCGATCTTGCCATTGGTAATTAATCAAGACATTCTGCATTTAGTCAGATACTATAAGAGTAAGCAAGGATTTAAATTTGATATCAATGTTAAATTAGTCAGAAAAACTAAGAAAACATTAGATATAATCATAGAATGCATTGAAAATAACTAAATTTAATACATTTGAGATGAATTTGAAATTACTATATGCAAGAAACCATCTGAAGTTCTGGTAATAAACTATTTCCTTTTAGAAAAACTGGCCGGGAAAGACCTCCAATGAATTGAGTTTGAACTAGTAAATTAGTAAAATTAGAGAACAACCATTTCCTATATGTAGAGCATTTCATAGTTTGGACCATTTCCAAATTAGCAGCATTATGTAAAAAGCAAATATATCCTAAACAAGTAATTCTACCAAACAGACATTGTAGCAACCACATGAATCAGAATGCAAACAAAAAAATTCCCCATTTGGCTGCTCCGAGAATGAGAGAACACTCAACTCAAGGAAGCGAAAATTGTAAGCATTGTATTCTTTCGTAGTTTCGAAGACTGTGTTCCCTTGTTTCTTTCCCACATTTTCTAGGCAGCCAAACGGAGCAAGTAGAGGGAGCAACAGAGAGAGAGAGAGAGAGAGAGAGAGAGAGAGAGGAGTAGTAGTAACCTACAAGTCAAAGCTTCAAAGTTGAAACGTAGAGCAAATGAGGTAGTTGAAGATCATGGAGCTCAGATCTGACTCTCTATACTGCCTTTAGGTTGTGAATTCTGATTTGTGAAGCAGCTGCACTATATGAGAATGAATGAGAGAGAGAGAGAGAGAGAGAGAGAGTGGTTGGTTTTGTGGGAGAGCTGGGAATTTGGTTTAATATTTATTTATAATAAAAAGAAAATGGTAATTTTTTAATAGTTAGTAGTTTTAAGACAGGCGGGCGTGGCCCGTGGTCGGTTTCTTTTCTTTTTTTACTTTCTCAAACGGCGAAAGAGTTGAACAAAAGAAGAAGAAGAAGAAAATATCACTGTTTTCCTTTTCTTTTTCTGTTTTTTATCTTTTTTTTTCTTTCCATTACAAATCCGAATTTAATGTCACCCCCGACTTCCTTTTGCAGTCGTGTGAGTTTTGAAAATGCTAACAAAACCCTAATATTTATATAAAATAAAATAATCATATAAATCATAGTAGTAATTAAACAAATTTATTGTCAACGGAGGGTAGAAATGGCCTAGTTTTGCAGACCACTGATGTTAGTTCTAGTTCGAATCTTCATAACACCTTGATTGTGTGTGTTAGAAAACTATCCTACTCCAATATCGTTGTATAACTAAAAAAAACAAGTTTATTGAGGAAAATCAAATTCTTTATGTTTTACATATTCAATATTGATAAATGATATATTTGAAGTAGAGCTACTCCAAAAATAAAAACAAAAAATTGAAATATCGGGTAGCTTAGGCCCCGTTTGATGTGAGTGCATGAGCCACTATCTCTGCTGACCAATTATATGAAACCATATAATAACTTGTTTCAAATTCAAATTATTACATCATAAGGGTAACAATATGAGGCCATATATAGTTTTAAAAAAATCCCTCTATGTATTTAAAAATTAATAGTTAGAAATGTGAATCATTTTACTTTTAAGGTACATCTTGAATAGCAATCACTTGATTTTGAGTAGCAACAATACAAATGATTGAACCTAAAGTGTATAGCTTAGTGGCACCCATGATATTATTATTGTCACATATATATTAAATATATTTTATTATATTCTATATGAATAGCTTGACTTGCTTGATGATGTGGGTATATATGTTTAGAAGGATGCACTCCTTGTCATTCATAAGGTGGAAGACATACTTGGCTTGGACATTAAGCAACCATCATTACATATTATTTTATTTTATTTCACTATTTTAGGGTGAGTGTGTGAGAGATTTAGGATGCAAAAAGCAATTTTAAAGATTTTTTATAATTTTTATTATTGTCTTTCTGGCCTTCAATATTATGATGGTAGTCATAAAATAAGTTGCCTCATTTGGGTATTTCACAGGTAAGATAATTATAGGATTATAAAATTTGCTTATGTGATAACGTATTATGGGTTCTAATTGGGCTTTGATAAAATGGGTCTGGTTGACCCAACTTGATACTTTCCTTCAAGCCGGAGCCCTCTTCAAACTTGGACCATTTGACAAGCTCTAATCTATCCATGGGTCGGAAGATTTTCTGGACGGTGGTAGCAACCCAAAGGGACAAAATAGAAAAGGAAAAAAAGTTCCAAGGGGTTTCAATTCACTAGACACTTGATGAAGATTAACCATCCATTTGCTCAAAACCATTACATCTTGTTTGGTGGGTAGGATTAGTACTAGAATTATATTAAAATAAATGTGATTAGAATAAAAGATAATCCCATTATAATTTTATTATGTGCATTTATATAGGTAGAATACATAATCCCACAACTCCAAACCTCGAGACACAAGAGCTACAACACAAAGTATGAGAACCTAATTTTTTTTTAATATAAAAACTATATATATTATATTTAAAGAAATATTCATACTACATATTAATTATTTATTAACAGTTTGTCTTTATTTAATATTTATTATGAATACTTAAATTTTATAAAATCTTAAGCCTATTATGAGATTATTCCTTTAGGTGAAAGATGGTACCATTCTTATTTTCCATGTGTAGAGACTTGAAATTGATTTTAATTATATAAGTCGCTAGGAACACAAGTTACTTGCAAATGACAAAATCAACCTCAATGAATGTATATGCAATCTAATCTCAAAGGCTAACTTTATCATTTGGAGAAATTTTTAATGTAAAATCATCAAGTTTTGGATGAACAATGGTATTCTTATAATTTATGAAACCTTAGAGAATTTTATATAAAAAAAACCCGAAAATCTGAGGGAATGTTAGGGCTCATTCGGTAATGTTTTTAGAGCCAGTTTTCTATTTTCGTTTCATGTTTTTCTCAAATACGTGTTCAGTGCATCGTTTTTGTTTTCCCTCACAAAATTTTTTTCTAAAAACAAATCTAACTTTGTGAACAAAAGTTGAAAACGATAAAAAGTTGTTTTTAGTGTTTTCTGAAGACAGGAGAAGGCATCCCATCAACAATTTTAGCTCTTTCTCCTGACAACCGATAAACCCACCAGCAGGAACAACATCCATCTTCTCCGACCCAAAATCACACAAATTTGCAAACTAAAAAGAAAAAAAATACAAAGGAAGAAGAAAAGAAAAACAACATAGAGACAGGAAGAAGAACCACCACATACCAGCTCAACCATTATCATCACTCAATCCAACCACCACATACCTAGCCAACGACCATCACCACCAATCAAACCACCACAACCATTAATTAGTGGAGAGAGAGAGAGAGAGATGAGGGAGAGAGAGAGAGAGGAGAGAGAGAGAGGGACGGTCCTATGGGCTAGGTAACATGGGATATAGCCCAGGTCACTTGATATTTTATAGCTCAAATTAATACCCTAGACCACCCAAGCAAGCCTTAGATACCCCCATCCTACCTAAATAAAATCCCATTAACTAACCTTACAAATCATTGTCTCTTGCGCATTAGACCATCATTTAGCTTAGCCAACCTCTGCTCTTCGCAACAGACCATCCTTCAGCTTGATTTGTTGAATTGTCAAATATGATTTGCAATTGATTTTGGTGTTCTTAATTGTATCAAATAGAATTTATTCATAATATAGATAATGAATCAATAATTAATTATTTTAATTTTGTGAAGACTAGGAAAGGTGCAACTTATATAAGTGTTATTTATATTTGAATTGCATGTTTATTTCTTGATCTTTTTTTCTTACTAGTTTCTATGTATAATGCTATATGCATTTTGAGGGGTTAGGCTTTTACGTCCCTCCATATATTTTTTTTAATCAATGAAATTCACTCGTATTATCGAGTTTTCTATCCTTTTAGCAGATTTGTAAGTAAAGTAAATTTAGTCCACCCCATTTTGAAATCATGAGTCCATCTTGGAGAGAGAGAGAGAGAGAGGAGAGAGAGAGAGAGAGATGGGTGGGTTTATGAGATTCATGCCATGGAAGGAAGGAGGGAGTGGGTGCGGCCTGGGAGGGAAAGGAAAAAGAAAAGACGAAGAAAAGGAGAAAAAATAAATGGCCTTGGGAAGGAAAGGAAGAAGAAAAGAGGAAGGAAAAAGAGAAAAAAGAAACGGCCATGCGAAGAAAAGGAAGAACAAAGAGGAGGAAAAGAGAGAAAAGGGGAAAAAGGAGAAAAAAAAAGAGAGAAAAAAGAAAGGAGATAAGAGAGTTTTTGGGCTTTAATTTTTTATTATGTTTATAATAATTTTAGCCTCTAAAAATATCATAATTAAAAAAATAGTACTGAAATTAGCAAAAATACACCTAAAAAACAACTCACGTATTATTATTCTCAAATTGTACTGCCATATATGTTTTCACTGTTTTTATTTTCTGAATTTGTTTTCCAATTAATCTACCAAACGCATTTTCAAATCCTGAAAATGCAAATCTATTTTCTCGTTTACATTCTCATAAAATATTCTCAGAAAACATTCTTCGAAAACACGACTGAACGGGCCCTTAGTGTAAATAACTCATATGGTTATTTGTTTTCTTTGATTTTTCAGTCCTTTTTTTGGTGCTTTCATTTCGTTGTTTGTCATTTTCTGGGAATTGCTTTTGGTAAAGCAAAAGAAATATCGGGTTGGGCAAGAGAACGACAAGTAAGAGCATCTTGATGGAGATTCATGCAAAATTTTATTAAATCCTTCCAAATGTCAAATAAAATATTATTTATTTGTTTTCAATTTTAATTGTAAATGGAGCTCATATTATTAAAAGTTTTAAAAGAAAATAATCAATGGTGAGGTTCGGTCATGAGAAAGTATTAAAATAATATTCATCATGGCACTTGCGGTTTTTAAATTCCTGTAAAATTTGTATTTACATGTAATTTATTTAACATATCGGTCTTGTCAAGACTCATGCTATGACAAGAAAATGAAACTCATTTGCAACATAGTACATGCTTTTCTTTAGTAGCTAGAATTCTGCTGACGAAGACTTAGAAATAGCCATAAAATAAGTTTTAGTTTCTTCTCTTCTCCCCATTGTCCCCATTGACCGCAGACTTCATCTGCTCTTCATAGTATTTTGAGCTTCAAAAGCAATCTTCACATACAGATACAGTACCAAACAAACACCTTTCAGACCCAAGTATCTCTCTCTTTTGATCATTTCTAATTTAGGCTTTTCAAATTAGGATTTACTTGGGTTTTGGGCAGCCATGGATTTTGTGAAAAAAATACCTCCAGTTTATGCTTCCAATGTGGTTGTTTACTTAATGCTTGTTTGGTCCAAGGCCATGGACTGCTACTTACTGCCCATGTTGAGATTTCCTCTGTTGATCCTCCATGGCTTCTTCAAACGTTGGCTGATTAAGCCCATGACCCTGCAAATTGAAGAGTACCATGGTACAAGTAGTAGAAATAAAGTTTATGATGCTTCTGCGCTTTACTTGCAGAGCAAGATCAGCCCTTCAACTCAGATTCTGAAGATTTCACAAACTTGGAGAGAGACTAGTTAACTGTCAACTTTGCAAACAACCAAGAGTTTGATGACATGTATGAAGGGGTTCCGCTGAAATGGAAATTCAATTCCATGTCAAAGAGATCCAGTAGTTCTAGCACTTCCTCAGCTTTCAAGCCAGAGCAAAAGCAATACTTTGAGCTTGTATTTGACTTGCAGCACAAAGAAAAGGTAATAAATTTGTACTTGCCTTATGTTTTAGAGACATTTGAGGCTATGAAAAACGAACGGAAGATTGTCAAGCTGCATACACTTGTGAGAATAGATGCTTTTAAAATAAGATGGGAGGCAATCAATCTCGAACACCCCGCAACATTCCAGAAGGTAGCCATGGAACCAGAGCTGAAGAAAACGGTTTTGGAGGACTTGGACAGGTTTGTTAAGAGGAAAGAGTTCTATCAAAGTGTGGGAAGGGCTTGGAAGCGAGGGTACCTTCTATATGGTCTCGGCACAGGGAAATCATCCCTAATAGCTGCCATGGCTAATTACCTCAAGTTTGATGTTTATGATTTGCAACTCACGCATTTGAAAACAGATATGGAACTGAGAAAAGTATTGCTGTCAACATCAAACAAGTCGATCCTTGTTATTGAGGATATAGATTGTAGCCAGCCAGGGGTGCAAGATCGAAAAAATGCTAATGGCATCAGAAAGCCTGAGTTAGAAGGCAATCAGGTTAGTAGTTTACAAGTTGTATCTGCAATGAAAGATTTTTAGTAACATGGGCAATTTCTGTTATGTATATTAAGCTTGACTTTGCTGTGCTATTTAAATTGGCTTTTCTTTTGTCACACAGCTTACACTATCTGGACTGCTAAACTTCATAGATGGGCTTTGGTCAAGTTGTGGAGAGGAGAGAATCGTTGTGTTCACTACCAATCACAAGAGCAAGCTTGACCCCGCATTGCTGCGTTCGGGACGAATGGACATGCACATCCACATGTCATATTGCACCTACGAAGGCTTCAAAATTTTGGCTTGTAATTACCTCAGAACTTGTGAACAGAAGCACCCTTTGTTTGAGGAGATTGAAAGCCTTCTGAAGAAAACAAAGGTCACTCCTGCACAAGTGGCAGAGCAGCTGATGAAGAGTGAGGAGGCTGAAGTTGCTCTTCAAGGTTTGATCACACTGTTAAAGCAAAAGAAAAACCAAGGGAAAGATGAGTATCAGGAGGAAGATGAATATGAAGGTGAAAACAAACAATTAACATATTTTATTTAGTAAGAGATAAACAATTGGGCATATTGTTTTCGGAAAAACATGTAATTTCAACTCAGATAGAAAGAATCGCATTGAATTTAGGAAAGCTTTATGTTATTTCAATACAATTGTCTTGTATTTCAGTTACCATATCTGACTAAACAGTTATTTGTATAGTCATTTGGATGGAATCCCTGAAAAACTAACGTGGCTCACATTGACCTATTTTAAAAAGTTCATAACCTAAAGTGGCTTAGAAAATAAAAATTTAGGCCCCAAATTGAAACTCATTTAAAAGCTCAGCAGATAAAACGGCAGTTTATCCAACAGTTTGAGGACACACATGAAGGCATTGAGCTCAAATGGAAGCTCAATGCCCTGTCCAAGAGAAAAGAGTTCGAGTTTTCCTTTGATGTGGGCCACAAGGACAAAGGGGAGCAGTCTGCTTGCCTTCCTTATTTAATGGAGAGATTTAAGGTCATGAACGAGGAAGCAAAGATTGTGAAGCTGCACACTTGCAAGCTCAGATGGTTCTAAGATCAAATTGGATGAAACCGAATTTTGAAATAACTCCGCAACATTTGAGACCCTGGCCATGGACCCAGATCTGAAGATGGCAGTTGTGGAGCATTTAGATAGGTCTGCTAAGAGGAGAGAGTTCTATCAAACGGTGGGAAAGGTTTGGAAGCGACAGTATCTTCTATGCGGTCCTCCAGGCACGGGTAAATCGTCCCTAAGAGCTCCCATGGTCTCATCACTCTGCTACTCAACAAGAAAGCAGACAAAGAGGTTGGGACAAAGACAATGATGCAGGTCAGTGCGTGGAGGAAAACTGACAGACCACCTCTGGAAGAAGAAGCTGCCTAGTTTTCAAGTAGTGTAGTTTGCTGAAAAAGAAAATACCAGTTCAACCTTTTCTTAGTGGTTTCCTAAGTTCATCAAAGAACAAACTTTTACACATATTGAAAGGAAAAGCAACATTCTTGAAGAAATATGGGCGAAATTAGTTGATAAACAGTTAGCATTATCAAAACAACTTTCCAGGAAAAAAAGCTATAATCAACTTTAACTAAAGAACTTTCATTCAGGAACCATACTATTCAATGTATTTTAAAGTTAACAAAGGTCAAGCAAATGTCTATTCCATATGAACTAAAGGGATGAAAACATAGGTACTACTGTACAAGCAACTGTTTGTCGCATATGAACTAAGGTAACTGTTTATTACATGCTATTCAAAACTCGTAATGAACAAAACCTTGATTGGAAGAAATACAGTTTGCAACTTGGGTGTACACTCTGCAAGGATGACCTTTGCCACCTTTGCAAACTCTTTACCGCAGATTTTCAAGCTCTCATGACTGAAGTTCTGATGCAACAGAGTCTTTTTAGCTCTTCCACAACTTCAAGAGCTTGTTCATCTTCATATTAAATCCAGATCAAGTCGTCCTTCAGTTCCAAAGCTTCTTTGCAAAGCATGGGATAAAAAAGTCCCGGTGGACTCTTTCCCAGCTTTCATCTAGTTCCCTTGACTACATTCACTGAGGAGTTATTCCAGGAACAAAAGGAACAGCTGGCTTTTTCTTCCTCGTTTTCTCCACCAATACAGCTTGAGTTGTAAGAACCACACCAGCAATGGAGACTGCAATTTGAAGGGCACATCTTGAAACCCTACAAGGATCTATAACTCCTGCATCTGGAAGATCTTCATAGCTGCCATTCATTGCATTGTACCCAACTCTCCAATCACAACTTTTAGTCTTCTCCACAACAACTTCTCCATCATCCCCTGCATTAGTTGCAATTGATTTTGCAGGAGCAAGTAGAGCCTGCAGTTCAGACATTGAAAGATCTTCTTACTTGCATAAAAAAAAAGTACAGGCCTACAAGGCACAACTAAATATAATACAAAAACAAAAAGAACAACAAATGTGTCCACGTCTGCATGTGCGTGCATGCACATTAATAATGTGCCAGTTTGTGTGTGCGAGTCAAGGAAAGAAATGGAGACCCCCACCTTTGCCACAAGGTCAGCACCTATCTGCTCATCTGTATCTTCCATAGAATTCTTTATGACAGGAATGAATTCTGACAGATGTACGTATGTTGCGCCACCACCAGGCACCACCCCTTCCTCCATAGCAGCAAATGTAGCATTCTTTGCATCCTCAATTCTGAGTTTGAGATCTTCAAGTTCCACCTCAGTATGTGCTCCTACCTAAGGGACAGGTACACCACTTAATAATAAAGTAATGATAAAAATAGAAAGAAAAAAAAGTTGAGAAAAAAAACATTAGTTGAAAAGATTCACTAAATTTTCTATAGAGGTTAAAAGAAGGCCAACAAACAATAAGCTTTGTCCAGTTTGCAGCACAAATGAACAATCATATAGGAATGAAAAAAGAACACTAAAAAATGCATATGAATAAATTTGTTTTTAAAAACATTTTCTACACACATGATATCAGATATTGTAGCTCTTTCATATCACAGACCTTAATTACGGCAACTCCACCGCAAAGTTTGGCAATTCTTTCAGAGAGCTTTCTCGACAGGTATGCATTTTCTGTTTCTGCCAGATCCTTCTTGATCTGCAATATTCTTGCCTGAATCTCGGCTTTAGTAGAAGGGTCAGCAACTATTGTTGTTGAATTACTTGTTATTGTCACTCTTCTTGCAACTCCAAGTTGATCTGATGTTGCACTTTCAAGGGTCAGACCAAAATCTCCAGAGAGAAAATCAGCACCTGAAAGTTGCAATGCAAATTATTTTCTTATGAGAAGAAGCATAACAAATACTGTTATATTTTCATGCAGAAATGTTAGTAGTCTGACACATCGTTTTATAGACCTTAATAGCAGCTATGGAAGTTGAAGTGAATAACTTGATCTTCCTGTTTTCTTGAAAGGTCTTTTTTATTTGGGGTTTTTATTGAACTCTCTTAAAATCTTTGTAACTAGCATATTAATATTTTTTATAAATAAAATTTATGTAATCATCAAATGCCATGTTAGTAAATGGTGCTTGCATCAAATTCTCTCATAATTATTTAGCTGGAAGTGTGTAAGAAAGACAGCTAAAGGTTGGCATATACTAAATATGTTTACCTGTCATGAGTGCAATGTCTTGCAAAAGAGCTTTCTTTCCCTCTCCAAATCCAGGACATTTAACAACAGCAACATTAAGTAAACCCTGCATTTTGTTCACCACTAATGTTTCCAGAACTGGCTTTGAGATATCCTCTGCAATGATTAGTAGCGGGATACTCAATTGGGTTGTCTTTTCCAGTAAAGGAACAATTTCTTTAACAGTAGAAATCTTTTGATCAGTTACTAGAACCTTAGCTTTGTCAAACTCCACAACAGATCTTTCCTGGTTGGTAATGAAGTGGGAGGACATGTACCCCTTGTCAAACTGTACTGGACAAAAAATAATAGATTCAATGCATGCACAAGAATGGGTACTAAGAGATACTCGAAAGATGTACAAACCACAAACCAATTCACTTGATATATTTGTTGTTTAAACAAGACTTCTAACAGAAATTAAAGAAATAAAACAATCAACCAAAGCCTAACTCTAGCTCTAGTATGAGATTTCCTTTGTGATATTTCACATTTAAAAATTATCTATAAGACTTCAAAAAGAGCTACATAAATATATATGTGTGTGTGTGTGTGTGTGTGTGTGTGTGTGTGTTGCCATCTGATCATTTCCCTATGAAAATTCCTGTAATCAGAATAGTTCAATTTTTAATTCATAGGTTTATAGACTTTGTCATCTTTTTTACTGGGAGAAAATCATTTTAATTACCTTCAGTCCTTCTTCAACTAAAATAGACGTTTCAAATGATGAGGATGACTCAATTGAGATTACTCCATCAGGGCCAATCTTATCAATAGCTTCAGCAATTAAATTCCCTATGAATTCATCATTTCCAGCAGAAATTGAGGCCACAGCTGCAAAAAGGGGAAAACGCTATAAATATTGTACTGTATGTAAAAGAAATAAGAGAAACTAAAGAACACTTGAAAAGTGATTCTAATCTAATGTAATTTGAATGACAAGAAATGACCACCTTTAATATCTTTCCTTCCTTTTACGGGAAGACTCTTCTTCTTCAAGACCTTGACCAATTCATTCACAGTCTTATCCATTCCTTTCTTCAAAGAAATCGGGTTTTGCCCCAAAAGCTACTGCCAACAGTCCACCTTTGATCATTTCTCTTGTCAAATGATTGCTGTGGTGGTACCATCACCAGCCAAACTATTCATTTTACTTGCAACCTGCAAGTAAGACAGTAAAGATCTAAAAGTTATAATTTTATGCTCGGAAATGCACCAACATAAGCTTCTGTAAGATAACTATCTAGCAACTATGTATGACCTCTTGGATTAGCATTGCTCCGACGTTCTCAATTGTATCTGATAGCTCTATGGATTGAACAATTGTTACACCATCATTAATCACTTTCAGTGTTTCAGACTCAGAAAGAACAACATTACGTCCTGCATGTTTCACTTAAGATCAATCAACAATGCTCGTGTAAATGGAATCACCACTTAATTATTTACAAAAGTCTAAACCCAAAAACAATTTGCATTATTCTCAATTTGGTGCATCTTTTAGTTTCATATCACATAGCATTGCCAATAAGATTCACATAGGCCTCAATTTGTCTCATATGTTAAACACGTCCAAGTCCTTGGAATAGTATGTGTCATGATTATTCCAGATAAGCTGAAGGGTCGACCAACTAAATCAACTATGAATCTTTTTGGTATGACAACAAACCAACATTTAGCAAAACCATGCAATTAAATGGTCAGCCTCCAACTAAAGAAAGAAAGGTATCATATAATACTAGCTACACTGATTGAATTCAAAAAGCTTACTACAACTCCTAACATATGGCAACAAACAATCACGACTCTTTGTATGTCATGCAACAACTGAGCAACTTCATTTACTTGGGTCTCTACTAGTACAAGATAACAAAACACATCATAATAGATTAGAAGACAATATGCTTTGGAAAGAGTTAATAATGAAAAAAGATGAAAAGCCAGACACCTCTAGGTCCTAAGGTCAGAGAAACAGCATCAGCAAGCTTATCTATCCCAGCTTGTAAGGCCTCCCTGCTTTCTGTACCAAAAGATATCTTCTTTGGGCCTGCTCTGACCACAAGACCCCTCAAAGCCTGTGGTCTTCTCCAAAACCCAGGTGCTCGTTGCTTTTCAAAAAGGCTCTGCAGCTGCAATACAAACCATTAGCCCAAAACGATAATAAACAGAGAGAGAGAGAGAGAGAGAGAGAGACTTACAGAGAAGAGAGGTTTGTGAAAGAAGAGTTGAGAGGAAGTGAAGGAGACAGACATTTCTATTGCTGGCTGAACTAGGTTTTTGGGGTTTAGGACGAGTTTCTTGAATTTTGAAGGTTTTTTTTCCTGGAAAATTTTGAGGGGTATGAATACGCCAATTTAGTGGCGTATCCCGTATTGGATACGATACGCTTTGGACACGGTCAAGATACGCCGGGGACACGGTCAACCCAAGGTCAAGACACGGCGGGGATTCTGTTGCAATTTAAAAAATAAAAACTCTACCTCAGAGGAGGAAGAGATTGAAGATGCTGAACATAGAAGCCTCTGTTTGAAACTTTCCCGATTGAGAACCAGAGAGATTGAGAAATAACCATAGAAGGGAGAGATAGAGAGAGAGCTGAACCCACCCACAATCACAGTTTCAACTGAAGCCTCTGCTTGAAACTTTCCCAATTGAATTAAAAAAAAGAGGCAAAAGGGAGGGAGAAGGTGAACCGGGGAAAAAGGGAGATGTGGAGGAGGGTTGCGATGTGAGAGAGAGAGAGAGAGAATGGGGAGGTGGGGTAGGGTCTGATGATACTTTGTTTTTTGTTTTAGATAATTTTAAGTTTTTTTTAATGATTTAAAATATTATTGTACATTTTAACTACCATACCCCTTTTTGAAAGGGATGAAAAAGTATAAGAAAATGGGTGAAAGTGAGATATTAATGGCAGTTTCATTTCTTAAAATTGCTCATAAAAAAATATTTTTATTAAAAACAATTGTATTTAAAATATTGAATATGAATTATTTTTTTAATATATATAAATTTATTGTTATTTTAATTGTCATGTCCTAGCCGTGTCGCCGTGTTATCGTATCATATTTCCGTGTTCCCATATCCGTGTCCATGCAACATAGGTTTTAGGGGAATGGCAACTCGAACTAGTCTAGCCAAGTCATCGAATCGGTCAGATATTGGGCCAGCTTAGAGGCCCTAAAATAAAGAACTTCCCTCAAAAGCCTAAAAGTCCTTTGTAGTATACTCATCGGATTCGGATTTTCTGCTCTGATTTTCTTTGTCATAATCTGTTTTATTTTTATTCTTTACACGCCACCTCATTAAAATTTAATATAAGAGATTTAAAAGTTGACACATCAACCTAAAAACAAATTTCCAATTTACTCTTAATTAAAAAAGAAAAGAAAACCCTAACACCCCATAACGGGAGAGTTAACGTCAATCATGACTTTCATACAGTTAGTAAGCGAAGTATCCCATTTTAAGGGAGGGGATGGCACTTGGACTCACATGGATACGATAGATACTAGTACGAGATTATCATATGTAATTTATCATCAAGGCCAGTTTTCGATCGGCTTAGGATGCCGTCTCCAACCTTATGCCGTGAAGCTAGTTATTAGTTAATTTATTATTATGTCACAGGCTAGCTTGCTACTTTTGAAACCTTCTAAAATTCTAAATTAGACATGACCATGTTGAACCATATATACAAGGAAAAAGATTCTAAATCACACATGACCATATTGAACCGTATATACAAGGAAAAACAATCACAATTTCATCTGTTTTGCTGGAAAGGTGGAATATTCCAATGCCGTAACTGAGGAGGACAGCTCACCAATGCTCATGCCTGAGGAACTGTAGCCTAAGGAAAGCCTCTTGATTCCTCATAAATTGTCAATGTAAACCAATTCCAAGCTAGCCACCTAAATAAGTTAAATGTAGCACAATGGAAGACGCCCCAACCTTAGTTTCAGGCTGGGCATGGCTTCCAAGCAACATTCTGGATTTGATTCTAGAAAAGTAGTATCCTAATCTCTGACTATATCCGATTTAGTGCAGTTTGCAAGCATTGGCAATCAGTCGCTTTACATCGCAAGAAGCAGCGCCTCAAATCATGTCACAAGCAGATTCCTATGCTCATCATTCCCACCATAGACGGTAGCGAAAGGCGTGGCTTGTATAGTGTCACACAAGGTAAGACTTGTAGCTTTTGAGTTGAATGTGTATTACAGTAAGAGGTTTTGTGGTTCTTCCCATGGTTGGTTGGCCTGCGTGGATGAGAATCTGGTAGTAACCCTCTTAAAACCTTTCACCAGGTGTACCATTAGCCTTCCACCAGTCCCCAAATCCACTTGGAGATCGACGGTAGCTTATAGATGTGATTACTACATTAATAAAGTTGAATTGTCTGCAGACCCTTCTTTTCTTCCTAATGACTATGAAGTATTGGTCATCTATGATGGCTATGGGAAACAAGTAGCCCATTTTAAGTCAGGGGATGATGCTTGGACTAGCATAGATCAAGTGATTGGATTCGATGATGTAATTAATTATAAAGGCCAGTTTCTAGGTGTTAGTTTGGGTGGTAGTGTTTTTTCGATGAATGTTAGCAGGGATCAAACTACTAAACCCCATGTAAGCTTACTTGTGCCAATGGCTCCAGGCACTGACAATAAAACGTACCTTGTGCAATCATCCCAGGGAGATCTTTTGCTGGTTAGGAAGTTCAAACGAGTAAATTATTGTAAGCGCTTTATGAAGTCTCTCAACTTCAAGTTTTTCAAGTTTGAAAGGTTAAAGTTTGAATGAGTAAATGGTTCTCTGAGCTTCAAGGTTTTCAAGCTGTTCTGTGCTCATGAGGAGAGACCCCAATGGGTTGAGATTGAAAGTGTTGGAAATGAAGCTTTGTTTTTGGGTACCAATCAATCCATGTGTGTCTCTGCGTTGGACTTTCCGGGTTGTCAGACAAATTCCATATACTTCACTGATGATTGTGTAGATGTAGAATGCCATAAACATAAAGGACTTGGAAAACAGACACATGGGAACGCATTACTGCTTGGATCGTTTGCAGAAGCACATGCCACCAGCAATTTGGATTTTGCCCTCTATGGTGTGAAAAGATGGTTCCAGTTTTGTTCTTCAATACCTCTTCCATATATATGATAGAATAGAATAACTTCAAGCTTCCAACTCTGTATGACCCTTGAAGATGATAATAAAACACAGCAACGTGTTCTTACACGGCAACGCATTTTAGGGGAAGAACTGATATAAATTATAATGAACAGCTCTTGAGTCTGCAGGGAGAGATTCCACACAAGTTAGAAAATTTTGAGATGGATAATGGAAGTATAATGTGAATTGAAATACAAGAGACGCAAAGTTTATATGGCAGTAGTCTAATTTTCACCAAGTCATTATATTTAAATATAGACGACTATATATATAATTTTAGTCAGCAAAGGTGACTCAACATATATATGTATATATATATGCATATATCTGTTGGAAAACCGTACTCACCAAATATAATAATAAAGAAAGAAAGCAAATATCATGAAATTGGCTAACTGGGTAGCTGCTAAACTTGGATGCGGAGATATTTTAAATGCACAACTGTTAGGTGTGGGGTTCTTTATTTTGGTTTACCACATTTACGGAGAAAACAAATCTTCTAACAGTGTTGCAAACTATGATTCTTTTTGGGATTTTTGACGTTTGATATATCGCTTTCTGAGATAGCATAGTGCCACTTTGCTAATGAATTTACTATGTTGCATGCCAGGCTGCCAGTTTATTGGTTTTGGAGCCAATTCCAATTTAATTTGATCATATGTTGAGCCATACAAGGAAAAAGAAAAATCATAATTTTCATCGGTTTTTCTAGAAGGAGAATATTCCACAGGAAAACAGGAGGGCAATTCAACAATGTTAGCTTCTGGTTCCTCATAAATTGTCAATGAAACCGAATGCAAAAGGCTTCAATCTTCAAAAAAAAAAAAAAAAAAAAAAAAAAAAAAAAAAAAAAGTCCAATACTACCAAAGGATAGGCAATATCAGATCAGCTATGTAGTTTCTGTTGTTTGGGCATGGCTCCCGAGCGACCTTTTGTATCTGATAGTAGAGAAGTTGATACCAATCACTGACTCCATCCGGTTTGGTGCAGTTTGCAAGCATTGGCAATCAGTAGCTTGTCATCAGAAGCAGCAGCGCCTCAAATCATGTCACAAGCAGCTTCCTATGCTGATGGTTCCCAGTAAAGACAACTGCCACGAAAGACGTGGCTTGTATAGTATCACACAAGGAAAGACTTGCAGCTTTGAGTTGCATGTGCCATACACTAAGAGGCTCTGCGGTTCTTCCCATGGTTGGTTGGCTTGTGTGAACGAAAATTTGGAAGTAATCCTTTTAAACCCTTTCACCAAAAGTACCATTTGCCTTCCACCATTCAAGGAAGTCCCTCAATCCATACACAAACAGGCTTATAGATGTGCACACTACATTAAGAAGGTTGTATTGTCTGCAGACCCTTCTTTGTTTCCAAATGATTACGAAGCTGTGGCACTTTTCGATCGCAATGGAACCAGAGTATCTCATATTAAGTCAGGGGATCATGGTTGGACTCACATAGATCAAACGGTCCGATTCTTTTATGGTCTGAATCAAGTGATCGGATTTGATGATGTGATCTATTACAGAGGCCAGTTTCTTGCTGCTAGTAGGGAGGGTGGGGTTTTTGCGATAAACGTTAGCAAGGATCCAACTTATAAACCTCATGTAAGCATAGTTGCACCAATGGTTCAAGGTATTGATGACCAAGCATATCTTGTGGAATCGTCTAGGGGAGATCTATTGCTGGTTAGGAAGTTCCAAAGTTTGAATTATGTTGAGTGTTTTACTGATACTTTGAGCTTCAAGGTTTTCAAGCTGTACTCTGATTGTGGGGATAAAATCAGAAGAGAACGGATTGAGGAGATTGATAGTATTGGAAACGATGCTTTTTTCTTGGGTGGCAATAATCACTCCATGTGTGTCTCAGCTTTAGACTTTCCGGGTTGTCATCCGAATTCCATATACTTCTGCATTGATAATTGGGTGGGTGATGCTTGTGATGAAGTTCAAGAGCCTCTTGGCATGGCAGTCTTCAATTTGGACAACAGAAAATTTGGAACAAATTACAACTGCTCAAGTCCTTCACAGAAGTACATGCCACCATCAATTTGGATTTTGCCCACCATGGTGTGAAAAGATGGTTCCACCTGTTCTTTGTTACCTGTTCCATATGGTAGAATAATTTCAAGCTATGTTTTCATTTTATTTGTGATTCTAACCCTTCACACGTTTGTTCCCTGTGGAAACAAATATGTTAACCTAAAAAATGTATTCACATTGAAAATTGACTAAAACAATATTGTATCTCCCATGAATCAAATCATAACGTGTAAAGATTTAATCCTTGACAAGGAATCTTATATCATGAAATGCCTTCAAGGAATCATAACGCGTAATCATTGGCTGCATGCTTGACAGAGGTTTGATTTAAAGTTAGGAAATTCATGGCCATCAGTGGGGATTGGCCTAACCAGCATCATGTTTATTACCCTCCAATATGGCCTCACATTTTCACCGGCAAGCCTCATGGAGTCTCACCTACAATTTTACAATTAGGAGTCTCATGGAGTTAACCATATCCTGTAGCAAGATGCTAATGTTGATTTAGAAATGAACATTTTCCATGCTGTCCAACTATATATAAGAAACTAGAGAACTGATTCAAAAAATTTTACGCGTATTTTTACAACAATGTTCTAGAGCATTGATTTAAGCAACTATTATGAAAAAAAAATTTCATACTACAAAAATTATCAAAGCTCTAGAGCAGGACCAAAATACAATGGAACGAATCTAGATTCGAATATTTTAAAATTATAGCCGCGCGGCTATACTGTTTAAACACATTCGAATATTTTAACATTATAGCCGGGCGGCTATACTCTTTAAATATATTCCAAACGAACACGAAGCTTGAACACGCAGAGGACGGAGGTTGCAGTCGAAGTTTTGCTTCTCTATCAACTCAAGCTTCGATTTGTTTTCTTCGGTTTCGGCTGCTTCGTCCTCCGGGTTCGGCACCGAAAAAAGACCCAACCCGCCTAGGAGGCCCGCCCAGCCGCCTAGCGCCCGCCTAGCCGCAGAGGACGGAGGTTGCAGTCGAAGTTTCGCTTCTCTATCAACTCAAGCTTCGATTTGTTTTCTTCGGTTTCGGCTTCTTCGTCCTCCGGGTTCAGCACCGAAAAAAGACCCAACCCGCCTAGGAGGCTCGCCCAGCCGCCTAGCCGCCTAGCGCCCGCCTAGCCGCCCAGCCGCCCCGCCTAGCCGCCCAGCCGCCCCGCCTAGGCCGATTTTTTAAAGTCTAAAGCACAAGATGCCGAGGATAGACTCGAAACGGTTGCCTCTCAGGCTCAAAAGGTCATGCACTGATGTACTCAATCAGCTCACTAAGCCACAGCAGGCACCCACTTCCTCCATCCCTGGTATCCAAGTTTGCAAAAGCCGTGCAGGAGCAGTTCTTCATGCACAACATCTCACATTCCTTGAGTAAGTTCCGTACTTCTATTAAACCCAGATACATCATTTGCAGAAGATCCATATGTTTTGTTCACTCTTAAGGTTTGTTTCCCGTTTCAGCTTAAAATTTTCAGCTTTCAAGTATATGCCAAATTGAGAGCAAATATATAATATTTGGTTGCATTTGTATGTCACAGAGAGACTCATTGGCTACTGATGAGAGGCTTCATGCTCTAGAAGAAGAGGGTCACATCTTTTTCAATTTATTTTTTGCAATTTTCAATTCAATGAAAAAGTAGCAGAAAGGGTTTGTTGGATTTGAGAAATGGGCTTTGCAGTGCTTTTTAGGTACGGCTTCTGTGTGCTGCATCAAGAAAGTACAACTTCGATCTTCATGTTTTAGAGTCTAAAGCCCAAGATGCCGAGGATGGACTCGACACGGTTGCCTCTCAGGCTCAAAAGGTCATGCACTGATGTACTCAATCCATCTTTGGTCTATGGCTATGAGTGTGTGATGTTAGTGTGGTGTTCATTTTGCCATTGGCTTCTTTCTCTTTGCTTTCAGATGGCTGACATTGTTACAGAACAATGGATTCAAATTCAGCGACTTGAGCAGGCTCTTCATATTACACAAGTATGTTTTTTCTGCTTGAAACTGGCTTCAGGTTCTTTATTTGCTAAATTCACAAGTTTTGCTGATTCACTAATATTTGTAGTTTCTTCTTGGTTGGACTGCTTTTCATTCTTTGGATATTGCATTTCTGTTATAGATTTTGACAATTGATCATGCCCTCTTGTTTGCTGAGAGAAAAAAAGATTTGTCTCCTCCTCCTGTTGCATAGGAACCCAAAACCAACCCACCAAAGAACAGAAAAAAAGAAAAAGAAATATTACACCACCTCAAGTGAAAAATCTAATTCATTTAAGCTTTTATATTTGTTCTTGTATCAGCATCTGTGTTTCTGTTGTGTGAACTCCAAACTCCAAAGAAAAAAATTAAAAAAAATTAGAGGGTGCATTTGCTAACGCATGGGTTGGGAATCTCTTAATTATATTGAACTTTTCAAACTGACTTCAAAAGCACAAGATTAACATACCAACATGAAATATTGTTTATTGAGCCTCCATTAGTGTAAAAGGACTGTGACTTCATTAGCTGAAAATGCTTTAGAAGAAGGATAGACCTCGAGTTCATTGACATCCCTTTCACTACAAAAACCAGGCTTTTAAGGTTGAGGCAGTAACCCTTCAATTTTGATAATTGGGTGGGTGATGCTTGTCATCAGAAGCAGCAGCGCCTCAAATCATGTCACAAGCAGCTTTCTATGCTGATGGTTCCCAGTAAAGACAACTGCCACGAAAGACGTGGCTTGTATAGTATCACACAAGGAAAGACTTGCAGCTTTGAGTTGCATGTGCCATACAATAAGAGGCTCTGCGGTTCTTCCCATGGTTGGTTGGCTTGTGTGAATAAAAATTTGGAAGTAACCCTTTTAAACCCTTTCACCAAAAGTACCATTTGCCTTCCACCATTCAAGGAAGTCCCTCAATCCATACACAAACAGGCTTATAGATGTGCACACTACATTAAGAAGGTTGTATTGTCTGCAGACCCTTCTTTGTTTCCAAATGATTACGAAGCTGTGGCACTTTTCGATCGCAATGGAACCAGAGTATCTCATATTAAGTCAGGGGATCATGGTTGGACTCACATAGATCAAACGGTCAGATTCTTTTATGGTCTGAATCAAGTGATCGGATTTGATGATGTGATCTATTACAGAGGCCAGTTTCTTGCTGCTAGTAGGGAGGGTGGGGTTTTTGCGATAAACGTTAGCAAGGATCCAACTTATAAACCTCATGTAAGCATAGTTGTACCAATGGTTCAAGGTATTGATGACCAAGCATATCTTGTGGAATCGTCTAGGGGAGATCTATTGCTGGTTAGGAAGTTCCAAAGTTTGAATTATGTTGAGTGTTTTACTGATACTTTGAGCTTCAAGGTTTTCAAGCTGTACTCTGATTGTGGGGATAAAATCAGAAGCGAACGGATTGAGGAGATTGATAGTATTGGAAACGATGCTTTTTTCTTGGGTGGCAATAATCACTCCATGTGTGTCTCAGCTTTAGACTTTCCGGGTTGTCATCCGAATTCCATATACTTCTGCATTGATAATTGGGTGGGTGATGCTTGTGATGAAGTTCAAGAGCCTCTTGGCATGGCAGCCTTCAATTTGGACAACAGAAAATTTGGAACAAATTACAACTGCACAAGTCCTTCACAGAAGTACATGCCACCATCAATTTGGATTTTGCCCACCATGGTGTGAAAAGATGGTTCCACCTGTTCTTTGTTACCTTTTCCATATGGTAGAATAATTTCAAGCTATGTTTTCATTTTATTTGTGATTCTAACCCTTCACACGTTTGTTCCCTGTGGAAACAAATATGTTAACCTAAAAAATGTATTCACATTGAAAATTGACTTAAACAATATTGTATCACTATCTCCCATGAATCAAATCATAACGTGTAAAGATTTAGTCCTTGACAAGGAATCTTATAATATCATGAAGTGCCTTCAAGGAATCATAACGCGTAATCATTGGCTTGTGATTTGATAAGTATGGAGAGAAGTATATATTATATTATAGTTATAGTTATATATATATATATATATATAAGTGTTTACGGGTTGATGAGAGTTGCATATCTTTGGGAATGGACTTGTGATTTGAGATTTGGAGATTTATTGGATTTTGGGATAATGTGTTTTGAGTTTTTGGTTTTTGAATTGTGAAACTGCATGCTAGAGCACTATTTTTACATGGTGGGGTTATTATGTTGATTTAAAATGTAAACTTTATTTTTGTCCACTCACATATTTCTGTTTTGCACCCCCCAGGCAGTAGTTGCTTTTGGAAGTGTTCGAGCAGGTTGCGAGCTCCAAACATTTCATCCGTAGATAGGACTTGTGTAAATTCCTTCTACTCAACTGATTGTTATAAACAAATCCTGTTAGATGCTCTGTTATCGCCCATGTTAGGTTGTTACTTGAGGCCGGAGGCCACTTTATTTTGGATTGTTGTATGTTAAAAGCATGCTGGCAGTTGGGATTTATTTTATGTAAATTATGCAGGTTAATTATTGTTGGGTTTGAGCATTTTACAGGGGCGACTCTCCTCAAAATTTTGGTATGAGGAGATGATGGGGTTTCACTTTTCTTCTTTACTTCTCCGTGTGATGAATTATGTAACCTCACATTTTCCATTGGAACATCTATATTGAGCTTTCATTTTGTTCTTATTTGGGAATTGAGATGGCATCATGGTAAGCATGTCATGAATGCATCTACAAACAACTTATCATCATGTATATATCGTGTTACTTAAACTACAGAAATCAAAAAATAACCCTAAAGGAATTCACCAGAAAATAAAAATAAAAACCTATAAATTTTATAGGAAAATAATATCCTACTTATTCTCAAAATATAATATAAATCTTCCTAAGAAATTAATCAAGCAATCCGAAAACTACCAACGATACACATGCCCGTGATTTGTCATACATCATATTATAATGTAAATAGAAAATATTAGAAAATCCTATCCCCTCTAGTTTACACTATTTTTTGTAATTTATTTATTATAAAAAAAAGACCTTTCTTATATGGTTTAGGGTTCATTGGGAACCTGTAGCTTTGGATCAGAAGAAGCAGCACCTCAAATCTTGTCACACCCAGTTTCCTGTGCTGATTATCACTGGCGGAAATTACAAAGTAAAAGATTATAATGTACCATAATTGATATAAAATATTACCATAATACATATATATTAAACAATATTTATTTGTTATTTGTTACTAATTAGTGGTTGCAATGCAAAATCCATTTAATGTTGTGTTTTCTGAGGCCCAATCCCTCTCCATATTACAAAATTGTACATTTAAAGAGTATAGCCGGTAGGCTATATTTTCAAAATGCATTCGAATATTTTAAAAGTATAGCCATTCGGCTATACGCTCGAAATGTTAATACATTCGAATATTTTAAGGGTATAGCCGATCGGCTATACTCTTTAAATATATTCGACACCAACACGAAGCTTGCACTCGCAGAGGACGGAGGTTGCAGTCAAAGTTTTGCTTCTCTATCAACTCAAGCTTCGATTTGTTTTCTTCGGTTTCGGCTGCTTCGTCCTCCGGGTTCGGCACCGAAAAAAGACCCAACCCGCCTAGCGCCCGCCTAGCCGCAGAGGACGGAGGTTGCAGTCGAAGTTTCGCTTTTCTATCAACTCAAGCTTCGATCTGTTTTCTTCGGCTTCGGCTGCTTCGTCCTCCGGGTTCGGCACCGAAAAAGACCCAACCCGCCTAGGAGGCCCGCCCAGCCGCCTACCGCCCGCCTAGCCGCCTAACCGCCCGCCTAGGCCCATTTTTTAGAGTCTAAAGCACAAGATGCCGAGGATAGACTCGAAACGGTTGCCTCTCAGGCTCACAAGGTCATGCACTGATGTACTCAATCCATCTTTGGTCTATGGCTATGAATGTGTGATGTTGTTAGTGTGGTGCTCATTTTGCCATTGGCTTCTTTCTCTTTGCTTTCTGATGGCTGACATTGTTACAGAACAATGGATTCAAATTCAGCGGCTTGAGCAGGCTCTTCATATTACACAAGTAAGTTTTTTCTGCTTGAAACTGGCTTCAGGTTCTCTATTTGCTAAATTCATAAGTTTTGCTGATTCACTGATATTTGCTAGTTTCTTCTTGGTTGGACTGCTTTTCATTCTTTGGATATTGCAGTTCTGTTATAGATTTTGACATTTGATCATGCCCTCTTGTTTGGTGAGAGAGAGAAAAAAAGGAAGAAGAAAGATTTGTCTCCTCCTCCTGTTGCATAGGAACCCAGAACAAACCCACCAAAGAACAGAAAAAAAAATTGATATATTACACCACCTCCAGTGAAAAATATAATTCATTTAAGCCTTTATATTTGTTATTGTATCAGCATCTGTGTTTCTGTTGTGTGAACTCCACCTCAACTCCAAAGAAAACAAATAAAAAAATTAAAGGGAGCGTTTGCTAACACATGGGTCGGGAATCTCTTAATTATATTGAACTTTTCAAACTGACTTCAAAAGCACCAGATTAACATACCAACATGAAATATCGTTTATCAAGCCTCCATTAGTGTAAAACTGTGACTTCATTAGCTGAAAATGCTTTAGAAGAAGGATAGACCTCGAGTTCATTGACATCCCTTTCACTATAAAAACCAGGCTTTTAAGGTTGAGGCAATGACCCTTCAATTTTGAAGCATAGCAAAGATTATTCAGCAAACATTTCCAATTTTTAAGGATTCAAAAGATGACAAATATTTTAATCTGATCTCTTAAAAATTTGTGTCTAACAATGGCTAATATGCCGTTAGAGAAACAGATAGAGGTGTGCATATCACTGTGCTGGTTGTAACATTTGGCTAATAAGTACTTACAGGAACTATGAATATGTCTGTTTTCTAACTGTCCAGCATTCAGTACCATATAGCATGGCTGGTCTAACAACTGTTCTATAAACTTAGCTTTCAATTCTAGCAAAATAGGATGATCACACTATATATATGCTTAACAAAACCTTCCATTTTACCTGTCGTGCTTTGATTCTATGTGCCACATCATCTCCATTCTCCCCTTGTATATATGGATGATTGAGTACATGCTAGATAGTGAAAGTTTTTGCTTTTTGATATACTCTTAGTGGTGCAATTGGTTGCTCTTATGTCTTCGTCAGAACCAAAGGCTCCTCGTGGTTAGCAGAATTCAAAGGTGTATGGTTCCAGTCCAGTGACCATCTAGTAGATGCAACTTTGCCTGCTACTGAAGTCAAATCATCAGAACTGAGTATAAGGAATGGTACAAATAATCTTCACTATTATTATCAACAGGGCCTTCTACATCATGATCCTCTTTCTTTGTTTTAATGGAAGTATGTAACTTAAATTTGTGTTTCTTATAAAAAGAAAAATTATAAATTGCTCTTATTGTAGAGTTCATGCAATAGAATTGGGTTAGTAAAAGTGTTGAGACAGACTTGTTGTATCTACTCAGCTTTTTATGTTCAAAATATTTTGGATGTGTTATTAAAAGTGTGAAGATAGCATTTTATTCCTATGGTAAATGGATGCTATATGTGCAATGCTTATGATTTCTTTTCTCAGTTATAGGAGAAACAAAGACTTCCATAGCTTCTGGAAATGAGCATATTGGGGAGAAGCAATTAACGGATGTCTTCTTGTAAGAAGATGGAGTCCAAAATAGTAAAGGAGCCACGCACAGTTCAACAATGAGGCGCCCATCTCCTATTTCCAGTCCAGGCAAGGGATATGACTTACAAATTATTATTTTATTTATTTTGAAACTGCAGAATTACTTTAAGTCTTCTTTTAAGTTTAATAAAATTGGTAATATATTTAGGTGTTATTTTTGGGTGTCCAATTCTTTCCTAACAAGTTAAGAGTATACATCTTCGCAACATTGAAATTGTAGCACAGTTGTGACTGTGGTTGGTAATTTTGTTGCCTTGTCATTTATTGAACCTACCTTCCTTCCTTTATGCGGTAACACTTGTGCTGTTGAACATAATCTTGCAGATAGTGAAGAAAGAGATCTCGTGAATATTTTTGCTAGTCTCAGTCTGAAGCCTTCGAATCTTCCTGCTCGAGATGCTCCTTGGAAGTGGGTAACTTCTCCTTTGAAGATGTATATTCTATCATGATTTCAACAACTCATTTTGTGATTTGAATTAGAGTTAATATATTGTTTGGTATTAGAAGTTGATCAGAAAAATGTTGCTTGAGAATATGTGTGGTTTTTTTTTTTCAACTTAAATCTTCCTGTGGGATCGCTTTTGCATCCTATGTTGATGTTCTGAATGCACTGTTTTGTCATGGCTGCTGTTTTACATATTTACATATATCAAGTTAGTTAGGTGCTCTCAAAAGCTTCATTGATGTTTCTTTCTTTAGGGGAGGCTTCATCCTTGATGCAGCCACACCTGGAGAATTCATTGGTGGGTTAAAGACTACCATGTAATGCCAGGAACCAAGCCAAACAAAAAAAATTAGAAACTCAAAGAGAATGAGAGGGGAAATTGACTCTTTCCAACTAACCGGAACAAGACATTTTCATTGAAGACTACCAAATAGATTGATAGTGTTCTTATGGTCAACAAGGACAAGAATTCCAGGGCTGCTCACCTATTCAATTTTTAAGTTAAATTTGATCATATCGAACCAGTCAAGGAAGAAAATCCATAATCTTTCATTGGTTTTGCTGGAATATGAGTGTAAGGCCCGACTTGTTTACGTCAATTTTCTCCTGATCTTTATGTTATACTATGATATATCTGTGAATAAGGCTGAGTGTAATAGTTTACTTAAGCTTATTATAAACTTTTAGGTCCAAGATACTTTAATTTACGAAAGCGTAAGTAGGTGTGTGAGCAGGCCGACTCTCCGATATGTTTTATGAGGCCAGCCAGGGTTTTAGCGCTAGGATTAGGGCTGGCCCATTAGATATGAACTTTAGGGTTTAGCTCAGTTGGTTACAGAGAAAAAAGCCCAAAAAGGAGAGAGAGAGAGAGAGAGAGAGAGAGAGAGAGAGAGAGAGAGAGAGAGAGAGAGAGAGAGAAGGGAAAAAGGGTTTTCTGGAGGCAGACTAATGGCTGGAGTTTAGAGAGGAGGGTTCGAGAAGGTAACAATAGCTTCTCCTTCTGAAATTTTGACATTGAGAAACTAGACATCCCCAGCTTTCCGTGAATATAAATATCTTCGAATTTGGACTAGTATACAATTTACGGGGATTTTTCAAATTTGGTCATGTGACGTTGATTTCAGTCTCCCAGTTATGAATTTGGTCAAATTTTGATATGAGGTGAAAAGTTAAGGCTATTATGACCGGATAAAATCTCCTGGTCATGGGTCAAGATCAGATGTTTTATTAGACTCTATTCGACAATACAACTACTCAATATTTTTAAAATATGTAGATTAAGACCTCTGATTTATGATTAGGAAACGTATATTAGAATATTTTAAACGTATAGCCGGTCGGCTATACTTTCTAAACACATTCGAATATTCTAAAAGTATAGCCGCGCGGCTATACTATTTAAATATATTCCAAACGAACACGAAGCTTGAACTCGCAGAGGACGGAGGTTGCAGTCGAAGTTTTGCTTCTCTATCAACTCAAGCTTCGATTTGTTTTCTTCGGTTTCCGTTGCTTCGTCCTCCGGGTTCGGCACTGAAAAAAGACCCAACCCGCCTAGGAGGCCCGCCCAGCCGCCTAGCGCCCGCCTAGCCGCCTAGCGCCCGCAGAGGACGGAGGTTGCAGTCGAAGTTTCGCCTCTCAATCAACTCAAGCTTCGATTTGTTTTCTTCGGTTTCGGCTGCTTCGTCCCCCGGGTTCAGCACGGAAAAAAGACCCAACCCGCCTAGGAGGCCCCCCCCAGCCGCCTAGCCGCCTAGCGCCCGCCTAGCCGCTCAGCCGCCCCGCCTAGGCCGATTTTTTAGAGTCTAAAGCACAAGATGCCGAGGATAGACTCGAAACGGTTGCCTCTCAGGCTCAAAAGGTCATGCACTGATGTAATCAATCAGCTCACTAAGCCACAGCAGGCACCCACTTCCTCCATCCCTGGTATCCAAGTTTGCAAAAGCCGTGCAGGAGCAGTTCTTCATGCACAACATCTCACATTCCTTGAGTAAGTTCCATACTTCTATTAAACCCAGATACATCATTTGCAGAAGATCCATCATTTGCAGTATGTTTTGTTCACTCTTAAGGTTTGTTTCCCGTTTCAGCTTAAAATCTTCAGCTTTCAAGTATATGCTAAATTGAGAGCAAATATATAATATTTGGTTGCATTTGTATGTCACAGAGAGACTCATTGGCTACTGATGAGAGGCTTCATGCTCTAGAAGAAGAGGGTCACATCTTTTTCAATTTATTTTTTGCAATTTTCAATTCAATGAAAAAGTAGCAGAAAGGGTTTGTTGGATTTGAGAAATGGGCTTTGCAATACTTTTTAGGTACGGCTTCTGTGTGCTGCATCAAGAAAGTACAACTTCGATCTTCATGTTTTAGAGTCTAAAGCCCAAGATGCCGAGGATGGACTCGACACGGTTGCCTCTCAGGCTCAAAAGGTCATGCACTGATGTACTCAATCCATCTTTGGTCTATGGCTATGAGTGTGTGATGTTGTTAGTGTGGTGTTCATTTTGCCATTGGCTTCTTTAGGGGAGGCTTCATCCTTGATGCAACCACACCTGGAGAATTCATTGGTGGGTTAAAGACTACCATGTAATGCCAGGAACCAAGCCAAACAAAAAAAATTAGAAACTCAGAGAGAATGAAAGGGGAAATTGACTCTTTCCAACTAACCGGAACAAGACATTTTCATTGAAGACTACCAAATAGATTGATAGTGTTCTTATGGTCAACAAGGACAAGAATTCCAGGGCTGCTCACCTATTCAATTTTTAAGTTAAATTTGATCATATCGAACCAGTCAAGGAAGAAAATCCATAATCTTTCATTGGTTTTGCTGGAATATGAGTGTAAGGCCCGACTTGTTTACGTCAATTTTCTCCTGATCTTTATGTTATACTATGATATATCTGTGAATAAGGCTGAGTGTAATAGTTTACTTAAGCTTATTATAAACTTTTAGGTCCAAGATACTTTAATTTACGAAAGCGTAAGTAGGTGTGTGAGCAGGCCGACTCTCCGATATGTTTTATGAGGCCAGCTAGGGTTTTAGCGCTAGGATTAGGGCTGGCCCATTAGATATGAACTTTAGGGTTTAGCTCAGTTGGTTACAGAGAAAAAAAGCCCAAAAAGGAGAGAGAGAGAGAGAGAGAGAGAGAGAGAGAGAGAGAGAGAGAGAGAGAGAGAGAGAAGTTTTCTGGAGGCAGACTAATGGCTGGAGTTTAGAGAGGAGGGTTCGAGAAGGTAACAATAGCTTCTCCTTCTGAAATTTTGACATTGAGAAACTAGACATCCCCAGCTTTCCGTGAATATAAATATCTTCGAATTTGGACTAGTATACAATTTACGGGGATTTTTCAAATTTGGTCATGTCATGTGACGTTGATTTCAGTCTCCCAGTTATGAATTTGGTCAAATTTTGATATGAGGTGAAAAGTTAAGGCTATTATGACCTGATAAAATCTCCTGGTCATGGGACATTTAGTTATTTTATAACAGCTTTATGAAGTGGACTGGGTCAAGATCAGATGTTTTATTAGACTCTATTCAGGGACAGATTGGGAGTCTATAATGGGCTAGTATTCGACAATACAACTACTCAATATTTTTAAAATATGTAGATTAAGACCTGTGATTTATGATTAGGAAACGTATATTAGAATATTTTAAACGTATAGCCGGTCGGCTATACTTTCTAAACACATTCGAATATTTTAAAAGTATAGCCGCGCGGCTATACTATTTACATATATTCCAAACGAACACGAAGCTTGAACTCGCAGAGGACGGAGGTTGCAGTCGAAGTTTTGCTTCTCTATCAACTCAAGCTTCGATTTGTTTTCTTCGGTTTCGGTTGCTTCGTCCTCCGGGTTCAGCACCGAAAAAAGACCCAACCCGCCTAGGAGGCCCCCCCAGCCGCCTAGCCGCCTAGCGCCCGCCTAGCCGCAGAGGACGGAGGTTGCAGTCGAAGTTTCGCCTCTCTATCAACTCAAGCTTCGATTTGTTTTCTTCGGTTTCGGCTGCTTCGTCCTCCGGGTTCAGCACCGAAAAAAGACCCAACCCGCCTAGGAGGCCCCCCCAGCCGCCTAGCCGCCTAGCCGCCTAGCGCCCGCCTAGCCGCCTAGCGCCCGCCTAGCCGCCCAGCCGCCCCGCCTAGGCCGATTTTTTAGAGTCTAAAGCACAAGATGCCGAGGATAGACTCGAAACGGTTGCCTCTCAGGCTCAAAAGGTCATGCACTGATGTAATCAATCAGCTCACTAAGCCACAGCAGGCACCCACTTCCTCCATCCCTGGTATCCAAGTTTGCAAAAGCCGTGCAGGAGCAGTTCTTCATGCACAACATCTCACATTCCTTGAGTAAGTTCCGTACTTCTATTAAACCCAGATACATCATTTGCAGAAGATCCATCATTTGCAGTATGTTTTGTTCACTCTTAAGGTTTGTTTCCCGTTTCAGCTTAAAATCTTCAGCTTTCAAGTATGTGCTAAATTGAGAGCAAATATATAATATTTGGTTGCATTTGTATGTCACAGAGAGACTCATTGGCTACTGATGAGAGGCTTCATGCTCTAGAAGAAGAGGGTCACATCTTTTTCAATTTATTTTTTGCAATTTTCAATTCAATGAAAAAGTAGCAGAAAGGGTTTGTTGGATTTGAGAAATGGGCTTTGCAATGCTTTTTAGGTACGGCTTCTGTGTGCTGCATCAAGAAAGTACAACTTCGATCTTCATGTTTTACAGTCTAAAGCCCAAGATGCCGAGGATGGACTCGACACGGTTGCCTCTCAGGCTCAAAAGGTCATGCACTGATGTACTCAATCCATCTTTGGTCTATGGCTATGAGTGTGTGATGTTAGTGTGGTGTTCATTTTGCCATTGGCTTCTTTCTCTTTGCATTCAGCGGCTTGAGCAGGCTCTTCATATTACACAAGTATGTTTTTTCTGCTTGAAACTGGCTTCAGGTTCTTTATTTGCTAAATTCATAAGTGTTGCTGATTCACTAATATTTGTAGTTTCTTCTTGGTTGGACTGCTTTTCATTCTTTGGATATTGCATTTCTGTTATAGATTTTGACAATTGATCATGCCCTCTTGTTTGCTGAGAGAAAAAGAAGAAGAAGAAGAAAGATTTGTCTCCTCCTCCTGTTGCATAGGAACCCAAAACCAACCCACCAAAGAACAGAAAAAAAAGAAGAAATATTACACCACCTCAAGTGAAAAATCTAATTCATTTAAGCTTTTATATTTGTTCTTGTATCAGCATCTGTGTTTCTGTTGTGTGAACTCCACCCAACTCCAAAGAAAAAAAATAAAAGAAAATTAGAGGGTGCATTTGCTAACGCATGGGTTGGGAATCTCTTAATTATATTGAACTTTTCAAATTGACTTCAAAAGCACAAGATTAACATACCAACATGAAATATGTTTATTGAGCCTCCATTAGTGTAAAAGGACTGTGACTTCATTAGCTGAAAATGCTTTAGAAGGATAGACCTCGAGTTCATTGACATCCCTTTCACTATAAAAACCTGGCTTTTAAGGTTGAGGCAATGACCCTTCATTTTGAAGCATAGCAAAGATTATTCAGCAAACATCTCCAATTTTGAAGGATTCAAAAGGTGACAAATATTTTAATCTGATCTCTTAACAATTTGTGTCTAATAATGGCTAATATTCCGTTAGAGAAACAGAGATAGAGGTGTGCATATCACTGTGCTGGTTGTAACAGTTGGCTAATATGTACCTACAGGAACTATGAATATGTCTGTTTTCTAACCGTCCAGCATTCAGTCCCATATAGCATGGCTGGTCTAACAGATGTTCTATAAACTTAGCTTTCAATTCTAGCAAAATATGAGGATCACACTATATATATGCTTAACAAAACCCTCCATTTGACCTATCGTGCTTTGATTCTATGAGCCACATCATCTCCATTCTCCCCTTGTATATATGGATGATTGAGTACATGCTAGATAGTGAAAGTTATTGCATTTTTGATATACTCTTAGTGGTGCAATTGGTTGCTCTTATGTCTTCGTCAGAACCAAAGGCTCCACTTGGTTAGCAGAATTCAAAGGAATATGGTTCTAGTCCAGTGACCATCTAGAAGATGCAACTTTGCCTGCTACTGAAGTCAAATCATCAAAACTGAGTATAAGGAATGGTACAAATAATCTTCACTATTATCATCAACAGTGTCTTCTGCATCACGATCCTCTTTCTTTATTTTAATGGAAGTTTGTAACTTAAATTTGTGTTTCTTATAAAAAGAAAAATTATAAAGTGCTCTTATTATAGAGTTCATGCAATAGAATTGGGTTAGTAAAAGTGTTGAGAGAGACTACTTGTATCTACTCAGCTTTTTTTTATCAAAATATTTTGGATGTGTTATTAAAAGTGTGAAGATAGCATTTTATTCCTATAGTAAGTGGATGCTATATGTGCAATGCTTATGATTTCTTATCTCAGTTATAGGAGAAACAAAGACTTCCGTAGCTTCTGGAAATGAGCATATTGGGTAGAAGCGATTAACGGATGTCTTCTTATAAGAAGATGGAGTCCAAAATAGTAAAGGAGCCACGCACAGCTCAACAATGAGGCACCCATCACCTATTTCCAGTCCAGAAAAGGTTATGACTTACAAATTATTATTTTATTTATTTTGGAACTGCAGAATTGGTTATACTTTAAGTCTTCTTTTAAGTTTTATAAAATTGGTAATATATTTAGTTGTTATTTTTGGGTGTCCGATTCTTTCCTAACAAGTTAAGAGTATATATCTTCGCAACATTGAAATTGTAGCACAGTTGTGACTGTGGTTGGTAATTTTGTTGCCTTGTCATTTATTGAACCTACCTTCCTTCCTTTATGTGGTAAGACTTGTACGCTGTTGAACATAATCTTGCAGATAGTGAAGAAAGAGATCTCGTGAATATTTTTGCTAGTCTCAGTCTGAAGCCTTCGAATCTTCCTGCTCGAGATGCTCCTTGGAAGTGGGTAACTTCTCCTTTTAAGATGTTACATATGTGTATTCTATCATGATTTCAACAATTCATGTTGTGATTTGAATTAGAGTTAATATATTGTTTGGTATTAGAAGTTGATCAGAAAAATGTTGCTTGAGAATATGTGTGGGGATCGCCTTTGCATCCTATGTTCATGTTCTGAATGCACTGTTTTGTCATGGCTGCTGTTTTACATATTTACATTTATCAAGTTAATTAAGTGCTCTCAAAAGCTTCATTGATGTTTCTTTCTTTAGGGGAGGCTTCATCCTTGATGCAGCCACACCTGGAGAATTCATTGGAGTGCAGTTGTGCTTGAGTCTGACTCAGGGACCGCGATACACCTGCTTAACTAAAATGTGGGGATGCCAAGAGTATATAAACAAAAACTGGGCTTGTTCTATTCATCATGTGTATCGGGAGTTCAACTTGGTAGCGGATAAACTAGTTGAATTGGGTTCATGTCTTGAGTTGGGCTTCTCAAACTTCCATGACCCTCCTGACAGTATTAGGTCATTTCTTAGTCAAGATTTACTTGCAGTCTGTAGGCATCGAGCCATTGTTTAATTTCTTCGTTGGGCGTTAGTCTCGTTTCTTCACCAAATTTTTTTTTTGAAGAAATAGCTCTAGTCCAATGGACTGAAGGGGTATTTCAGCCCCAAACCTCAAAATGATATTACAAAATTGTATATTTAAAGAGTATAGCCGAACGGCTATACTCGCCAAATATATTAGAATATTTTAAACGTATAGCCGGTCGGCTATACTTTGTAAATACATTCGAATATTTTAAAAGTATAGCCATTCGGCTATACGCTTGAAATGTTAATATATTTGAATATTTTAAGGTTATAGCCGTCTGGCTATACTGTTTAAATATATACAAAACCAACACGAAGCTTGCACTCGCAGAGGACGGTGGTTGCAGTTGAAGTTTCGCTTCTCTATCAACTCAAGCTTTGATTTGTTTTCTTCGGTTTCGGCTGCTTCTTCCTTCGGGTTCGGCACCGAAAAAAGACCCAACCCGCCTAGGAGTCCCGCCCAGCCGCCTAGCGCCCGCCTAGCCGCAGAGGACGGAGGTTGCAGTCGAAGTTTCGCTTCTCTATCAACTCAAGCTTCGATTTGGTTTCTTCGGTTTCGGCTGCTTTGTACTCCGGGTTCGGCACCGAAAAAAGACCCAACCCGCCTAGGAGGCCCGCCCAGCCGCCTAGCGCCCGCCTAGCCGCCTAGCGCCCGCCTAGCACCCTAGCGCCCGCCTAGGCCAATTTTTTAGAGTCTAAAGCACAAGATGTCGAGGATAGACTCGAAATGGTTGCCTCTCAGGCTCACAAGGTCATTCACTGATGTACTCAATCCATCTTTGGTCTATGGCTATGAATGTGTGATGTTGTTAGTGTGGTGTTCATTTTGCCATTGGCTTCTTTCTCTTTGCTTTCAGATGGCTGACATTGTTACAGAACAATGGATTCAAATTCAGTGGCTTGAGCAGGCTCTTCATATTACACAAGTAAGTTTTTTCTGCTTGAAACTGGCTTCAGGTTCTCTATTTGCTAAATTCATAAGTTTTGCTGATTCACTAATATTTGCTGGTTTCTTCTTGGTTGGACCGCTTTTCATTCTTTGGATATTTCATTTCTGTTATAGATTTTGACATTTGATCATGCCCTCTTGTTTGCTGAGAGAAAAAAAGAAGAAGAAAGATTTGTCTCCTCCTCCTGTTGCATAGAACCCAAAACAAACCCACGAAAGAAAAAAAAAAAAAAAAAAAAAAAATATATTACACCACCTCCAGTGAAAATCTAATTCATTTAAGCTTTTATATTTGTTCTTGTATCAACATCTGTGTTTCTGTTATGTGAACTCCACCTCAACTCCAAAGAAAACAAATAAAAAATATTAGAGGGTACATTTGCTAACGCATGGGTTGGGAATCTCTTAATTATATTGAACTTTTCAAACTGACTTCAAAAGCACCAGATTAACATACCAATTTTCAAACTGACTTCAAAAGCACCAGGTGATCATACCAACATGAAATATCGTTTATCGAGTCTCCATTAGTGTAAAAGGACTGTGACTTCATTAGCTGAAAATGCTTTAGAAGAAGGATAGACCTCGAGTTCATTGACATCCCTTTCACTATAAAAACCAGGCTTTTAAGGTTGAGGCAATGACCCTTCAATTTTGGAGCATAGTAAAGATTATTCAGCAAACATTTCCAATTTTGAAGGATTCAAAATATGACAAATATTTTAATCTGATCTCTTAACAATTTGTGTCTAAGAATCGCTAATATGCCGTTAGAGAAACAGAGATAGAGGTGTGCATATCACTGTGCTGGTTATAACATTTGGCTACTATGTACCTACAGGAACTATGAACATGTCTGTTTTCTAACCGTCCAGCATTCAGTCCCATATAGCATGGCTGGTCTAACAGATGTTCTATAAACTTAGCTTTCAATTCTAGCAAAATAGGATGATCACATATATGCTTAACAAAACCCTCCATTTTACCTAATGTGCTTTGATTCTATGAGCCACATCATCTCCATTCTCCCCTTGTATATATGGATGATTGAATACATGCTAGATAGTGAAAGTTTTTGCTTTTTGATATACTCTTAGTGGTGCAATTGGTTGCTCTTATGTCTTCGTCGGAACCAAAGGCTCCTCGTGGTTAGCAGAATTCAAAGGAATATGGTTCCAGTCCAGTGACCATCTAGTAGATGCAACTTTGCCTGCTACTGAAGTCAAATCATCAGAACTGAGTATAAGGAATGGTACAAATAATCTTCACTATTATTATCAACTTGGCCTTCTACATCATGATCCTCTTTCTTTGTTTTAATGGAAGTATGTAACTTAAATTTGTGTTTCTTATAAAAAGAAAAATTATAAATTGCTCTTATTGTAGAGTTCATGCAATAGAATTGGGTTAGTAAAAGTGTTGAGACAGACTTGTTGTATCTACTCAGCTTTTTATGTTCAAAATATTTTGGATGTGTTATTAAAAGTGTGAAGATAGCATTTTATTCCTATGGTAAATGGATGCTATATGTGCAATGCTTATGATTTCTTATCTCAGTTATAGGAGAAACAAAGACTTCTGTAGCTTCTGGAAATGAGCATATTGGGGAGAAGCAATTAACGGATGTCTTCTTATAAGAAGATGGAGTCCAAAATAGTAAAGGAGCCACGCACAGTTCAACAATGAGGCACCCATCACCTATTTCCAGTCCAGGCAAGGGATATGACTTACAATGTATTATTTTATTTATTTTGGAACTGCAGAATTGGTTATACTTTAAGTCTTCTTTTAAGTTTAATAAAATTGGTAATATATTTAGGTGTTATTTTTGGGTGTCCAATTCTTTTCTAACAAGTTAAGAGTATATGTCTTCGCAACATTGAAATTGTAGCACAGTTGTGACTGTGGTTGGTAATTTTGTTGCCTTGTCATTTATTGAACCTACCTTCCTTCGTTTATGTGGTAATGTTTGTGCTGTTGAACATAATCATGCAGATAGTGAAGAAAGAGATCTCGTGAATATTTTTGCTAGTCTCAGTCTAAAGCCTTCAAATCTTCCTGCTCGAGATGCTCCTTGGAATTGGGTAACTTCTCCTTTTAAGATGTTACATATGTGTATTCTATCATGATTTCAACAACTCATGTTGTGATTTGAATTAGAGTTCATATATTGTTTGGTATTATAAGTTGAACAGAAAAATGTTGCTTGAGAATATGTGTGGTTTTTTTTTCTTTCAACTTAAATCTTCCAGTGGGATCGCTTTTGCATCCTATGTTGATGTTCTGAATGCACTGTTTTGTCATGGCTGCTGTTTTACATATTTACATATATCAAGTTAATTAAGTGCTCTCAAAAGCTTCATTGATGTTTCTTTCTTTAGGGGAGGCTTCATCCTTGATGCAGCCACACCTGGAGAATTCATTGGTGGGTTAAAGACTACCTTGTAATGCCAGGAACCAAGCCAAACAAAAAAAAATTAGAAACTCAGATCGAAAGAGAGGGGAAATTGACTCTTTCCAAGTAACAGGAACAAGACATTTTCATTAAAGTGGTTGCAACATAGTAAGCATATATCACAAAAGAACCAATATACATACATATAGTATACTTGATTTGCTTATGAACTTAATTCTTGATTGACTAGTTTGTAGTGGTTACATGTCCTCAGAATACAAAATTGATGGGTTCTACTCGCTAAAATCCGATGTCTATAGTTTTGGTGGGTGGATGCTAGAGATAGTGAGTGGGAAGAGAAACATAGGATTTACTCATTGCCTTTTTTTTGTTTCTTCTTTTAAGTAAGCACAATGATTTTGAACTTTTGATAAATTCTTTTAGTCATGGATGCTATACACAGAAGGCTGGTCCATTGAAGTGCTTGATACATCAATAGGGGACTCAGGTGATCCACATGAAGTTGTGAGATTATTTCATGCATGTAGGTCTTTTATGTGTGCAGCGTAACTCGGGAGATAGGCTGAGCATGTCAATTACAGTCAAAGGGATCTCAATGAACTCGAAGTCGGTCATTCTTTTAAAGCATTTTCAACAAATGAACGCAAGTGCTTCAAATTTGAGGCAAAGATTCATGAAGTTCCAAATTGCGTGAGGAAGGATCTCCTAAAATGCCACTGCAATGTGCACGTGTTATAAGGTATGCAATTACAGTCACTTCAATCATATGCACTTAGCCAATTAGTGATAGGGGAAACCAGTCTAGAATTTTCAGATTCTTTGGAGAGCATGTGTTTTTTGTCGTTTTTAACCATTGTGTGATATTTATTATGTGTAGTACGAAATGGCTATTTCGACTTTAAAGACAATTTTGAATCTCTATGTGGTACTGTGGATTGTGGTAAAGACTTCTGTTTGCTTTGAAAGCTATTTAGAGGCTCAGGTGATCCACATGAAGTTGTGAGATTATTTCATGCATGTAGGTCTTTTATGTGTGCAGCATAACCCACGAGATAGCCCGAGCATGCCATTTACAGTTCTAATGCTAAGTGGTGAAGGGTCATTGCCTCAAGCTCAAAAACCTTGTTCTTATAGTGAAAGGGATCTCAATGAATTCGAAGTCGGTCCTTCTTTTAAAGCATTTTCAACAAAAGAAGGCAGGTGCTTCAGATTTGGGGCAAAGACTCATGAAGTTCCCAAATTGTGTGAGGAAGGATCTCCTAAAATGCCACTGCAATGTGCACGTGTTATAGGGTATGCAATTACAAGTACTTCAATCATACTCACTTACTCAGTTAGTGATAGGAGAAACCAGTCTAGAATTTTCAAATTCTTTAGAGAGCATGTGTTTTGTGTCGTTTTTGACCATTGTGTGATGCTGTTCTGAGCAACATGTTTCCTCATGTTTTAACTCTGCTGTGATATTTATTAATTTTGTGGCCTACTTCCATTAGTTTATACTTTATAGTTATTAATTTGCTAGTTTCAACATATCCAAAGCAAATATTGAAAAGATAGCAATTTCACAGTAAATCAAGTTCAATTTTTTCTTCTTCTTTCTTCTATTTTTTATTATTTTATTATTTTATATTTTATAATTTCGTGGGAATCCATTTAGTAAAACCATTGATTCCAGCACAGGCCAAAGCCAAAATCCACATTTAAATGTACCGGGCTCATGCAGTGCTGTCTTGTTTTATTTGACATCTCTAGTCCAAACCGTGATTGTGCACATAAGCAAGCAAAGCATGCCCATCATTATCACCACCACGGTATTGCAGTCACATGCCACTATGATTTGATTTTTAAGGAGGGAGAGGGAGCAAGAGGTGTAAGTCCATTTAAATTTGTGTCTTTAAGGTATTTGTGCCGTGCTAGGCTGACCTATTTAATTTACCGGGCCTTGTCGTGCTGACCCATTTAGAAAAGTAAAATTCAATAAAGTTTTCCCAATCTTTTAATAGCCAATTTGATGTAGCTTCATGTCCTCCTAAGTAGCATTTCTCCACATATCTAAAGCTATGGTAGCCCTTCATGCATTAGCATTTTCTCGTTGCTGCTCTTGGGTTTGAATAATAAGTTCCAATTCTCTTCTTCATTAACTGGTAATACTGAAGATGAAGAAGATTCCTCTACTGGTTCAATTGGAAATTCATCATAACAACACTCTTTGCGAAGAAAGTTGTGTAGTGCTACACATGCTAACACAAGCTCTGCTTGTGTCTTAAATGGAAATGGAGGCGCTGACTTAAAAATTGTGAATCGTGATTTAAAAATGCCAAATATCCTCTCAATCACATTCCTCAATGATGCATGGCGAAGATTGAACAATTCATTTTCATTTTGAGGGTCATTACCATGACCTGCAAAATCTTGGAGATGATATTTCACACCTCGAAATGGAGCTAAAAATTGGCGCCGATTAGGAAATCCACAATCCACTAGGAAATATTTACCTAATTATATATATAATACATATAAAATTAGTATGAAAAGTTTTAAAAAAAATATTTATCATTTAAAATAAGTACTTACCTTGGGGCACTTTAAGTCCATTCCTCCTTGATAAAGCATCATTTAGTAGCTTTGAATCATGAGTTGAACCCTCCCACCCGTTAAGAACGTACATGAATTCCAAATCAAAGTTACAAGTAGCTAATACATTTTGTGATATCTTTTCATGACGATTACGATAACTGCTTACATCTCGTCCCCTCACCATTGCCGGAATATGTGTACCATCAATATCTCCAATGCAATCCTAAATTATTCATATATCACAATAACCATATATGAAAATATATAACAGCTTTATGAAGTGGACTGGGTCAAGATCAGATGTTTTATCAAACTGTATTCAAGGACAGATTGGGAGTCTATAATGGGCTAGTATTCGACAATAAACGACTCAATATTTTTAAAATATGTAGATTAAGACCTCTGATTTATGATTAGGAAACGTATATTAGAATATTTTAAACGTATAGCCGGTCGGCTATACTTTCTAAACACATTCGAATATTTTAAAATTATAGCCGCGCGGCTCTCCTCTTTAAATATATTCCAAACGAACACGAAGCTTGAACACGCAGAGGACGGAGGTTGCAGTCGAAGTTTTGCTTCTCTATCAACTCAAGCTTCGATTTGTTTTCTTCGGTTTCGGCTACTTCGTCCTCCGGGTTCGGCATTGAAAAAAGACCCAACCCGCCTAGGAGGCCCGCCCAGCCGCCTAGCGCCCGCCTAGCCGTAGAGGACGGAGGTTGCAGTCGAAGTTTTGCTTCTCTATCAACTCAAGCTTCGATTTGTTTTCTTCGGTTTCGGCTTCTTCGTCCTCCGGGTTCAGCACCGAAAAAAGACCCAACCCACCTAGGAGGCTCGCCCAGCCGCCTAGCCGCCTAGCCGCCTAGCGCCCGCCTAGCCGCCCAGCCGCCCCGCCTAGGCCGATTTTTTAAAGTCTAAAGCACAAGATGCCGAGGATAGACTCGAAACGGTTGCCTCTCAGGCTCAAAAGGTCATGCACTGATGTAATCAATCAGCTCACTAAGCCACAGCAGGCACCCACTGTTGAGAGTTAAGCTGCATACTAGTTTTGAATCAAGCTGCAGATGTTAATCCTGCAGATTGACAATGAATAGGATGATGAAATCGAAGGAACTGAAGAACTTTCCTTTTATAGTAATAGCTGTTATAGGATATGTCTAACAGCTAGTTTTCTTACTATTTTGGGAAACTCTACAGCTGTCATTCTTAGCTGTCTTAGTATTTTCTGCTGTAACAATTTCTAGCCTAGGTGTAAGAATCATAGCCTCCAATGACCTTGAATGGCTGGAGATGAGTCCTTGTGTCCTAGTTTTTAGGATCTGTTTTTTTGGCAGTTTGTGTCATGCACATAGTGTGATTTTGGCTCTGATGCAATACACAGAAAATAGACTGAATCATTCTCATTCTCTCTGAGTTTTCTCTCCTCTGCATACGTTGCATATACTGGTTCTATTGGTTTCTGTGAATCAGGCACTAAAACCAGCAAACAAAATACCAAATTCTAACATGGTATCAGAGCTTCTGGTCTGATTTTCAGAGAAGGGGCGTGAGCTGTGAGAAAGGGGGTTTTCCTGAAATCTCTATAAGGGATAAAGGTTGCTCTTTTATTGTGTGGTTCACTGAGACTCACATCAAAATGGTGGGTTCAGGTTCTGCAGGTGGAGATTTACGAACTCCACAGTTCAACGGTTCAAACTATGATTTTTGGTCAGTAAAAATGGAGACTATCCTCATAGCATATGACCTATGGGATGCAGTGGAGATTGGAATACAACCACAGCCGATTATTGAGCAGGAAGCAGGCTCTGAAGGCACTGGAGATGAAGGGAGTGAGGCTGAGCAAATCCCAGTGGAAGCACCTACTATCTCCAGAGAAGATAAGATCAAAAATGCCAAGGCTTTGAGTCTTATTCAAGGAGCACTGACAGATGAACTCTTTCCTCGCATCAGAAATGAGAAGACTGCAAAAGGTGCTTGGGAAATTCTAAGAAGAGAGTTCAGAGGAGATAAAAAGGTAAGAGCTGTGAAATTACAAGCTATTAGAGCTGACTTTGAATATTTGAGAATGAATGATGTTGAATCTCTGGATGACTACTTGGCTCGTTTTTTTGAAATTGTAAACAACCTGAAATCTCTAGGAGAAGATGTAACAGAGAAAAGGATTGTCCAAAAATTGTTGATGAGTCTAAGTAGGAGGTACAAGTCCATAGTGTCAATCATTGAAGAAACCAGAGATCTTGACACTATTAGAGTTGAAGAAATTCTTGCATCTGTCAAGGTTTATGATAAGAGAGAGGATTTGCATGATGAAAGGGACAAATTGGCAGGAACTGAGAAAGCTTTTAGCAGTCTCAGAGTTGGAAATGATCAAGCTTCTGGAGCTAACAAAAGTTCTCAGGGAAAGCAAAATCAAAAATGGCAAGGACAAAACAAAAAGGGCTCAAATTGGTCTCAAGGTGGAAATTTTAACAACAATAATGGCTCTAGAGGGAATTGGAACAGCAGCTTCAATTCACAAAACAAGCAAGGGAGTAGTAGTCAAGGTGGTTTGAAACCACAGTGCCAAGTGTGTCAGAAATACCATTTTGGTATATGCAGATATAAGGGAAAACCCAAGTGTGGAAAGTGCAGTCGATTTGGTCATTTAACTAAGGACTGTGAAAGTGGTAAACAAGTTGCAAACTGTGCAAAAGAGGAAGAAGTAACCACAGGAACAATGTTCTATGCTTGTCATGCAAGCTCAATTGCATCAAGCAAGTCTGTGTGGTTTGTCGACAGTGCTTGCAGCAATCACATGACCTCTCAAGAGTCCTTGTTGATCAATCTTGATAGGTCAGTGACCTGCAAAGTGAAAATGGGCACTGGTGACCTTGTTCAAGCCACAGGAAAAGGGACACTAGTAGTTGAGACAAGAAAAGGGAGAAGATATATAAATGAGGTGCTGTTAGTCCCTGGTCTGGATGAGAATTTGTTGAGTGTAGGACAAATGATGGAGCATGGGTACTACATTCTATTTGGAGGAAACTATGCATTAATATGTGATGATAGCAGCCTTGATAATGTTGTTGCCAAAGTAGCAATGGCTGGAAATAGATGCTTTCCATTGTCTATGGAATCTATCTGCTCAATGGGAATGAAAGCAGCAGTACAAGTAGATCCATGGGTTTGGCATAGGAGATTGGGGCATTTGAACTTTGCAAGCATGAAAAAATGCAGCAAACACAAATGGTGCTAGGCTTACCTGATTTCTCAGAAAAAGAAGGAGTATGTGAAGGCTGTGTGTATGGTAAAAGCCACAGAGAACCATTTGAAAATGAGAAGTCTTGGAGAGCTAAGCATCCACTTGAGTTGATACACACGGATGTATGTGGTCCAATGCAAAATGAGTCCATTGGAGGAAATAGATACTTCATCACATTCATTGATGACTATTCAAGAATGTGTTGGGTATATTTTCTCAGAAACAAGTCAAGTGTGATAAGTGTGTTCAAAAAGTTCAAAGCATTTGTTGAGCTACAAAGTGGATTCAACTTAAAGAAACTAAGAAGTGACAGAGGTGGAGAGTACACTTCACATGAATTCCTTGAGTTTTGCAGTGATCTTGGCATGGAGAGGCAACTGACTATTGCCTACTCACCTCAGCAAAATGGGGTTGCTGAGAGAAGAAACAGAACCATCTGTGAAATGGCAAGATCAATGATGACTGAGAAGAAAATCCCTGTAAAGTTCTGGGCTGAAGCAGTTGGTACTGCTGTGTATCTGCAAAACAGGTGCTATACTACTTCAGTTTCAGACAAAACTCCATTTGAAGCTTTCACAGGAAGGAAACCAGGTGCAAAACACCTGAGAGTGTTTGGAAAGTATATGTTACAGTCACATTCCATCAAACCTTAGACAGAAGTTTGATGACAAAGCAAGCAAAGGAATTTTTATGGGTTATGGCAGCTGTGAGAAGGGTTACAGGGTCTATAATCTTCAAACTGAGAAGATTATACTCTCTAGAAGTGTTGTTTTTGATGAGAACAAATCCTGGAATTGGGAAAGCAAGCAAGATGAAACTGTCTCTGTGCCTCTCATCTTTGAAAATGGAAATTCTGAGATAGCTGAAACAGAAACAGCCTCTCATGAAACTCACAGCATTGATTCACCAAATCTGAATAAATTAATCTCAGATGATGAACATGTCTCTGAGAGAAATGGCAGTGGCACCAGTCAAGGGTCAACTCCAAGCAATACACCAGTGAAGCTGAGAAGTTTGGAGGACATTTATGCAAGATGTCACATGACCATTATTGAACCTGAAACTTATTATGAAGCTGTTGAAGACAAAGCATGGAAGGAAGCAATGGATGCTGAGATAGAAACTATTGAAAAGAATGGAACTTGGGAGCTAGTGGAAAGGCCTACAGATAAACCAGTCATAGGAGTCAAATGGGTGTTCAAAACCAAGTTGAATCTTGATGGGACAGTTCAAAAACACAAGGCTAGGCTTGTGGCTAAAGGGTATGCTCAAAAACCTGGTATTGATTATAATGAAACCTTTGCCCCAGTGGCAAGGTTAGATACAATCAGAACTTTGATTGCACTTGCAGCACAAAAGGGTTGGAAGTTGTTTCAATTAGATGTTAAGTCAGCCTTCTTGAATGGAGTACTTGAGGAGGAGGTTTATACTGAGCAACCAGAGGGGTTTGAAGTGAAAACAGCAAGTCATAAGGTCTATAAATTAAAGAAGGCCCTCTATGGTTTGAAGCAGGCTCCCAGAGCCTGGTACAGTGAAATAGACACCTATCTAACTAGCTGCAATTTTAAAAGAAGCACCAGTGAGGCCACCTTATATACCAGAACTGATGAAGAAGGAAAACTGATCATTGTCTCTATATATGTTGATGATATAGTTTATACTGGAAACAGTAATGCTTTGCTCAGTGAGTTTAAAAGGGACATGATGCAAAAGTATGAAATGACTGATTTAGGACTCCTACATCATTTCTTGGGAATGGGAGTTCTACAAACTGAAAATGGAGTGTTTATTCATCAAAGCAAGTATGCAAAGTCCTTGCTTGTGAAATTTGGTCTCGAGGATTGTAAGTCAGTAACAATTCCTCTACCCACTGGTGAAAGATTAAAGAAAGTTGATGGAAGTGATTTGGCTGATGAAGGTTTGTTTAGAAAAATTGTTGGCAGCCTGTTGTATCTGACTGCAACCAGGCCTGATATAATGTTTGCAGCCAGTTTGTTATCAAGATTCATGCACAGCCCCACAAAGAAGCACATGGGAATTGCAAAAAGGGTTCTTAGATACATTCAAGGCACTCTCAGCTATGGCATTGAATTTACAAGGGATAATAATGCTGTTCTGGTTGGCTTTTGTGACTCTGATTGGGCTGGCAGTGAAGATGACAGTAGAAGCACATCTGGATATGCATTCAGTTTTGGTAGTGGAGTTTTTTCATGGGCTTCAGTCAAGCAAAACACAGTTGCATTGTCAACTGCAGAAGCTGAATACGTTTCAGCAGCTGAGGCAACAGCTCAAGCTATCTGGCTAAGGTTTGTGTTGGATGATTTTGGTGAAATGCAATCTGATGCAACACCATTGTTTTGTGACAACATGTCAGCAATATCAATGGTCAAAAATCCTGTTTTCCATCAGAAAACAAGGCACATAAACCGAAGGTATCATTTCATAAGGGAAGCTTTACAAGAAGGGGTGATTGATATAAAATTCTGCAGAAGTGAAGAACAGTTGGCAGATATTTTTACAAAAGCTCTGCCCAAAGATCGATTCAATTATTTGAGGTTGAAGCTTGGAGTTAAACCAGTAAGCAGCTTAGGAGAGGCTGTTGAGAGTTAAGCTGCATACTAGTTTTGAATCAAGCTGCAGATGTTAATCCTGCAGATTGACAATGAATAGGATGATGAAATCGAAGGAACTGAAGAACTTTCCTTTTATAGTAATAGCTGTTATAGGATATGTCTAACAGCTAGTTTTCTTACTATTTTGGGAAACTCTACAGCTGTCATTCTTAGCTGTCTTAGTATTTTCTGCTGTAACAATTTCTAGCCTAGGTGTAAGAATCATAGCCTCCAATGACCTTGAATGGCTGGAGATGAGTCCTTGTGTCCTAGTTTTTAGGATCTGTTTTTTTGGCAGTTTGTGTCATGCACATAGTGTGATTTTGGCTCTGATGCAATACACAGAAAATAGACTGAATCATTCTCATTCTCTCTGAGTTTTCTCTCCTCTGCATACGTTGCATATACTGGTTCTATTGGTTTCTGTGAATCAGGCACTAAAACCAGCAAACAAAATACCAAATTCTAACACCCACTTCCTCCATCCCTGGTATCCAAGTTTGCAAAAGCCGTGCAGGAGCAGTTCTTCATGCACAACATCTCACATTCCTTGAGTTCCATACTTCTATTAAACCCAGATACATCATTTGCAGAAGATCCATCATTTGCAGTATGTTTTGTTCACTCTTAAGGTTTGTTTCCCGTTTCAGCTTAAAATCTTCAGCTTTCAAGTATATGCTAAATTGAGAGCAAATATATAATATTTGGTTGCATTTGTATGTCACAGAGAGACTCATTGGCTACTGATGAGAGGCTTCATGCTCTAGAAGAAGAGGGTCACATCTTTTTCAATTTATTTTTTGCAATTTTCAATTCAATGAAAAAGTAGCAGAAAGGGTTTGTTGGATTTGAGAAATGGGCTTTGCAATGCTTTTTAGGTACGGCTTCTGTGTGCTGCATCAAGAAAGTACAACTTCGATCTTCATGTTTTAGAGTCTAAAGCCCAAGATGCCGAGGATGGACTCGACACGGTTGCCTCTCAGGCTCAAAAGGTCATGCACTGATGTACTCAATCCATCTTTGGTCTATGGCTATGAGTGTGTGATGTTGTTAGTGTGGTGTTCATTTTGCCATTGGCTTCTTTCTCTTTGCTTTCAGATGGCTGACATTGTTACAGAACAATGGATTCAAATTCAGCGGCTTGAGCAGGCTCTTCATATTACACAAGTATGTTTTTTCTGCTTGAAACTGGCTTCAGGTTCTTTATTTGCTAAATTCATAAGTTTTGCTGATTCACTAATATTTGTAGTTTCTTCTTGGTTGGACTGCTTTTCATTCTTTGGATATTGCATTTCTGTTATAGATTTTGACAATTGATCATGCCCTCTTGTTTGCTGAGAGAAAAAAAGAAGAAGAAAGATTTGTCTCCTCCTCCTGTTGCATAGGAACCCAAAACCAACCCACCAAAGAACAGAAAAAAAGAAAAAGAAATATTACACCACCTCAAGTGAAAAATCTAATTCATTTAAGCTTTTATATTTGTTCTTGTATCAGCATCTGTGTTTCTGTTGTGTGAACTCCAAACTCCAAAGAAAAAAATTAAAAAAAATTAGAGGGTGCATTTGCTAACGCATGGGTTGGGAATCTCTTAATTATATTGAACTTTTCAAACTGACTTCAAAAGCACAAGATTAACATACCAACATGAAATATTGTTTATTGAGCCTCCATTAGTGTAAAAGGACTGTGACTTCATTAGCTGAAAATGCTTTAGAAGAAGGATAGACCTCGAGTTCGTTGACATCCCTTTCACTATAAAAACCAGGCTTTTAAGGTTGAGGCAATAACCCTTCAATTTTGATAATTGGGTGGGTGATGCTTGTCATCAGAAGCAGCAGCGCCTCAAATCATGTCACAAGCAGCTTCCTATGCTGATGGTTCCCAGTAAAGACAGCCGCCACGAAAGACGTGGCTTGTATAGTATCACACAAGGAAAGACTTGCAGCTTTGAGTTGCATGTGCCATACAATAAGAGGCTCTGCGGTTCTTCCCATGGTTGGTTGGCTTGTGTGAATGAAAATTTGGAAGTAACCCTTTTAAAACCCTTTCACCAAAAGTACCATTTGCCTTCCACCATTCAAGGAAGTCCCTCAATCCATACACAAACAGGCTTATAGATGTGCACACTACATTAAGAAGGTTGTATTGTCTGCAGACCCTTCTTTGTTTCCAAATGATTACGAAGCTGTGGCACTTTTCGATCGCAATGGAACCAGAGTATCTCATATTAAGTCAGGGGATCATGGTTGGACTCACATAGATCAAACGGTCCGATTCTTTTATGGTCTGAATCAAGTGATCGGATTTGATGATGTGATCTATTACAGAGGCCAGTTTCTTGCTGCTAGTAGGGAGGGTGGGGTTTTTGCGATAAACGTTAGCAAGGATCCAACTTATAAACCTCATGTAAGCATAGTCGTACCAATGGTTCAAGGTATTGATGACCAAGCATATCTTGTGGAATCGTCTAGGGGTGATCTATTGCTGGTTAGGAAGTTCCAAAGTTTGAATTATGTTGAGTGTTTTACTGATACTTTGAGCTTCAAGGTTTTCAAGCTGTACTCTGATTGTGGGGATAAAATCAGAAGCGAACGGATTGAGGAGATTGATAGTATTGGAAACGATGCTTTTTTCTTGGGTGGCAATAATCACTCCATGTGTGTCTCAGCTTTAGACTTTCCGGGTTGTCATCCGAATTCCATATACTTCTGCATTGATAATTGGGTGGGTGATGCTTGTGATGAAGTTCAAGAGCCTCTTGGCATGGCAGTCTTCAATTTGGACAACAGAAAATTTGGAACAAATTACAACTGCTCAAGTCCTTCACAGAAGTACATGCCACCATCAATTTGGATTTTGCCCACCATGGTGTGAAAAGATGGTTCCACCTGTTCTTTGTTACCTGTTCCATATGGTAGAATAATTTCAAGCTATGTTTTCATTTTATTTGTGATTCTAACCCTTCACACGTTTGTTCCCTGTGGAAACAAATATGTTAACCTAAAAAATGTATTCACATTGAAAATTGACTAAAACAATATTGTATCTCCCATGAATCAAATCATAACGTGTAAAGATTTAATCCTTGACAAGGAATCTTATATCATGAAATGCCTTCAAGGAATCATAACGCGTAATCATTGGCTGCATGCTTGACAGAGGTTTGATTTAAAGTTAGGAAATTCATGGCCATCAGTGGGGATTGGCCTAACCAGCATCATGTTTATTACCCTCCAATATGGCCTCACATTTTCACCGGCAAGCCTCATGGAGTCTCACCTACAATTTTACAATTAGGAGTCTCATGGAGTTAACCATATCCTGTAGCAAGATGCTAATGTTGATTTAGAAATGAACATTTTCCATGCTGTCCAACTATATATAAGAAACTAGAGAACTGATTCAAAAAATTTTACGCGTATTTTTACAACAATGTTCTAGAGCATTGATTTAAGCAACTATTATGAAATTTTTTTTTCATACTACAAAAATTATCAAAGCTCTAGAGCAGGACCAAAATACAATGGAACGTATCTACATGATGACTTGGTTGGGGTGGGGAGAAACTTGGTGACAAAAAATTGCACCAGACCAGACATTAACTAACATTGTCATTCCCACATTTGACATAAAGTAGCTCCAGCCAACAATCTTGTCCAGCCATGAGGTTGCCCCTCTTACTTTGAATTTAACCCATCATATCACTTCTTTGGCTTAATCAACCGATCTCTGACCGGAGATCCAACCTAACCCAAGAACTGAACTGTCCAACCACCCAACGTTCGAAAGTCCCGAGTATGACTGTGTTCCTTGATTTTCGAGATGTTGGGTGGATTGCAATAGTTGCAACTAAATCCTCCCTAACTCGGATCAGATGTAGGTCTTGTTAGGTTTCTGTATGTATGTATTAGTGTTTGGAGAGGATTGTATTACTTTTTATTTATTTATTAGGAAAATATCAATTGAATATTTATATTTAATTAAAGATTATTTTTTTACACAGAATAAATCAATGCAAACTTTTGGATGCTCATCTTTTATATAGAAAAATTTAGTGCCACCTGTTTTTATACGAGGATAGAGAACAAGTACCATTATAATTGGCCGCAAAAAAACATACAAATTAAAATTTTAACAAATGTTATTTTCCTACGTCTAAAATTTTAAAAAGAAATCACAACATGTAACTAACAATATCAATTTGACTTAGAGAAGGAAGGAAAAGTTTGAACTCTTAACAACTAGCAATTAGTTTAGTGATGCTCATCTTCACAATATTCTGAATTTGAATCTCCACCCCATCGATTAAAAGAAAAAACACTTTTAGTGGGGTTTGAACTCTTTGATTTCCAATAAAAGCAAACTTTTTGGATATTGATATACTATGGGTTCGGATTGAGACTTCAAATTAAACTAGGATTGAGACGCTTTATGCGATAGTTTTCTACGCGGTTTAGGACTGTTGGGACTACTTCTGTATAAAATGCCAAAGTCTAGGCCTGCAAATACGTACAAGTTGTGCAACTATTGATATTTTGAGTGTGAGGAAATTAACGAGCACTACATATGGCGGAGGCAATATCATCAACCTTTGATTCCGGTTGGGCATGGCTCCCAAGCCACGTTCTAGATTTGATACTAGATAAGTTGATACCAATCTCCGATTACATTCGGTTTGGCTGTATCAGAAGCAGCAGCGCCTCCAATCATGTCACAAACAGCTTCCTATGCTGATCATCCCCGGCAACCGCGGTGGAAGAGGTTCCTTGTACGGTGTCACACAGGGAAAGGCATACAGCTTTGAGTTGCCACAACATGGGCCAAAGTATGATAAATCACAATAGCTACGGTTGCTGTAGTTCTTGCCATGGTTGGTTGGCTCTGATAGTCTACCATACCAGTGATTCTCCAGTAAGCCAAGTAGCCCATTATAAGGCAGGGGATGTTACTTGGACTCGCATAGATGCGAGGACGCTATTATCGGATGTAATTTATTATAAAGGCCAGTTTCTGGCTGTTACTAGCAGTGATGGGCTTTTGTCAGTTAATGTTAACAGTGACCCAGCAACTACTACTTGGTGTATCAGAACTACCAGAGCTTCACCTTCACACACTATGACTCATTATTCCCTTGTCGAATCGTCACGTGAAGACCTATTGCTCGTGGAGAAGTCCTATTCCAGATCTTGGGATCTGGCTTACAAGATGTGGTGTGCTTATGGGGATGACGGAGGAGCCCAATGGGTTGAGATTGAGGGTATAGGAACTGATGCTTTGTTCTTGGATTGGAATGTATCTATGTCTGTCTCTGCTTTAGACTTTCCGGAGTGTCGTCCAAATTCCATCTACTTCCTTGATTATGTAGATTGGTTTCCACAGGTGCGTGTCTTCGACTTGGAAAACGGAAATGTGGAAAAAGTTTGTGTTTTACATGATCCCAGCGAGGAGTGTCTTCTACCGGAGCCCAAGCGAACAGGAATTTGGATTTTACCCACTATGGTATGAGGAGATGATGGGGTTTCACTTTTCTTATTTACTTCTCCGTGTGATAAATTATGTAACCTCACATTTTCCATTGGAACATCTATATTGAGCTTTCATTTTGTTCTTATTTGGGAATTGAGATGGCATCATGGTAAGCATGTCATGAATGCATCTACAAACAACTTATCATCATGTATATATCGTGTTACTTAAACTACAGAAATCAAAAAATAACCCTAAAGGAATTCACCAGAAAATAAAAATAAAAACCTATAAATTTTATTAATAATATAATAAAATATATTACAAATACAACTCCATAAATTCGCTTAAATAAAAAATAAAGAAACCCTAAACTCGTAAAAAACCATAGATTCTAGGATAATATCCTTTGATTACCAAGAAAATAATTAAAATCTTGCTCAAGTAATAATAGGAAAATAATATCCCACTTATTCTCAAAATATAATATAAATCTTCCTAAGAAATTAATCAAGCAATCCGAAAACTACCAACGATACACATGCCCGTGATTTGTCATACATCATATTATAATGTAAATAGAAAATATTAGAAAATCCTATCCCCTCTAGTTTACACTATTTTTTGTCATTTTTTTATTATAAAAAAAAGACCTTTCTTATAATTATATGGTTTAGGGTTCATTGGGAACCTGTAGCTTTGGATCAGAAGAAGCAGCACCTCAAATCTTGTCACACCCAGTTTCCTGTGCTGATTATCACTGGCGGAAATTAAAAAGTAAAAGATTATAATGTACCATAATTGATATAAAATATTACCATAATACATATATATTAAACAATATTTATTTGTTATTTGTTACTAATTAGTGGTTGCTATGCAAAATCCATTTAATGTTGTGTTTTCTGAGGCTCAATCCCTCTCCCTATTACAAAATTGTATATTGGCTATACTTTCTAAATACATTCGAATATTTTAAAAGTATAGGTATAGCCGAGCGGCTATACTCTTTAAATATATTCGACACCAACACGAAGCTTGCACTCGCAGAGGACGGAGGTTGCAGTCGAAGTTTCGCTTCTCTATCAACTCAAGCTTCGATTTGTTTTCTTCGGTTTCGGATGCTTCATCCTCCGGGTTCGGCACCGAAAAAAGACCCAACCCGCCTAGGAGGCCCGCCCAGCCGCCTAGCACCCGCCTAGCCGCAGAGGACGGAGGTTGCAGTCGAAGTTTCGCTTCTCTATCAACTCAAGCTTCGATCTGTTTTCTTCGGCTTCAGCTGCTTCGTCCTCCGGGTTCGGCACCGAAAAAGACCCAACCCGCCTAGGAGGCCCGCCCAGCCGCCTACCGCCCGCCTAGCCGCCTAGCCGCCGCCTAGGCCCATTTTTTAGAGTCTAAAGCACAAGATGCCGAGGATAGACTCGAAACGGTTGCCTCTCAGGCTCACAAGGTCATGCACTGATGTACTCAATCCATCTTTGGTCTATGGCTATGAATGTGTGATGTTGTTAGTGTGGTGCTCATTTTGCCATTGGCTTCTTTCTCTTTGCTTTCAGATGGCTGACATTGTTACAGAACAATGGATTCAAATTCAGCGGCTTGAGCAGGCTCTTCATATTACACAAGTAAGTTTTTTCTGCTTGAAACTGGCTTCAGGTTCTCTATTTGCTAAATTCATAAGTTTTGCTGATTCACTGATATTTGCTAGTTTCTTCTTGGTTGGACCGCTTTTCATTCTTTGGATATTGCAGTTCTGTTATAGATTTTGACATTTGATCATGCCCTCTTGTTTGGTGAGAGAGAGAAAAAAAAGAAGAAGAAAGATTTGTCTCCTCCTCCTGTTGCATAGGAACCCAAAACCAACCCACCAAAGGACAGAAAAAAAAGAAGAAATATTACACCAGCTCAAGTGAAAAATCTAATTCATTTAAGCTTTTATATTTGTTCTTGTATCAGCATCTGTGTTTCTGTTGTGTGAACTCCACCCAATTCCAAAGAAAAAAAAGAAAAAGAAATTAGAGGGTGCATTTGCTAACGCATGGGTTGGGAATCTCTTAATTATATTGAACTTTTCAAATTGACTTCAAAAGCACAAGATTAACATACCAACATGAAATATTGTTTATTGAGCCTCCATTAGTGTAAAAGGACTGTGACTTCATTAGCTGAAAATGCTTTAGAAGAAGGATAGACCTCGAGTTCATTGACATCCCTTTCACTATAAAAACCTGGCTTTTAAGGTTGAGGCAATGACCCTTCAATTTTGAAGCATAGCAAAGATTATTCAGCAAACATTTCCAATTTTGAAGGATTCAAAAGATGACAAATATTTTAATCTGATCTCTTAACAATTTGTGTCTAATAATGGCCAATATGCCGTTAGAGAAACAGAGATAGAGGTGTGCATATCACTGTGATGGTTGTAACATTTGGCTAATATGTACCTACAGGAACTATGAATATGTCTGTTTTCTAACTGTCCAGCATTCAGTCCCATATAGCATGGCTGGTCTAACAGCTGTTCTATAAACTTAGCTTTCAATTCTAGCAAAATAGGATGATCACACTATATATATGGATGCCATATTGTCTATGGTAAATGGAGGTTTTATTCCTATGGTAAATGGATGCCATATTGTCTAACTGATTTGTATTTAAATATTTTTGTTCCTATTATATCCCTATTGTCTAAAATGAGTAAGATGTTCTAATTTACACTGTTCACAATTACATTTTGTTTGAAAACTGATATATTAAATTTTTTGGGTGCAAATTAAGTGGTCATTAGTCATTGTATTCAAGATAATAATGATTGAAATTTGTTTTAACCCAACATTTTGAACGATTCAACTTTTCCCAAGTGACTGATCCACTAAATTTTCATTTACCTGTCGAAATTTTGTCAATTGTTAGGGACCAATGAGTATTTCTTCTGTATTTTACCTATTTTTCATCGGATTCGGATTCCATGCTTGGATATACTTGATTTTCATCCGAAGCTTGTCTTGTCATTAAAATAATCATCTAAAGGCTATCAAGTTGGAAAAAAAATTGTCTAATTTTTTGTAAGGATGATCTATGAATAAAAACCTAAAAAATAGATAGTTTGGATCATTGAAAAAAAAAATTTGTAGGGTACCCTAAAGGGCGTCCCTCAATAGAAGGGGACTGAGTATATACAGAGCGCTTCCATTGAGGGATCCCTCAAATAAGCTTATTTGAGGAACACCCCTTGTAGGGCCCACTCCGGATTGTATTTCACCAATCCAAACCGTCTATTTTGTAGATACTCATTCAAAGATCATATCTATAAAAAAATCAATTGAATCCGATATCATTTGACCATTCAATTGAGTTATTGAAATTTTAGTACTTTCTTGAAGCACCGTGTTCATTGATTTTATAGGACACAATTGGATGTCGAAATGGTTTCCGATTTGTCTAATTTTTTGTAAGATGATATATGAATGAAGACCTAAAAAATATATGGTTTAGATCAAGCGTATAGCCGGGCGGCTATACTCGCTATATATATATATATTAGAAAATTTTATATGTATAGCTGGTCGGTTATACGTTCTAAATACATTCGAATATTTTAAAAGTATAAATGTTAATATAATCGAATATTTTAAGAGTATAGCCGCCCGGCTATACTCTTTTAATATATTCCAAAACGAACACGGAGCTTGCACTCGCAGAGGACGGAGGTTGCAGTCGAAGTTTCGCTTCTCTATCAACTCAAGCTTCGATTTGTTTTCTTCGGTCGGCTGCTTCGTCCTCCGGGTTTGGCAACGAAAAAAGACCCAACCTGCCTAGGAGGCCCGCCCAGCCGCCTAGCCGCCTAGCGCCCGCCTAGACGGAGGTTGCAGTTGAAGTTTCGCTTCTCTATCAACTCAAGCTTCGATTTGTTTTCTTCGGTTTCGGCAGCTTCGTCCTCCGGGTTCGGCAACAAAAAAAGACCCAACCCGCCTAGGAGGCCCGCCTAGCCGTCTCGCCGCCCGCCAAGCCTTCTCGCCGCCCGCCTAGCCGCCTAGCCGCCGTCCCTAGGCCCATTTTTTTAGAGTCTAAAGCACAAGATGCCGGAGATAGACTCGAAACGGTTGCCTCTCAGGCTCAAAAGGTCATGCACTGATGTACTCAATCCATCTTTGGTCTATGGCTATGAGTGTGTGATGTTGTTAGTGTGGTGTTCATTTTGCCATTGGCTTCTTTCTCTTTGCTTTCAGATGGCTGACATTGTTACAGAACAATGGATTCAAATTCAGCGACTTGAGCAGGCTCTTCATATTACACAAGTATGTTTTTTCTGCTTGAAACTGGCTTCAGGTTCTTTATTTGCTAAATTCATAAGTTTTGCTGATTCACTAATATTTGCTAGTTTCTTCTTGGTTGGACTGCTTTTCATTCTTTGGATATTGCCTTTCTGTTATAGATTTTGACATTTGATCATGCCCTCTTGTTTTCTGAGAGAAAAAAGAAAAAAGAAGAAAGATTTGGCTCCTCCTCCTGTTGCATAGGAACCCAAACCCAACGCACCAAAGGACAGAAAAAAAAAATTTGAAATATTACACCAGCTCAAGTGAAAAATCTAATTCATTTAAGCTTTTATATTTGTTCTTGTATCAGCATCTGTGTTTCTGTTGTGTGAACTCCACCTCAACTCCAAAGAAAACAAATAAAAAAAATTAGAGGGTGCATTTGCTAAAGCATGGTTTGGGAATCTCTTCATTATATATAACTTTTCAAACTGACTTCAAAAGCACCGGATTAACATACCAACATGAAATATCGTTTATCGAGCCTCCCTTGGTGTAAAAGGACTGTGACTTCATTAGCTGAAAATGCTTTAGAAGAAGGATTGACCTCGAGTTCATTGACATCCCTTTCACTATAAAAACCTGGCTTTTAAGGTTGAGGCAATGACCCTTCGATTTTGAAGGATAGCAAACATTATTCAGCAAACATTTCCAATTTTGAAGGATTCAGAAGGTGACAAATATTTTAATCTGATCTCGTAACAATTTGTGTCTAATAATGGCTAATATGCCGTTAGAGAAACAGGGATAGAGGTGTGCAAATCACTGTGCTGGTTGTAACATTTGGCTAATATGTACCTACAGGAACTATGAATATGTCTGTTTTCTCACTGTCCAGCATTCAGTTCCCTTTAGCATGGCTGGTCTAACAGATGTTCTATAAACTTAGCTTTCAATTCTAGCAAAATATGATGATCACACTATATATATGCTTAACAAAACCCTCCATTTTACCTATCGTGCTTTGATTCTATGAGCCACATAATCTCCATTCTCCCCTTGTATATATGGATGATTGAGTACATGCTAGATAGTGAAAGTTTTTGCTTTTTGATATACTCTTAGTGGTGCAATTGGTTGCTCTTATGTCTTCGTCAGAACCAAAGGCCCCTAGTGAAAGTGTTGAGACAGACTTGTTGTATCTACCCAGCTTTTTTGTTCAGAATATTTTGGATGTGTTATTAAAAGTGTGAAGATAGCATTTTATTCCTATGGTAAATGGATGCTATATGTGCAATGCTTATGATTTCTTATCTCAGTTGTAGGAGAAACAAAGACTTCCGTAGCTTCTGGAAATGAGCATATTGGGGAGAAGCAATTAACGGATGTCTTAGTTAATTGGTGAAACTTCTTATAAGAAGGAGTCCAAAATAGTAAAGGAACCACGCAGAGTTCAACAATGAGGCACCCATCACCTATTTCCAGTCCAGGCAAGGGATATGACTTACAAATTATTATTTTATTTATTTTGGAACTGCAGAATTGGTTATACTTTAAGTCTTCTTTTAAGTTTAATAAAATTGGTAATATATTTAGGTGTTATTTTTGGGTGTCCAATTCTTTCCTAACAAGTTAAGAGTATACATCTTCGCAACATTGAAATTGTAGCACAGTTGTGACTGTGGTTGGTAATTTTGTTGCCTTGTCATTTATTGAACCTACCTTCCTTCCTTTATGTGGTAACACTTGTGCTGTTGAACATAATCTTGCAGATAGTGAAGAAAGAGATCTCGTGAATATTTTTGCTAGTCTCAGTCTGAAGCCTTCGAATCTTCCTGCTCGAGATGCTCCTTGGAAGTGGGTAACTTCTCCTTTGAAGATGTGTATTCTATCATGATTTCAACAACTCATTTTGTGATTTGAATTAGAGTTAATATATTGTTTGGTATTAGAAGTTGATCAGAAAAATGTTGCTTGAGAATATGTGTGGTTTTTTTTTCAACTTAAATCTTCCTGTGGGATCGCTTTTGCATCCTATGTTGATGTTCTGAATGCACTGTTTTGTCATGGCTGCTGTTTTACATATTTACATATATCAAGTTAATTAGGTGCTCTCAAAATCTTCATTGATGTTTCTTTCTTTAGGGGAGGCTTCATCCTTGATGCAGCCACACCTGGAGAATTCATTGGTGGGTTAAAGACTACCATGTAATGCCAGGAACCAAGCCAAACAAAAAAAAAATTAGAAACTAAGAGAGAATGAGAGGGGAAATTGACTCTTTCCAACTAACCGGAACAAGACATTTTCATTAAAGACTACCAAATAGATTGATAGTGTTCTTATGGTCAACAAGGACAAGAATTCCAGGGCTGCTCACCTATTCAATTTTTAAGTTAAATTTGATCATATCGAACCAGTCAAGGAAGAAAATCCATAATCTTTCATTGGTTTTGCTGGAATATGAGTGTAAGGCCCGACTTGTTTACGTCAATTTTCTCTTGATCTTTATGTTATACTATGATATATCTGTGAATAAGGCTGAGTGTAATAGTTTACTTAAGCTTATTATAAACTTTTAGGTCCAAGATACTTTAATTTACGAAAGCGTAAGTAGGTGTGTGAGCAGGCCGACTCTCCGATATGTTTTGTGAGGCCAGCTAGGGCGCTAGGATTAGGGCTGGCCCATTAGATGACACATTTAGATATGAACTTTAGGGTTTAGCTCAGTTGGTTACAGAGAAAAAAAGCCCAAAAAGGAGAGAGAGAGAGAGAGAGAAGGGAAAAAGGGTTTTCTGGAGGCAGACTAATGGCTGGAGTTTAGAGAGGAGGGTTCCAGAAGGTAACAATAGCTTCTCCTTCTGAAATTTTGATATTGAGAAACTAGACATCCCCAGCTTTCCGTGAATATAAATATCTTCGAATTTGGACTAGTATACAATTTACGGGGATTTTTCAAATTTGGTCATGTGACGTTGATTTCAGTCTCCCAGTTATGAATTTGGTCAAATTTTGATATGAGGTGAAAAGTTAAGGCTATTATGACCTGATAAAATCTCCTGGTCATGGGACATTTAGTTATTTTATAACAGCTTTATGAAGTGGACTGGGTCAAGATCAGATGTTTTATTAGACTCTATTCAGGGACAGATTGGGAGTCTATAATGGGCTAGTATTCGACAATACAACTACTCAATATTTTTAAAATATGTAGATTAAGACCTGTGATTTATGATTAGGAAACGTGTATTAGAATATTTTAAACGTATAGCCGGTCGGCTATACTTTCTAAACACATTCGAATATTTTAAAAGTATAGCCGCGCGGCTATACTATTTAAATATATTCCAAACGAACACGAAGCTTGAACTCGCAGAGGACGGAGGTTGCAGTCGAAGTTTTGCTTCTCTATCAACTCAAGCTTCGATTTGTTTTCTTCGGTTTCGGTTGCTTCGTCCTCCGGGTTCAGCACCGAAAAAAGACCCAACCCGCCTAGGAGGCCCCCCCAGCCGCCTAGCCGCCTAGCGCCCGCCTAGCCGCAGAGGACGGAGGTTGCAGTCGAAGTTTCGCCTCTCTATCAACTCAAGCTTCGATTTGTTTTCTTCGGTTTCGGCTGCTTCGTCCTCCGGGTTCAGCACCGAAAAAAGACCCAATCCGCCGAGGAGGCCCCCCCAGCCGCCTAGCCGCCTAGCGCCCGCCTAGCCGCAGAGGACGGAGGTTGCAGTCGAAGTTTCGCCTCTCTATCAACTCAAGCTTCGATTTGTTTTCTTTGGTTTCGGCTGCTTCGTCCTCTGGGTTCAGCACCGAAAAAAGACCCAACCCACCTAGGAGGCCCCCCCAGCCGCCTAGCGCCCGCCTAGCCGCCCTGCCGCCCCGCCTAGGCCGATTTTTTAGAGTCTAAAGCACAAGATGCCGAGCATAGACTCGAAACGGTTGCCTCTCTGGCTCAAAAGGTCATGCACTGATGTACTCAATCAGCTCACTAAGCCACAGCAGGCACCCACTTCCTCCATCCCTGGTATCCAAGTTTGCAAAAGCCGTGCAGGAGCAGTTCTTCATGCACAACATCTCACATTCCTTGAGTAAGTTCCGTACTTCTATTAAACCCAGATACATCATTTGCAGAAGATCCATCATTTGCAGCATGTTTTGTTCACTCTTAAGGTTTGTTTCCCGTTTCAGCTTAAAATCTTCAGCTTTCAAGTATATGCTAAATTGAAAGCAAATATAAAATATTTTGTTGCATTTGTATGTCACAGAGAGACTCATTGGCTACTGATGAGAGGCTTCATGCTCTAGAAGAAGAGGGTCACATCTTTTTCAATTTAATTTTTGCAATTTTCAATTCAATGAAAAAGTAGCAGAAAGGGTTTGTTGGATTTGGAAATGGGCTTTGCAATGCTTTTTAGGTACGGCTTCTGTGGGCTGCATCAAGAAAGTACAACTTCGATCTTCATGTTTTAGAGTCTAAAGCATCAAGAAAGTATTCTATCATGATTTCAACAACTCATGTTGTGATTTGAATTAGAGTTCATATATTGTTTGGTATTAGAAGTTGATCAGAAAAATGTTGCTTGAGAATATGTGTGGTTTTTTTTTCTTTCAACTTAAATCTTCCAGTGGGATCGCTTTTGCATCCTATGTTGATGTTCTGAATGCACTGTTTTGTCATGGCTGCTGTTTTACATATTTACATATATCAAGTTAATTAAGTGCTCTCAAAAGCTTCATTGATGTTTCTTTCTTTAGGGGAGGCTTCATCCTTGATGCATCCACACCTGGAGAATTCATTGGTGGGTTAAAGACTACCATGTAATGCCAGGAACCAAGCCAAACAAAAAAAAAATTAGAAACTCAGAGAGAAAGAGAGGGGAAATTGACTCTTTCCAACTAACAGGAACAAGACATTTTCATTAAAGTGGTTGCAACATAGTAAGCATATATCACAAAAGAACCAATATACATACATAGTATACTTGATTTGCTTATGAACTTAGTTCTTGATTGACTAGTTTGTAGTGGTTACATGTCCTCAGAATACAAAATTGATGGGTTCTACTCGCTAAAATCCGATGTCTATAGTTTTGGTGGGTGGATGCTAGAGATAGTGAGTGGGAAGGGAAGAGAAACATAGGATTTACTCATTGCCTTTTTTTCGTTTCTTCTTTTAAGTAAGCACAATGATTTTGAACTTTTGATAAATTCTTTTAGTCATGGATGCTATACACAGAAGTGGGGCCTACAAGGGGTGTCCCTCAAATAAGCTTATTTGAGGGATCCCTCAATGGAAGCTCTCTGTATATATATATATATATATATATATATATATATATATATCCTCTCTCTTAATTTGCAATACAAGTGTCAAACGGGTCGGGTATATAAAGGATAAATTAATCTCCACATTAACTTAGCAGATAACATTTCATTACAACATAATGAACTAGTTAATCAAGCACCATAGTTTTCTTAAATTTTGTTGTCAATAATATAAGTTCAAATTAATTGCAAATAGGACAAAATCCTACCCATGCCTATATATCCTCTCTCTTAATCTGCTAGAGGTGTTAAATGGGTCAGGTCGGGCCGAGCCGGGCTCATTTAAATTTGTGCATTTAAGGTATTTGTGTCATGCTAGGCTAGCCATTTAATTTACCGGGTCGTGCCGTGCTGGCCTATTTGGTAAAATCATTGATTCCAGCATGGTCCAAAGCCTAAGTCCACATTTAAACGTGATGGGCTCGTGCCGTGCTGGCCTGGGCCCACTTCAAGCAACTTAAAACACCCAACATTAGGGGTGGCATTTTAGACCCAAAAACCGAAAAACCGCAAAAACCAACCTACAATTTACCGCAATGGAATCATAATCGCGGGAAACCGAACCGCATTTGCAGTATGAAAAACCGAACCACATTTGCGGTTGCAGTTATGGTATGTGGTTTTCAAAACTTGCGGTTATTGCAAACTACGACTATATATATATTTTTTTAAAATTGCATTTTGTAGATAGCATTGGTGTTCAAACAACACAACGGAGTCCTTCAAATCCACTCACCACCACCAACACTTGAGTTTGTAACTTTAATTTGTAACATTTGTGCATTGCATTTTCCTTTTAGTTTGTAACTTTAACTAACTTTGAATTGGATTTTTCCTTTGGGTTGTAACTTTAATTCATTTTGCATTGCATTTTTCTTTTGGTTTGTAACTTTAAAGGATTTGGAATTGGAATGCTTGAGAAGTTGAGGTTGTGAATGCTTGAGAAGTTTAACTTTAATTCCATCTACTTCTTTATTGATGATTGGGAGGGCGTTGCTTATGATGAAGCTCAAGGGCCTTTTGACATGGCAGTCTTCAATTTGGAAAACTGAAAATTTGGAACAAATTGGTACTGCTTTAGTCATTCACAGAAGTTCATGCCAGCATCGATTTGGATTTTTCCCATAAAACTATGTCACCTTAACCCATGTGACCAAAACTAAGAGAAAATTGTAACAGCCCTGACGGATGGGGGCACATTGACACGTTTTGAAAGATCAGTGAGCAAAGTGAAACAAAGTCGGCACTCTTGATAAAATAAAATAAAAGTCTATAGTTATAGGGGCATTGCTAAAATTTACTGTTAATAATTTATTTTATGTTCTAAGTCGGCTTATTCTGAAACTCTTTTTCATCAAGAATTTGACCATATTGAACCATACAAGGAGGTAAAAAACATAGTCGTTCATAGGTTTTGCTGGAATGGGGGAATATTCCACTTTGTAACCAACGAGGATAATTAATCCAACAATGCTCATGGCCTAAGAAAAGCCTCCCCCCATTCCTTATAAATTGTCCATGAACTACAACCCACGCCAGGCCTAAAAAAGTCACATCTAGCACACTATGGAAGAGGCCTCAGCTCTAGCTTCAGGCTGGGCATGCCTTCCAAGCGACCTTCTGGATTCAATGCTAGAGAAGTTGGTACCTGTGTCGGACTATATCGTGTTTAGTGCCGTTTGCAAGCATTGGAGATCGATAGCTTTACATAACAGGAAGAAACGCCTTGAATCATGCCACAGGCAGCTTCCTATGCTGATGGTACCCAGCAAAGACAAAAACGACGAAATGCGTGGCTTGTATAGTGTCACACAAGGTAAGACTTGCACCTTTGAGTTGCATGTGCCTTACAATAAGAGGTGTTGTGGTTCTTCTCATCGTTTGTTGGCTTATGCGGATGACAAATCGGTAATAACACTCTTAAATCCTTTCACTGGATGTGCCATTCGCCTACCGCAGGTCACGAAAGTCCCACGGTTGTTTATTAGACCTGAAGGTACATTAGGAAGGTTGTATTGTCTGCTGACCCTTATTTGTTTCCAAATGATTATGAAGCTCTGGTAATCTACGATCATTCTAAAAATAGCACATCTTAAGTTAAGGGATGTTTCAACCAAAAAACAAAAGAAAAAGTCAGGGAAAAAAAAAGGTCGGGGGATGATGGTTGGACTCACGTAGCCACAGATAGTAGGAGCCAATTCTCTGATGTAATTCATTATAAAGGCCAGTTTCTAGTTGTTAGCTATGGCGCGCAACTACTGAACCTTATATAAACAAAGTGGTAAAACAGGCTCCTCTATTTGGACTTTGGACCTTACCCTGTCGAATCGTCCCGTGGAGAGCTATTGCTCATTATGAAGTTTGAAGGATATGATTTTCATCTTAGGATGACCGTGAGCTTTAAGGTTTTCAAACTGCTATGTGCTGGTGGGGATAGACCGGAATTTGTTGAGGAGATTGAGAGTATTGGCAGTGATGCTTTGTTTTTGGGTGAAGTTGAGTCCATGCGTGTGTCCGCATTAGACTTCCTGGGGTGTCAACCAAATTGCATATACTTCAGTACATCATATTGGGGAATAGCTGAAGGGCCTCTTGACATGGCTGCTTTCAACTTGGCACCCAGAAGAATGGAAACCCATTATTTCTCCTCCAGTCGTTCAACCAAGAGGATGCCATCATCAGTCTGGATTTTGCCAACCGTGGTGTTAAAGCCTCGAAGCTGAGGCATCAGACGTTAAACACAACTGCTACAGAAAATGTGATTCAAATTTATATAAAAATATGTATTCCCATTACAATTGACTTTAAAGAAAATATGTTTCATATTATTCCTACTTCAACTTGTAGCACTTCATCTCATTCTCAGCAATGAACATTTAACAAATCCCACATCTACCACAACATCAAAGGACAGACCAAACAGGAGAACGACAAAACTGATCATTCATTATCCAGATAGAAACAACAATCCCAATAAATTGATTCCTCATGAGGAAGAAACCCGGTGTAAGAGACGGAATAAATGTGGAAAGCTGAATTTGCACTTTTGACTACCCCTGTTACATTCTATGCACAAGCAACCCATTTTGTGAGGAGTGCCTGCTGCCATTGGCCTGGATCAATCAATGTGCATCTTCTTCTTCACAAAACTTGGTGTACTTTTCTGAGTCCATCAACTTTTTCACTTCACCGCTATCACTTATCTCAACTTTAATTATCCATCCATCCTCATATGGGCTTGAGTTGACCTAGTTCAGAAAAATGGATCAAACATGGTACAGGGAAAACATAAGGGGGTGTGGAATCTTTGATGTGTCTAATGAATTGATGTTCATAGAGGATGCATAATCCAACAAATTATGCAAAACTTCAGCAGCTGAAAGGAATTCCAAAAGCTGAAAGACTTTTGATGGCTTGGGATAACGCTTGAAGAGATAATTACAAATTTCACAAAGGACCACAAACTTCAATTTAAGCCAACCTAATAGTTTATCCAAACATTGATTGTGTCAAAAATATTGGGGGGTGGTTGAGCTTAAATTGGACATAATAATTTAATGACATTTTAACCATTAAAAGAAGAGATGAGTGTTTAACCATAAACAAGATACCTTGTTTAGTCTTTCAATAGATTACCAAGTTGTCTTTTCATCAAAAAATGGGGCATCAACAATAACTAAAATGTTAGTTCTTAATTATGTTTCACTTATGCTACCATCTCCACAACTCTTAAATTACAAAAACTATACGTTCTCCACACTATTCAAATTCAGTCACACAAGTATTTATCAGCTAACCCCGCTAATACCAAAAAAGTTATGACTAATTATGAGATGGGAATTACTGACTTGAACAGAGAGAGAGATAGAGGTTCCATCTGTATGCAGCTATAACCAAGTCTAAGAGAAAATGCCACATGGAAGTCTACCACACATAAAATCTTCCCATAATTCTTTAGAAAATTTTGAGTTGGTAATGGTATCATCATGTAACTGAAGGAAACACTGCCTCACTGTTAAGCACATAACTCTAGACAACTTATAAATTGCAGCACTTATTCTTAGGATCTTACTAAAAATAATGAACAGGACATTAAGCCACTACATATTTAATACAAAACTAATTTCAGGATGTCTTTGACTACATAATTGAAAAATTATTTCAACTTTAAATGACTCATGACATCAACAATAACCATTCTCAATTTTTTTCTACTTTGTTTGGCCTGATATAAAGTAAGTCTTAGTTAAACAAAGACAAATAGCGAATTGTCTTTGTAATTCAGATATAAGGATACCAACGACAAAAGTAGGCAAAAAGCGCAGAAACACATCCAGCCGGCCTGTCTTTATGCAAGTATCATAACAATCCTAAAAATAACATAAGCCAAGGGTACCTACCAAACCAGGGGAGTTGCCAAGCTCTTCATTGACTTCAATGACTTTTCCTGACACAGGAGAGTAAACATCACTTGTTGCCTTGACACTTTCAACCGCTCCAAAACCTTCACCCTGCTTCACTGCAGCCCCCACTTCAGGCAACTCAACATAAACAACATCACCTAAATGATCTTGAGCATGATCAGTTATTCCAACAGTTGCAGAGTTTCCATCGACTTTAACCCACTCATGAGAATCGGCATACTTAAGATCCTTCACAACTGCAAGTAAATGGAAATGAAAAAGATGAACCACCAGGAAGCTATGAATGTAACAAAATAAAAATTCACCAGTTCTGATAATATAATACCATCTATCAATACAATAATAACAACTTCCTTCTGAGTTTGCGAACAGAACAATATTTCAAATTAGGTTCATATCTCATCAGATAATATTACTGGCCAAAACACTTTACAATACACTGCGTAAATAATAATCCCAAAGTTATACCATCTTAGATATTATTTGGCTTGGTTAAACAATTATAAGTCCATATCGAGACTTCATGTTCATGACACCCACTCTGAACTTTTTTTAATTGCAAAAGAAGAGACAGACAAGAAATCCCATTTTTTTCATTCACAATGCACAGATATATTTATCTAGAGGCGACCTTGTAACTAGAACAAATGAAAATAAAAGCCTTGAACATGCATCTGTCAAAAACTAATGACAGTCACTCACAGCTGAAACTAAATTCTAGCCAAAGAGCAATAAATATGCGATCATAATGCACTGATTATTATACCTCACTGACATCAAATTTTGCAAAAGATGCAAAAAAACCCATTAATCTCTGGAAGTTTAAATCCACAACCACATCATATCAAACCATTTGGCAAAAAGACGCACAACCCGTCAGGAAAAATCAGATCTTTAGTTGCAAAAGTAATAGATCAATCATTTTAACAAACCCAGAAATGAGATCCACATCTTCACCAATACCAAAACCAATGTCAGAAAAATCAACTTCTTATCAATCTAAGCATTGAATATAAAAATTACTAACAGACCACGTTCAAAAGTATTCATCTTTGCAGAGGATCATTGGGGAACACATAAAGCAAATCAATAAAAGAAAAGTGATCCAGGAAAATAGGGAAGCGGTAGGTTTGTATTAGCTTACCAGAAGCAAACCCTCTGTGGGTCACTTGGATTCTGAGGTAGGAAGCAGCCCTTGAAGCCCACAGCAACCTTGAAGCCATTTGTGAATCCAACAGCACTACCACTCTGTTCCTCTCTTTATATATAAACTACACTCGTTCTCTTTTCTCTTTTATATAGTGGGGTTGGTGGGTGTGGTTTTCTATTTGTTTCCACTTTCCCTATAATTAATTAGTCTAATTGGAAATAAATGGAAAATATTGAACGAATATTTTGAGAAAATTTCTAGAAATTTAAAAAAGAAAAAGAAAAAGTTTGATATGAAGATACGAGTTGGTGTGTCAATTTGTCAACAAACCCAATAAGGCCGAAGTTGGTGAGTGTCACTGTGGCAGAGTGATATTGTCGACTTATTATTTAAAGGACACGGCACATGTTAATGGAACTTCCATAAAACCATGGTCTATATGACACAAGTGGACATAATTTATAAATCTATTTTCATTTTATGCCACTTGTGATTTTTTTTTGCTTTTCCTTCCTCCCCAATGTTGAACTTTTTTGTTACTTCATTGGTACTGATTAGTCTAAAACATCTGTAAGACTACCACTCACCACTTCATTCTGTGAAATCTTTTGTCGAATGATTTATCAATTCCTTGTTTTATCTTCAAATGCAGTTCAAATTTGTTACATACTCTCAGGTGAACTCAAAATGTCTTTCTGCTGTTAGAAGATGGCTTCAGTCGAAGAAAACAATGATCAGTGACTGCATCATCGTTGTCCTGACCGAATCGACTTCCAAATTGGTTAAGGGAATTGACAATCTAATAACATAACATTATTTCGTGTACCTTCTTATCTAATTTTACTTGTGGGCGTGTAAAAGCTCAGGCAAACATTGCATAGACAATCATAAAGTGCTTATCCTCCAGTGGTTCCAAACATGGAGCTACCTTTAGTAACGTAGAGATATGAAGCTTGAGCATCCCTTATGGATAATGCTTTGTGATAATCCTGATGAAGAGATGGATGTTAACAGCATCCGTTATCCGATCCTGTTGTCTACAGCTGCAACCATTGTAGTTTTTTTCTTTCACAAGTTGTGTGCTGGGTTTACCTACAGAGATAGGGCACCCCCTTCACCTAAAACACCTTCTGACTTTTCTGAACCTACTTCGGTGGCTTCTGTATTCACAATGCATGCGGTGATGCTTTTTTGTTTCATTGTAGTATATGCCTAGTTTTTGACCTTCACATCCATTGTGCCTTTTTTATCCAGCACAAGCAGCCCTACCTTTAGCTTTCATTTGAAATAAAGGGTTAAAATACCTTCACCTACCACGGAAGGTAAAACACTTAAGTCACTTGCATCCGCATTCCCTTCTGTGTGAATTTGTAGAGGATGAGGCATCAAAAGAATCAGTTTGTGATGTTTGTGAGAAAGAAAGAAAACCTAAGAGGGAGGGGTTCACTTGAAAATCTGGATCATTTCACTACAAGTTCCAATACTTCAGATAAATTTGGATCCTCCTCTGTTAGAACTTAGCAACTTGCAAATCAAGGGCATAATGCAAGACGGCCATTCAACTCCTAATATGAAAAAGATGACAAACTTTTTACAATTTAATATAACTATACACGGATGACCATAACGTAATCCAGAATATTTGTCCTGAATAAATTCAAGTGGGGAAACTCGTTTGCTGCATATATATAGAATATCTATCTTTATGATCAATATTAACAAAATCCATCTATCAGATAGGTAAAACAGTCCCGATATCCTTGTGCATTGTTCTAATAACAGTACTAACCTGCTCGGTTTGATCTTCACTTGAACATGCTCCAAGAAGTACTTTGGCAGTTCCACCATCTGGGTAGCAACCAGCATCAATCATTTCTTCAAAAATTTCCAAGCATCTTTTGTATAGTTTCTTTCTAGAGTATGCTCCAAGACGAGAAGTCCAAGTCACAACATCAGGTTTTAAGTTTTTGGTTGGAAGTGATTGAAAGAGCTCTTCCATCTTCTCGAAAAACCCTGCCCGTCCATATATGTTAATCAAGATGTTGTATGTACTGATATCAGCTGCATATGGTCCTTTTTCCATTGCAGTCAAAACTTCCTCCATCTTTTCTAACTGACCTAACCGGCCATACAGGTTTAACATACTGTTAATGACAAAGGTGTCTAGCTCCAGCCCAGACTTTCGCATCTGGTTCACAATGTCCTCACATTTTGCTACATTGCCAGCTTTGGAGTAGGCAGATAAAAGCAGCATATGGGATTTCACTGTTGGGGTTATTCCTAATCGCTTCATCTCTTCAAATGCAACTTCTGCATCTGAAATGCATACAGAGAACAGTTAACATAAATGAAGATGGTTAGAATTTAGAATGCTGCAATGGTTATAGAATTATGCATGGAATGAGAAATACAATTGAAGACAATGATGATAAAATTATTTCTGTCATAAGAACATAATAGCACTGAACAGAACATACTTATCCATAATAGTTTCATTTGCAATCACAAAGGTGCCTTGACGTCTGAATGTTAATATTTACCTTCATGAAGACCAGCTCTCCCATATGCATCTACCATGATATTATATGAAGCTCTATCGGGTTCACATCCCATGTGCTGCATGAGAGAGAAAATTTCTGCAGCCCCATAAGGAAACCCTGCACGACTGTAGGGAGAAAAATCATATAGAAGTTTGGGTGTATATTGAAGCAACTTGGACAGATATTTACTTTTAAAAGATCTTATACTTGTTTATAGTTACTTATCAGGGAGCTTCTGTTATGAAATGATTACATATTCGTGGAACATTAAACCACAAAATTCAGCAGATATTGACCTGTAAGCTTCCATAAGGGCATTATAAGAGTACACATCAGGCTCATGTCCTGCTTTTTGCATCTGCTCAAATATTTCTTCTGCTTTCTCACAAAGTCCTTCCCTAGCAAATGCATTTACCAAAGCAGTATACGTGCATATATTGGGTTACATTTCTGACTTCTCATTTCGTGAAACAGCTTTAAAGCCATGTAGGATTTTCTTTCCTGCTCAGATCTTAAATTTGTTTGTTAGTAATCTGAAGCAGTGGAACTATATCAGCAGACGATCATTAGAAAAGCAGAGGACTTGAAGCTTGCAGAAAGTACTAAAATGCAATACGGCTCACCTTTCCATATAAATTGATTAACGTTGTATATGTGTCAGTAGACGGTTGGCATTGATCTCTTTTCATCCTCTGAAAGATCTCTAGTGCTTTTTGAGGGTTTCCTCCTTTTATTAACCCATTAATATAAGCATCGAACACAATTGCACCTGAGTAAAATTAGGATCTTTCTGCATGAATTCACATTACTTAGTTTGAAGGAAATGCGTTCAGTCATATCTGATAAACTAACAAGCTGGGGCCAAGGTTTTTGAATTTTGAGATTCAAACAAGATTTACTAAGCAACATTGAAAAGATTTCACAGCAGAAGCAGCTATTAGAAGCTAAAAGAACGTTTATATACATGATTACGATGATAATGATCCACAATATTCATTATTTGATTTCTCAAGCTCCTTAGATTAACTTTTTCCCTTCATTATAAGCAGCTAGAAATTGGAACAGACACATACTTGGAGGAAGACCATACTTTCTCATTTCACCAAAGACTGCTTCAGCCTTATCTAGCAATCCAGACTTGCAGTAGGCCTTCAGAAGAAGGGCATAAGTGTCTTCAGTGGGGATGCATCGAGCTTCAAGAAGTTCTAAATATGTTGATTCTGCCGCTTTATGTTGCGATTTCTGCCCATAAGCATCTAGCAGCAAATTGTAGCAGATGACATCTGGCTTGAAGGAGCTTTTGTACAATATCCACTCACATATCTGGACAGATGATTACAACATTACACTCAGAAATTTCAAGTTTATCAAAATATCACAAACTTTTGATCGTTCTAAATATGACAAATTGCAAGTGCAATATTATACAGTAATCAAATTCAACACGATGGGGAATACTAATTTCTCACCAAGATAATGGAGCCCCACTGTTTATTGAGACGAAGTTGAACAGCGACATTAATGATATCGTCCCATATGGTATGAGAAGCTGGAAGTGTATCAAGAATTTCCCAAATACTGCTTTTATCAACTTCCTTCTGTACAAAGTCCAGAATCTGCTGACCAGTGGGGCTCATCACTGGGAAAACTCCATCAACAAACCCGGATCCATATTTCCATCCTCGCCCCCTTAGAGAACCACCTAGACAAAGAAGATGGTCTGCATTTTTGAACATGTGTGTATGCAATAACATCATAGCTAAGACAACAAAATGAGTACAATGTTCTCATTACATCGTTTCCTAGACATTTTCTTGTTGTTGAAGCTTCTGAATTTTCCACGTTTGTCAATATACAGGCCATCACGCTTGCTCTTCTCGACAGCTCCACCACCATTGGAACTCTTGGTTTTCCATCTGAAATTACTCTTACCATATATTCTTGGCCCAATGAAAATATAACTGATGGCACATTCAACAATCAACCTATTTAGTTACCAAATGAAATTTCCATTAGAGAAAAGGATGGTAATTGATGCACAAACTAAACTGAAAAATGTAAGTTACAGTCAGACAGTGAATGAAGAGAGAAGAAGCTTACATGAATGGTTGGAGGTGGAGGAGGAGCTTCCAGTTTGGTATTTTTGTGAGCTTTCAGTTTGCAAGAAAGAAGATAGTGTTGATAACATGCAGGACGGGTGAGGACAAAACAGATAAATTTCAAAATATCTCACACCTTTTATATGGACAACACATTTTCTTTGTCTTTTCATTCTTATTTACCCACCCAGATTCACTGAAAATTTTACCCTATTGCAAATAATAATAATAAAACGGTAATTTAGGAAAGGAATTGGATCCTTATAAATACCAATGTTATTCAAAGAGATTCAATGAAAATTTTACCCTATCGCAAAACACTGCTACATACAACAAAAACTTCCCCTGTTCCATCACCAACAACCAGACGTTGGCCCCAGGGAGTGTTTGGAGAATTGAAAAAAGTTTTTGTTTTCCGCTGGTACCAACGTCTGGCTGTTGGTGATATAACAGGGGAAGTCCTTAATGTATTGGTGTTGGAAGACTTCTAGGAGTGCAAATGGAGTAAAAACTTGATCAGAGTTCCCTTGAAATTTTTAAAGGACAATCCAAGTTTGAAGGATAAAATTCAGCCTGTCAGAGCTGAATTAGGTCTACTTATGTTGCATTGGGGGGGGGACGAGACTTCTTAAATATGATATGAAAAGAAGGATACTGTGGAAGATCACAAATAGAGAGCCCTGGAGGCTGGAAGAAACTCTTTTATCCACATCCACCCAGCCTTGTGACTTTTAATGAAATGAGATTGAAAAGGGTTCAAGCTATATAACCAGGAATGGGGATTAGAGTAAATTATAATGGCACTCACTTACATGATGGGTTATTGTTTACTAGGTTTTTATTTATTTATTTGACTTTCATCCTCTTTCAATCTTGATGCTCTGTAACTTTCAACCTTTGATTGACCCTATAACTTTCCGCTTGAGCTCTTTGAATCTTTATGCTCAGTAACTTTCAAGTCTCTTGCTAGCAGTAGATTTTCTGTTTGAGGTGGAATAGGAACAGAAGATATAGCAAACATTGTAGCCAATGACATAATTTCTGAGTCCTCCTTAAGGTCCAGCCAGAGCCAACCTTCTAATTCCCAACTGCAATAAAATGATTGATATACTTTCCAACGTACTTCTTTCAAGGGTTTTGTTTAGCACATGATTGCCATAATAAAGGCCATTTTTAAGTAGTTCATTCCCAACTATCAGCTATTGGTAATGTCAATGAACTGATGAAGCCTACATTACATTCATCTAATGGCAAGCCAATCCTGGAAATTCCACTTCAAATTCATGCAGTGGGGAATTGATAGATATAATGAGTCTAGGAATTTCGGGTCCGCTGTAAATGTCTTAATGAAGTTCAAAGCTATTTTGATAATTTGTGTCAGAATTGTAAGAAAGGTAAGGCTACAAACAAATACAAATGAAATTATGGCACTATGCTGCTTCTGCCCCAAAAGTTTGTGATTTGGTTCCTAAAGACTCACAGCATAGCATCCCATACCAAATCATTTTTGCTGAATATGCAACCATCTCACAACATAAACTGGATTGATTAATTTTTTGGTTTTTCAAATTGTCCGCAGTAACAGGCACACTACTCCACTTCAGCCAAATAATCTTCAATCTCTGCTGGGGTTAGCACTCTGCAGAAAAGTGAGCATAAAAAGATAATTCAGCCACAAAATACTGGAATAGTTTCAAAATCAGAAATTCATCAAGCAAGGATATTAACTTATAATGAGCAAAGCATTTATTGCCAAAGTAGGAAGTAAAGATGGAGCTTGCCTGAATTTTTTGTCTGTGCCAATTATCCCAATCTCAATATTTTTTCCTGAGATTTGTCCTTCAAATCTGCATCAAATATGAAGCAACTAATCAGACTGCTGACAGAAATACAGAACTTGAAAGTAATAACTGAACGGATTGTTGACTGGCTGGCCAGGAAGCAAGATGAAACTTGCATCACTGAAACAATCATTGATTGACTGAAGGTGAACTCCACACAGCATTTGCCCGAGCAGTAACAAATACTTTATAATGAAGCACAATAACAATTTTCTTTTTCAAGTTTCTTCCCCTTTCTGACTCCTACATATTATGCATTTATAAAAAAAGGTTATGTATATATACCCCTCCTTCAGAGTCAAAATAGCCGTGTGCACAGCATCATCAAGTTCCATATCATCAGTATACCTGAATTATAAAATATAAAAAAATAAGATACACTTCACCTTTGAGAACAATAAACAAAGTGAGACAGAAATTTGAATCGTAAGTATCAAACAAAAATAATTGAGAAATGCCAAATGATACAAGTGCTAAACTATAGAAATCATAAGACAGAAAAGGACATCCAAGAAAGGGTATCGTGTTAAGTTTCTATTTGAACATATATAAATCATGATTGCTTAAAGGCTTGATGTTACATGAGGTTTATGACAACCAGAGAAAATGCCATTGTTATCTACATTTCTATAGTTAGCAGGGTACCTATTGGTTATCAAACCAGCGATGTCAAATACATAAAACATTATGGCAAGCCAAACTGAGAGCATGTGTGGAAGAATAAGAAATTCTCAGATTAGGCAGAGAACAGACCACCTAATAGTATACCCAAAGCCCACCTAAATTCTTTTATGAAAAGAGTATACAATGCATGAAGGAAGAGATGTCACTTTAGTCGGCTTAAAATGGACAAAATGTCCAAAACCATGTCTTAGTACCTCTTCTCAAGAAATGTTTTTGCATTTGAGACATTCTTCCCCATTGCAGAGGCTTTCCACGAGAAATATGAACCTGAAGGATCAACCTACAGAGAAATAAATTTAAAAATATCAATATTTGCATAATCAGCTTTCATATTATTGTCAACAAAGGGCAGAATACAATTTTTTAAATATTACTAACGCCGGACAGGAATTTTCTTCTCTCCCACCAACTAGAATAGAGTTATGATTAAAACAAACAGAAGTTGTCTGGAAATGATTCAAGAAACCAAAAAAAGTTTGGAAAATATATTTATCTGCCAAATGATGCAATCCATTCAACTGGATTCATATTCAGCTAGTCTTCTTAGGAGGAAAGTTCAAAATGTGCATGTCCTAAAGGCAAAGCACTGAAGTATAAATTTTCCAGGCAGATAAAAGAGTTTCAGTACGCCAACCAAATTCAGGAGTGCAACCTACTGTATGGAGAGCTGGAAATTATTTGAATGAAGCTGAAGCAAGATTACTACTGGTCAACTTACCATGTTAAAGATTACAGAGTGCAAAAAACTTTTGTTTAACAAACTTTAACACAACCAAATATTGGGCAGAAGCAAGTTCAGAAGCCAAATATGCTTTAAAAATTTGGTCCAAACTCTGTTTAAATTAATGTTCTTTCCTTAAAAGGCATCATCTCTTGCAACCGGAAACAACAAATAGAGAAATGATCCATAAAAATATTTAATAAAACATTGGAGAATGGAAATACCTGGTATAGTTGGGGACCACTGTCATCAAACCCAGCAACCAGCAGAGATACCCCAAAAGGCCTTACACCACTACAAAGAAAAGAGGAGAAAAATACTTCAGTAAATTTAAAAAGCATCGATTAGAGGCCATTGGTTTCATATATGGATCATAGTCTCAATGTGACGAAACATGGGCCAAGAACTAGTGTATTTGTTTCAGTCCAAAAAGGGAACCACATTTTATATTAACATGGACAGAGTGATAGTTACCCAGATTGAGTGAACTCCTGCATAACAGCCGCAGTTTCCCTCACAAGTTGAGTAACAGGGATTGGTTCCTACAAACATGATAGTTTTATACAAGTTAAGACCTTCACAATATACAAGCACATCTTATTATTATAGTTTGCAAGAACTTGACAAAAATATGATGAAACTTTGTCACATCACATCTCACAAAATTATAATCAAATAAGGAGAGAAGAAAAACTCAGTACCTTATATAATCTGTGATATTGTTCTGCCTGCTTCCTGCTTTTTCGAACCAAGACTCGAAAATCAGGACCCATACCACTGCAGGAGAGAAACTAATGGTAAGAAGACTTGCACGCTGAATGAAGATAAAATAATAGATTTATCTACAAGTAACTCAGTACTATGAAAATAATGGGCTTCAGTACAGGAATCACACAAAAACAAACCTGTAAACAACTCCAATATTTGGTGTCAAACTCTGTATCTTTTTAACCTGACCAAAGAAAATACATACCATCAGAAACCAACATCTTAGAAGGGGGATAAATTAACCATTCAAATCATTCCATAAACATGAGAAACAGTCCTATTTAGAAAATATGGTGTTCAGAACATAGATATGGTGTGAAGCACTTAAATCTTGTAGGTCCAAAAGTTAGTTAATGCTAAAAGTGATACAAACTCATATCATCATGACTCATTACAAATCCAAGTCTCCAGAAGCTATGCCACTAGGCTCTGACACATAGTCTCCATTTAACTCAAGCAGATAGAAATTGTAATATAAGATAATATCAAACTAGTGAAATTTAAATAGGGAACATCACAAGTGATCAAGAGGACTTACAGATGCTTCATCAACCAAGATTGAAGGTAGCTTCTTCTCAGTTGCAATAACAACCCCATTAGCAGCTGCAGTAACCATGTAAACACGCACACAATTATACAGACAGCCATGTCTATGTCTGATATAGACAGCCCAACTTTTAAATTTTCCTTTCATATCACATCAGCAGGTTAAATTCCCACCAAATATTTTCTTAGTAGTTCGTTCTAAATATATCTGTATACATTTGGTCCGTAACAAAAGTTCCAATGTTTATCATTAAAAATGTCAAATCAAAGATCTAGTTTATCCAAATTGTACCATTATCTCACTTCAACATTGCATCTGAAAATTTCTGATTAGGTTCTATCCAAATATCAGATCATGCATTTGGGCCTAAAGTATAACCTGAATTAATTTATCTTAAAATTTTCAGCTCAATCCAATATATAGTTCAAATAAATTAAAAAACCTAGCTTTTCATCCAGATGCCAGATTCTACCAATATTTCAATAATCTTCTGACTGATTCAGCAAATCAATTAGATTACAAGCACCACTTAGAACAAGCACAAAGAACACTAGCAGGACTAATCACTAAGAACACTAGAAGGACTAATCACTCAATGGGTAAGCTTAAAATAAAGCAGACAAAGCACTATGACCATTACCTTTGATCCCCAGAGAGGTTTGGCCCGACCCAACTGCTGTCAAAGCGTGCTCGATCTGCACTAGCTTCCCTGAAGGGCTACTCAGCATATGCCGCAAATAAATCAAAAAGTACAAATACCCAACTAAATTTCTACACCAACGCGCGCGCACACATATATATGATGAACCTGGAAATGTGAAGAATAACGATAGAGCGGGAGAGTTACCTGAAAGTGGTGAGAGAAAACGAGTACTGACTGTCTCCCATTGCGTGCTATAGAGAGAAAGACTCAAGCTTTTTTCTGTGTTTCTGAAAAACGGAGAGAGATTTGACGGAAGTTTTGGCAAAAGAACATAAAAGGGGTCTGAAGACTGAGCTTTACTTGTTGGAGAAGAAGGTTTTAGTTTGGTTCATGTTGGGTGGGCTTTCAAATTATTAGGCCGAGAAATTTCAATGAACCTTTATGAGTTTCAGCTTCGTATTCAACTTTGCATGGGTTTGGCCCAAAACAAAGTTGACCCGACCCGACTCTGTTTAGAGGTTTTTTCTTTTTCTTTTTCTTTTTTGAAGGAGAGGAAGAAAAAGGAAAAACCCTTCTTCTCCAACACGAAAGCATATCATAAATCACCATCTCTCTGCAGAAGGAGCTCTCATCGCAGTGAAGCAAATCACATACTAATTCGGTAACTCTCTCTTTCTCTCTCTCTCTCTCTATCTACATTAACACATGATTAGTTCCTTCTATCTTTACTGAATGGTCACTGAAATTTGATAGAGAACTGAGTTTCTCTCTGAAGATTTCTTACAGTGTTCTGTTTGGGTCGCACGAAATTTCAATTTTGTTTCATAGTATTTGTTTTCTCCCGATCTTTTTCAGTATAGAAGGTACTCGGGTAAAAGTCCTTTCGTTGTTTTACGAGCCAGAGACAGATCTGTCCTTATTCACTTCTTGTTTATTTGTGTTGATTCAGATCAATCTCAAAGTTCCAATCAAACCAAGATGTTTCTCACAAGGTGAATTTCATTTCTGAGGAGTTTTCTTAAGTAAATTATATGTCTTAATTATATGCATACACATATTCTTTTTTTACTTCTTTCCTTGTTGATTATTTTTTGGGTATGTGTGTGTTGTGAAGGACTGAGTATGACAGAGGAGTAAACACCTTCTCCCCTGAAGGCAGGTTGTTTCAGGTTGAGTATGCCATTGAGGCCATCAAGGTACGACCTTATTATATCCCACTTTCACTCTCTTTCAGATTCTTAAAAAAATGAAAGAAAAAAAAAGGCCTCATTTTGCATAAAATGTAGGATTAAGCAGAGTGTCAGTGACACAAAAATAGCTATTGTTTTAACACATTTTCTCTATATAATTACTGGATATTGAAAGTTGGGTTTTGATGAATTACAGTTGGGTTCGACTGCTATTGGGTTAAAGACAAAAGAGGGTGTTGTGCTTGCTGTGGAAAAACGTATCACTTCGCCTTTACTGGTATGCAAATTTACTCCTTATATGAATTCTTTGTACTTACCTTTTTTTATAGTTAATACTGTTATAGCTACAAGTTTAAGCCAAAGCTGTTAGAGGCCCTTTGTCCTAGAACACATGGCACCCTTTTTGTGTATCCTGTTGTTTAAGAATCTTGCTTAAGTTAGGAGCAATAAAGCCTCTGACAGTTCATATTTTATCTCATTTTCAAATTGTATTGGGTCAATCAATTTTTATTTTCCAAATTCTACCTTTTCTTTATCCAGCTCTATCTTGTTTCCATGGATAATATGTTCATGTTTCAAATTTAGACATTTTCTGTTTCACTGATGAATGATACTCTATACTTTTCACCTTCAGGAACCCAGCAGTGTGGAGAAAATAATGGAAATTGATGACCATATAGGATGTGCTATGAGTGGACTGATTGCTGATGCTCGTACACTTGTTGAGCATGCACGCGTTGAAACTCAGGTACTGTTATTGGTTTTACAGATTGATATTCTAACCTTTATACTTGTATTCTAACTTCCAATTTTTGCAGAATCATAGGTTCTCCTATGGTGAGCCAATGACTGTGGAATCTACAACACAAGCTCTTTGTGATCTGGCCCTTCGGTTTGGTGAAGGTGATGAAGAGTCCATGGTAATAACCATTTTATTTGGTTTATATGAATGTTTATGTTTATAGTCAAATAATTGAATTTGCTTAGTTTGGAAGAAAATTTTGATATTAAGATTAGTGAAATTGTGCTTATACTTTACCAATACCCCTCTTCATTATTGATTTTTCTGTTTATTTCGTAGCAATTCATAATCAAGCACTTTAGGATGCCTGTTTTATCTTTGATAAAGAGATGAACCAGGGACATACTGTTCTTTCTTTTTAATATGAGTGAAGCATCTTTTGGCATCAGTTATTAGATCTCTGTTGCATTGTTCCTATATTATCCCTGTGATATTATATGTTATTGCTATATAATTGGTTTTTTATGTTCTCGTTTGCAGTCTCGACCATTTGGAGTATCTCTTCTAATTGCAGGTCATGATGAGCATGGGCCCAGCTTGTAAGTGATACTTCCTTTTTCTTTTTCTTTTCTTGTTGTGAGATATGTATAGGGTAATGATTTCCCCATTCCAATTTTATCCACTTACACTCCTTTTTTAGTTATAAAATGGAGTGTAAGTGGATAAAATTGGAGTGGGGAAATCACCACTCTACGTATAATATGATTGTGTGTGTGAATTACCGTTAAAGAGAGAAAGACTGTGCTTATTTAAAAATGAATCACTAATGAGGCATTTGGCATATATATGTCAATGCAATCCCAAAGAGAGAGTTAAGAAGGATCTTTGCAGTAAGATATCATTTTGACAATTACCATTCCATGTTTTGTTATATTCCTACCATTTATGTATACAAGCGGTCTCAGTTCTTTTGTTTGGCTCTAAGTTGAGATGCCTGTGCTTTTTCTTTTAGCTTGATGTAAGCAGGAGAGCTCATTGTAGACCTTTGTAATGCTACAATAGTTTTGTTTCTTAGGGATATGTAGTTTTATGTAGTATTGTTGATCAGATGTAAACATTAATAAGTTATACTCTCTTTCTTTTTCTTTTTTTCTAAAGTTTACTTCCAAATTCTTGCTGCTTCTGTTTTGTATGTTCTTGTCTCCTTGACCCAGGAAAGAAAACTTCTGATATGCAGGTACTATACTGATCCATCTGGCACATTTTGGCAATGCAATGCAAAAGCTATTGGCTCAGGTTCAGAAGGTGCAGACAGCTCTCTGCAAGAGCAATACAACAAGGTATCTCTGCTTGTTATAACTTATTCGTTTTCTTATTTGTGTACATATTCTACCAAGTCGCCTTATAATTTATGGAGCATGAAATGCTGAAGTGGTTAGCCATATGTTTAAGATGAATTTGCTTGTACACATGATTGAAGTCATCCTTCTAGGACGAAGCCATTTTACTTTTTTGACAATTTTCTGGTGGAATCAAGTTATGGAAATGCTTTCTGCTTCATGCCTTTTCAACCATATAAATCAGTATTTTCATTTGATGATGGGTTTCAGGAGTTGACTCTTCAAGAAGCTGAGACAATTGCTCTGTCTATTCTTAAGCAAGTTATGGAAGAAAAGGTGAACCTTTATAAGTGATATGGATTTTGACCTATTTTAGTGTTTACATATATCTAGTTTGCATAGGGTTACTTTAATTGACCTATTTTACTGTTTGCAGGTGACTCCCAATAATGTTGATATCGCAAAGGTTGCTCCAACATACCATCTGTATACCCCTTCTGAGGTGGAGGCTGTCATTAGTCGCCTATAAGCTCTCGTGTTTTTCCGAACTGAATTTGTTTCTGTATTTGTTAAGTTACAGAAAAGGATTTCGGATTTGTTTATGGTTGATGATTTTGACCAGTAAGCCAAGAATATTATCATCCGACTTTGATGAGCAGATGCCATCCTGTGCTCTAATGAAAGATTTCATGTGAACTGATGAAAATTTTGCAGTCATTTTGTTTGGCGCACAATTCTCCCATTATCTTCTAGGGTGGTGGCATGTTGTGTTTAATGCAGGCTGTTTATCCAATGGTGGTTAGTTGGCGGTGCAATTTTTTTGCCTTTTATTTGACATTGATGATTCATGTTTTAATTGAATGTTAGCAATATGAGAATGAAGAAAATTGGTGTAGGTTATCCACGTTGGAATTTATAAATATATAAAGACAAAATACAAAAAGTAGACCCATGGACCTAGTAAATTAAGACTGAAAATGGAATTTATAAATATATAAAAATAAAATAATTATATTTAAAAAAATCAAGAAAATCAAAATTGAATGAAGACCGAAGAAAAGAAAAGGAATTATAATCTTTTGCGCAGGCGTGGTTCCAATCAGGAGCATCCCCGTCATCATCATCACCATCAAGCTACATGAGAGCTGGTTCCCGATCATCAAGGAGACAGAAGAATTGGGAACCTTGAAGCGGAACTGATTTGTTATTTTTTTTTCTAGAAAATGAAATCTGTTCAGCTTCAGGGCCAGTTGAAGTTTCATTGGATCCATTTGAACTATGGTTCTTTAGTGATTTATGAAATTTGTTAGAGATGACAAACAAAATATCTCAATTATCAACGCTTATCATTAATATTAACTTTCATATTATAAATAAATATTGCTTTCTTATTACAGTACTAACAAATATATTCAGTATCAAGCTAATTGGTCTGATATTGCAGAGATCTTATCTCACCCTCTCAAGACTCAACTATCCTTAGAATTAGAAGCTCAAAATTGTATGCTTCCCTACTAAATTTCTAATGACAGGAAATTAATCCCAACTAAATTTCAAAATTGAGCTCTATTCTTGGTGTCCAGGACCAGGAATGGCGATTACCGTCCCTATGGGTCTCTTTCTGTATACTATATATCCAAGAACAAAATCATTGGATTCTTCCTTTTATTGAATTAAAACTTCAAGTGAAGTTGTTATTTCCTTTGCCTCCAACCCTACTCAGGGTGTATAACTAGTGCCGCTATATACGTATTCTATGGTGCATGTCGCAAACATACGCTTCTTTGGCAAGATGATCCGCAGCAACATCAGCCTTGCGGCATAAACGCAAAGCTACATTTGAAGCATTGCCAAAGAACTGGTGGAGCAATCTTTCAAAATTTTGATTTCCTGCATGATAGGAAATTAGAACCATGTAATTCAATTTCAAACTCAAATAAACTACTAGAACACATCAAAATAAAAGATCCAGGCAAGTCAGTTTTGTGGGGAACAACGGTAGAGTTCATTTTGAAACTTAATTACAAGGTGTCTCTTATCTTGCTCTACCTGACGAACAAAAGGCCATCAAGTTCAGTCTATCTCATGCTAGGGTTGCCCTCTTGCCTTTTGCATCTCTCGACTGCAAAACCATTATTTGTTAGTCACAATGTAAATTTTACTTTGAAGATATACTTTTCAAATAACAAATGAGCCTACTGCAAGGACATAAAGAAATGAGAGAGAGACCTGTGCAGCAACAGATCTTTTTGAATCCAAGAACTCGCCATAAATGCCATACAATCTTTTCTTCTCAGCTTCGGAAACAGATGGCCTTGCCCTGGAAGCAGTAGACTTCAAGAGAGCATCATTAATAACTGGCTTTTTCCCTGGATCATTGGTATCTAAACCAGCCAGAATTTCATGCACTGCTGCAAGCTGAGCATCTGAGAGAAGAGCTTGAAGGTCAGCCCCACTAAATCCCTCAGTCATATAAGCTATGGCTCTTAAATCCACATCACCATCCAGTGGTAGCTGAAGCAGTTGACAAAAAAAAAAGAAAAAAAAAAAAGTGGATAACAATTAAACAAATTGCAAAATAGCTAAATACAAGTGCAAATCATATGCTTTGATTAGATAATTTCATTCCTAACCTTTTTTGAAAGGACCGTCAAAATATCCAACCTTTCACCCAGAGATGGAAAATCACAAAATAGAAGGCGATCTAGCCTACCAGGTCTCAACAGTGCAGCATCAAGTAAATCTGGTCTACTGCTTGCCATGAAAATGCAGTCTTTTTTCATTAGACAAGTGGTATATACTCAGTAAAGACAAGAAAATATGATTGAAACAATCTACAAACAGGACCTATGTCTGCATAGGAGCAACACTGTTGACAAAAGATGGAGGCAATTTGCACAAGGTTCACTGACTTGTTCTAGTATGTTATAGCATTCATGCATGGGTCATAGCTACAAATAATAAAATTACAATCGCTACCTTAAATTTCTATAGGAAATTTAACTGACCACACCATGAGTGACAGTACTTTGGACAAAGCTATTTTCTGACCTAGAAACTGATATCAGAAATTCAGCACTTATAAATGAATCTAAAAATAAAACAATTACTCTGAAGAGAATCTAACCTTGTTGCAGCAAACACAAAAACACCAGTCAAAACTTCAACACCATCCAATTCAGTCAGAAACTGTGAGAAAGCGATATACTAGGATAAGAGAATCAACTATGAAGAGAGGAAGAAGATAAATTGGGGCAAGAAAACAAGAGAGGACCTGATTGACAACACGATCAGTTACTCCAGTATTGTCATGTCCTCTTTTGGGGGCTATAGAATCAAATTCGTCAAAAAAGAGAAGGCATGGTGCTGCAGCAGCAGCTTTGGTGAATATATCCCGGACCTAGACATCAGCATCAATCAATGTGCATCACACCACACAGAAGATTGTTCTAAAATAAAACGTATAAGGAACCACTACACATTTTCTATCGTCCCCCTGAAGCATTAACGTATCTGTTGTGGAGCCGGTTATTTAACTCTAAGAAGAAATATACCTTCTCATTTTTTACATGATTATGTAAGAATTTCACATCATATTGCAGAACAATAAAATCAACTTGAAATCTTAAGACTTTGGACAGAATAGTCAAACACTTTCTGTAGCCAAGTTCACAGAGTACCAATGAAAATAATCATTGATCATCGGCTCATATATCTCCAAAAATATTTTTTTGATAATGCTAGTCTGAATTCCTATTCCACACAATTTTTTCACGTTACTTGATCACTAAGCTGCAGAAACACAACAGAAAAGGCGTATGCAACATAATTTCACAAAACAACTCACGCACAATTCAATGGATTGAGAATCAGGTAGAGGCAAAGACTGATACATTATGTAAATAAATGTAGTATAGAGTCTACTAGAAATCAATGCAAAAGGAATGTGTAAATGAATAATTCACCACTTACAGCTTGCTCTGAAGCACCAATATATTTATTCAACAGCTCAGGTCCTTTGACTGATATAAATCGTAGTGAACAGGCTGCAGCAGCAGAACCAACTATATGTGTCTTTCCACAGCCAGGAGGCCCATACAATAGAACATTGGACCGCAACCTTAAAGGAGATTTTGCAAAGATGTTTGGGAATTTTGAAGGCAATTCAATCATCTGATATTGATAATAGGAATTGAAAATAGAGATAGCACAATTAGATTACAAAAACAGAAAGACAAGTACTGAAACAAATGAATTATATTACATCATGGAAAGTAAGATATGACAGCAGTACAAAATATCAAACCAATTTTACTAAACATCAACAGGCTAATAAAAAAAATTATTCTCATGGTTGAACAACTTTGATTGGAATCAATTAAGTGGGGCCAAACCATCTTTGGATTCATTGAAACTGTAGATAATCATACAGTTGAGGAGACAATGTAACATAATGAAACAGAGAAAGAAAAACAAAAAAATGGCAGAGACAAGACAAAAGAAAATAAGAGTAAAAAAACTCTACCTTCAATAAGTAGCAAATCAGTGATTAAATGCAGCATGAGAAGTGAAAAACGCTGATATAGATGATTTCCCAAAACAAAAACTGAATTGATAAAATTATACCTCTTTAATTGCATTGCGAATGTCAACAAGACCACCAACATCGTCCCACCCAGTCCGACCACCTTCAGGAGCAGATTTAGTGACGTCGCGCATGGCAACGGGAAGGAAATCATGCATTGCCCGAGAGAAATCATCCCTTATTAAAGTGGGATTTTCACTTTTGTCAAAAGCACAATGATAAGGCATAAAACGACCTATGGCAGCATGAACAGTTCTATCGACCAAGATTTCCTGAAACGGCAAGATTGTTAAGATAGTCCAACCAAAACAAAATCTAACACATACACCAGAAAAAACTTCAACAGTTCTCAATGATCAGATTACCTACAAAAACATTCTCAATTTGAAACTACCACAAGCCGCAAAATTCATGCTTAAGGCACTGAAAGCATTGTCTTTTGTGCCCATCAAAAGTAAAAACTTAAAGGGGAAAGACACAATGTATTAAAGCAGAGACGATCAGATCTCTGTATTCATTTGTACTTGTATGCAGGTAGCACTCTCCCAAACTATTCCAGACATTCTAACTTTAAATAACAATATATATGTTGGAGACCTGGACAGTCAGGATTACAATCGCACTTTCCAACGGAGTTTATTAGTTTTCAAGAGAAGAGAGAAGGTTGTCAACATTATCCACTGTCATCACCTCCATAAGCAGTCTTTTATCTAGAGCACATAATTTAAAGTTCTGAAGGCTGGAAGAATAAGGATGCAATAGTGGACTAATAACAGCCCATAAAGCATATAAAGATGAATTCCATGAATGTAATAATATTTGCGCAACTTCTACCCTCCAAGATTTAATGTAGAAACATGAAGAATACCAGATCATATGAATCATAGCCATCACATTTTGAGGCTACATCTTGTAAGATATCATCAGAACATTGTAAGCAACGC